ATAAAGATATAGATTCATTAAACCCTCTTGCCCTCTCATACTAACCTTGGGTTTACCCCAAGTTAAGGGGGTGATCACGAGAGCACTCGGACGTGAGCACCTAGACAGAAAGACAGAAATACCACTAGCATCTATCTATCTATCTATCTATCTATCTATCTATCTATCTATCTATCTATCTATCTATCTATCTATCTATCTATCTATCTATCTATCTATCTATCTATCTATCTATCTATGTAGATGCTAGTGGCATTTCGTAGAACTCGTCTTGTGAATGATGTCTTCTGTAGAAGACAACTTTCGCTTGTGCTTAGTCGCTGTTTTGGGTTTGAGCTCGGTAAAGTTGTTAGGTCGTTGGTATACATTCACACGCTCTGATTGCAGAATTAAACGCGTAGACGAGACGGTAACAGTTTAGCGAGGAATGGCGTGAGGTTTTTCTCAATCTGGAGCACTCTCAAAACTAATTTTGACCATCTGGTGTTCATTACGTGCGCTTGCATTGCACAGCACGTGGACGTCTAGCCATTTTCCCTCCATCGAAATTCGGCCTGCCGCGACCGGGATCAAATCCTGCAGAAGGCGAGCACCTCAACCAGAGTTTCACCGCGCCGGACAGTTTTCAGAGTACTTGGTAACGGCCTGGTTCACCCTTTGTCTCGCCTCCAACACAGAACGTTCCCGATCCGGGCTGCAGTTCTTTCGTCACATCCCGGTACAGCACCTATCGGTCCTGTAGGCTTTGCGATTAGGACAGCCCCATTCTTTTTCAAAGGAACAAAAGAGAAAGTAAGAGAGAGAAAGCTCTCTGATAGAGCTGTCTGTGCACGTAGGACAATCAACAAACAAACCATCACACTGCTCAAGAACGGCAATTCGTGTCTCCGCGATATTTGTTGATATCGATATTATATGTTTTATTTCCTGCCCGTTCTCTGGCTTCCGGCCTCCACTGCATCTCACCTCATGCATACATGAACGAAAATGCCTTCCCTTGGCCACCCCTTCCTTTTCTGCACAGCACTGCGGTTTTTCCTACCGAATGGCTGATGAGCGAGTTAGGTGCCCCATCGCATCGCCACAGGCGGAGCGGAAACGTTGCAGGATCGCCACGAGAGGACGTGCATAATTAAGGGAATGGTCACCCCCCCCCCCCTCTTTATTTCGACACAGCAGTTTGATATCTGTTTCTTGCTTATGTACTTTTTTTTGGCCTGCCAATGGCAAGCAGCCGCGTTGCGCCTAAGATACACAGGAAGTGTGCACAGCTGCACCAAATCGCGCGAATGCGTGAGTCGTTAGAAACTTGCCGCCCCATGGGACGCAAGTCGACCAGCTAGTTAGGTTGTTTGTTTTTGCGCGTAAACGTCTGCGATTTCGATTGCACTCGTTGGATGGGTTTTCTATCAAAGACTTTGAAGATGGGGTTTCTGTGGCGCACGGACGAGGTGATTAGGTAATGATGATATTCCGTTCATAAGAGAATGGAAAATGAATGCACGCACGTCGATAAATATGGGTAAAATTCAGAAATTCTTCCCTTCGTATAGTATTCGTCAACGGTCTGCTAAGGTTGGCACCAGAATTGGCTGAATTTCGTAGCCGAAGGCGCTTTTATAGTGAATACGGGCCAAGAAGCGGAAATGTCCGCTATAAGAGGGAAATAAGAAAAGAAGGGGAAAATTAAGGGCTCCGTTTTCTGTTTTAGACATATTAATAAAGAGAACTAACAGACAATGATGCTAGTGAAAGTATAGGGGTTGTTATAGTATAAATTGTGAAATTTAAATGTGAAGACAGAAAAAGTGGAGGAAAGGATAACTTGCCGCTGGCAAGGAACGAACCTGCGACCTTTGAATAACGCGTCCGATCCTCTACCGACTGAGCGCCAGTGGTGTTCATTCCTCCATCCACTAATAGGGTACTTAAGCACATTTAAACCTGGGGGTGTTAGTAAGCGCTGCTAGTGGCCATGACGGCGAGTGTCGAACACTTTCTTTCTGGCTGTACGCGTCACGTGCTACGCGACGCATACAACCAGAAAGAACAAACAACAAATAAGTTCACGTACCACCTCACACCTATAGAGGCAGAAATAAAAAGAGGAGTGTTATTCACACGCCGTCATGTGTGGCTGACAAACACTTCCATGTTTATATGTGCAAATATATAATACACCACAATGTGGATGGAGGAATTACCACCGTTGTATGTAAAGTATTGGACGCGTATTCAAATGTCGCATGCCTGACCCCTGCTCGCGGCAAGTTATCTTTTCGGCACTTCTTTTAATCAATTTACATTACACTTAATCTAACAACAACCCCTATACTTTCCCTAGCGTCACTGTCAGTTTTAAAAGATGGAAACAATTCATCATGCATTCGCCTAAAAGGACACGCAAGTGAAAGCCATGCTCTTCTTTCTACCTCCTAATGTTTTACTCTTCAATCGGTCGTATCGATGCCGATACGATGAACCACAAGAGGGGACAATTCCATCAGTACGAGTTGATTACATCTATGCCTGTCAGCACGCGCTGGAGCTCCAGTTTAGTGTCTGTGGCGTACTGGCTCAGGTCAAACCTGTTATCATTTCATTGGCATATATTGAAGTTACTTTTTTTTACCTCGACCATGTACTATGTCGCGTCAAGGTGTGATGCAAACGACGCGTCCACCATTATCACGGGGGCGTGGATGAGTAATCCAATCGGGCACGTGGCTACACAAAACAAGGTGGGCCACTAATGACCTGTTCAGGGGACACATGTGAAAGGCGGCTCGTTAAGGCGGCCACCCTCAAGCCATTGTCTTTCTTCATTGTTTTTTGTCGTGGATTTACGTTGTCACATAGGCTCAGTAATGTAATCACACCACGCACAACTATTCGGACGAAGTCGAGCTGCAGGATATAGCGCGGACAATACCAGCCGCTTCCAATGGTCTTCGGAAAAATACTCTCGACGAGGAACAACGCTGTCGGTACTTTCCAATCCTTTTTGTTTTTGTCACGGCTGGTTTCCCCTTTTGTCTGGACGACACAAAGACGAAGGCGATGCCGAGAGCCCTAGCAACAGTATCCGCCCCGTTGCTTTCCGGGCTTTTACAAGGTGCTTTGTCGGCCGCGTTCGAAGCGGAAACTTGATTTGTCGCCAAGGTGCCCGGCAACCGCACCCATACAGTTGGCGAGGGAACCTTGCAAATTGAATTTATAGGTCCGCTCGCCACCACCGGGGTGAAGTAGCATCCTGATGTTTATGGTTGCGTTCTCATTATTTCTGTTCAACAACTGTTCCTTTTATTATGGCACAGCCCACAAAATTTCTTGCTGAACGTCATGTGGTCAAACAAACATACGGGGACAAACTATACGAAGCATATTTTTTTTCTAGTCTCCTAGATTACAATATTATACTATCATTTTCCTCTTGTGCAAACAGGGCACTGATATTCAGGCGATTTCCCCTTCTCGTTTCAAATAGGATTTCAAAACTAAATGAAACCTTTGAAAGCATGTAAAACTGAATAGCTACTGGCTAGTACGCGTCTTAATTTTGCATATTATCAGAAACTCTAACGTTAAAGAAACGGAATGTCGATGAAGTTCGTGGACTGCGTCCAAAGTGGTTACTGATCAATATTCAGTTGATTTCTGTGGTCGACATGAATAGTCGCACTATGGTTTGACTGCGAGCATTTCGTTAAAGGAATACTAAAGGCAACCATTAGGTCGACGTTGATTGTTGATATAGCGGTTCAGAAACCTTGTAGCGTTACTTTTGTGCCAAGGAAGGGCTTATTTTGGAATAAAATTACGTTTTAGTGGTGCGCATTGGGTTAGCGCACTTCGAATTACCCGCCTCAAGAAGCGAACCGACTCATCTCACTATTGTCGTGCACAACGTTGCCCGGCTTTACTGCGCGGTCGTCAACACTAGTAGACAGAACGAAAGCAGCGGGAGATACGGCAGCAACAACGGTCATCGATCGAGTTCCTGTCATTGGCTCCGAGATGGCAGACGTGTTTTGGTTCAACTGTGCCATGCTAGACGGCATGATCTGTCCAGTGTAACCATGCAAAAATTGAATAATTTGAACCACTCGCATTATTCCCCACAATAACGTCCGGCGGTTCTTTTTTTTCCCTGAACCAAACAGAAACGTCAAGCAATATTTTATTGCGCCTCTTGATGCACGGAGGGTTCTTTATTTAGTGCAGCTAGATCGATTACTAGTGATTAATTGTAGGCAGTTCGTCTGATGTCATCGGTATCATTTCGAGAATGTCCTACTGCGGCGCATGTATTCTTGTGCATTTACCTTAATTTCTCGCTAAGTATATATAGTAAGACACTGCTCTTGATAATATTTTCGTGTTAGATGTTGATTGATTGATTGATTAATTGATTGATATGTGGGGTTTAACGTCCCAAAACCACCGTATGATTATCAGAGACGCCGTATTGTAGGGCTCCGGAAATTTCGACCACCTGGGGTTCTTTGTCGTTTCAGATGTTGTCATACATTGAGCTTTCACTCTGACGTAAATTGTTATTCGACTCTATAGTGTCCCTTCAAATGAGCAGTATTAGTAGAGAATACGAGAAAGGCTAGTAGGTTAACTGTGATCAGTGGTAACGAGAATAAAAGGAGGGAAAGGTGAAAATCACGAAAGTTGGAAACACGCACGCGTACAAATGAAAAAAAAGTTGATTGTGTGGTCCATTGCATGAGGTGGTATACAAATTAGAGGATCTCGAGAATATATAGGACACAATACAGCTTACATGTCACCTGACACTTCTGCTCAGAAGCCCATAGAAGTGTTGTACGCTTTAGGCGTACGACTTCACTGCTTCAGGCGTTTCGGCTCTCTAACGTTAGCTAAGTTTCCCTTTGGTGCTTTTGCATCTGCACTATTTACTGGAAGTTTGAATTGGTAACGTAACCACGTTAATCAATGCAATAAGTGTTTTTTCATGTTCATATGTGCAGGTGACGGCCACCGTGGGGGTTACATCTGAAGCCAAAAATGCATTGGGGTGCAGTCTTCTTAGTCATCGGTGCGGTTGCATCACAGCTTGCTGATGGGTAAGAGATATTACTAGATTGAATTGATCTGCCATGAGCTAACTGCAACATCACGCCACACTTGTCACTTTGAATAGCGTTAATCATCTACAAAAGCGAAACTATATCGCTTTCGGTGGTCTAATGCAAACGTTGCTTGGCTCACTGATGTGGTATAGTCTCTCTACATAGGGCCTTCAAGGGCTGATGCTTTATTAGGAGCCCTTAGGTTCAGTGCAAGATGTACGCATTCTGTAAACCTTTCATGTAATCGAAAAGATGTGTGAAGTGTACGTTTTCGTCAGTGTTTGTAGAGGTAATTTAGGAACGTAAGGTGCCCGCGAAAAGACGTTTAATAAAAAGGAAAAAAAAAGTTAATGTCTTCAAGCGTAACGTAGTCCTTCCCAAAGGGAACAACATACAGCGTCTGTTGCCTACTGCTTTCTCTGCCTCCATGCAGAACTAAAACTGCATGTTCATACACGAATGGCAAGTTCACAACATAAGTTGCTCTCTGTAATTATAGAAAACAGATCGTCTGTGTCTGTCAAAACAATGTTCTTCGTTACTGTACCTCAGCTTCCACGATTCGGCTTTTTTTCGCTTCGCGAATGTTTTTTTTTTCTTTCATTTTCTTCTTGTGCAGCGGCTACATCTTCACGGCGCCAAAAATACTGCGTAGCGAAACGGACGCCATGTTCCGGCTAACGCTCACCGACGTCAAAGAAGACGGCAAGGTGACAGTCCGGCTCCTCAAGTACAATAACGACAGCATCGTCTTGGCCGAACAAGAGTACGACATTAAGAACGGTATGTTCGATTCCCTTTTCCATTGCAATTATTTGCAATCTCGGCCTTCTAATTACCCGCATGACCTGTCTTATTTCATCATAGAAGCTCACGTTGAAAACATTACGCTTTTCTGAAAAAAAAAACGAAAGAAAAAGAGCAGGAGCCTAAGTATGTTTGGCATGGATGTAAGCAAACATCAAAATAAGATAAATTACTATTTCCTTAATGTGCTCTGAACGATGATGTTTTTTTTTTGATGACACATGCGCTATTCATTGACTGTTCAGGCACGGCACAGCCCTTGTACCGACACTTTTGTTACGTTACCATGATGAACAACTTACATTACCGTAATGAACAAAGTCCTGCGCGTCATGTATAATCGGTTCTCTAGATAACTTGAGGCCTTGCGTCGAGCACAAAAACTTTTTATCCAGTGCGTTTTTGGGGAGCCTATACATAGCGTTATACCCAGATGACTGCAAGTTGAAGAGACGTGCGCGCTATCTCCATACTTCGAGTTAAGGAAAACCCTACATGGGCATCGGGGAAGATTCCGCTTTCACCGCAGGATGTAACCAACAGATCAACCTGTTTGAATGCAGCTTGTTTTTTCGCGCTTGGCGGCTGCAAAAAGTCGCACGGGTAGACCACTGTGGCAATGCAATTGTGCCTTGCGTATAGGTGGCAATTTGTGTGTACCCTGTTTACGTTAAACTGACAACCACCACTTTGGAAACCAAAATGGTCATGGTGGAAACCAGCTCCGCCACGCGAAATACCAAACAACCCCACACAAATGAACAAATAGACGAGTCAGCGAGAGAGGTGATAAGCTAGCGTTTGCGGAATTCTTCTCGTCACAGCAGGTCACCGCTTCGGTACTCCGAGAAAAGTTTGCTTCGCTCCGCTTCCTGTTTATCGAGATACTTCCTCGGAAGTGGTTTTAGTTTTCGGAAACGCAACGATGAACTCTAGAGTGCCTTCTTTGTGTCACGCCCCAGCGTCTTTCGTTCCTCTTCAGGCACTCCCTGCAATTTACTTCAAAGAGCTTAAAACTGTCTTTATGAAGCCGCCTAACGGGCCTTGCGTGCACTGAAAAGCAAGTAGATGATAGGATTAAAACAGGGTGCCTTTCTTGTATTTTTCTTTTCTCTGCAAGCTCTCTCTCTACATGGCTAAACTGCTGCAGCCTTTCTATCAAGTCTCAAAGTTCGGCTCTTTTTCCCCACCCTCCTTGCCCTATACGTCCGTTATTTTATTTTATTTTTCAAATAAAACTGGAACAGTGAACACAGGAGACTGAAGAGTAGCGGGAAGCATGAAGGCACTCCGTCGTTGAAACTGTGGTTATCTTTCCAGTTGTACACTCGGCTGTTGTACTATACGTCGATTTAGCAATAACACGAATGCTTTGACAGCAAAGTTCAACACTGCTGATAACCAGTCCGCGGCTTCTCGTCGCGCGTAACTAGTCGTCAACAGAACGCGTTGTAACGCAACTCAACCTCACTGCTGATAACCAGTCCGCTGTTTATTGTCGCGCATGACTATAGTCGTCCACACAACGCGTCATAACGCAATGCAACCTACCACTAGAGTGTGCTAGAACAGAGGAGAGCCCGGAACGCCCGCCGCACCTATAGGTAGTGCCAGGTACATTATGTCATCATTTGAATTTCATTTTCTCGAGTCTTATTGAGCCATATCCTATATTATTTTTTCAGAAAAAGCACTAAACAGCTTACATCACCTTCCTTGTGTTACATCTCACATATTAGGCGCTCTAAACATGTGGCTCGTTGGTGGTATCTCAGAGTAAATTTCGCACGCAAAAGACCAGTTAGTGTTGCACTCACAAGTAGTTGTAATGTAGGACTCAGGGAATCGAAAACGTAGGTGTTCTACACCCATCTCGCATAAGTGAATCTAAGCTTAATATCTGTCTGTGAAATAATTAACTGTGATTACTTATTTTACTCAGTCTTCAAATACGAAAGCTGTGCTTTGCCATGACAGTAAAGTGAGGACGACCAGAAGTTGACACAAATTAACTGCTCAACAACTTTCTTATTTTACCCTTTTTTTGTAATGGAGACTCCGCACAGGAGCGGATGTGGGATCACCTGGCAGCAACGTTCGTAACGGTTTTTTTTTTTTTTCGAGCATTCGTACTAAAAGCGTAGCCCGAACAAGTTCAACCGGCTTGTGCTGCTGTGATCGGCAGCCTGCAACGTGTTGTTTTTGGGTTGTACGTGGCTCTGTATAAATGGTGCAGGGGTAAAATACCCGCTGGTGCTGTAATCGGTAGTCTACGATTTCTTGTTTGAGAGTTGCGCACAGATCCACCAAAATGGTGCAGTATCATATGCCCACTTCTCACTCAAGAGCTCGGGGTGTGAATCGCGGCTGTAGATTTTTTTTTATTATTTTAGTGTCACCTATTATAGCTGTATTGTTTTTTTTTATTTTATAGCCAAAATTTCATCCAGTTCCACTTATAAAGATGCACTTAACTAAGTGATTGTATCAAGGATGCGAGTTGGGCTAGTTTGTGTGAATCAACATCAGACATAATTACCCGGTGCAAAAAAAATAGTGGGTGGACAAGGTGACGTCTTCATACTGGACGCGGTGCCACATTCTGCTGTGGTTACTGTGTCTATTGCCTTTTTTGGTTCTAATTAGCTATGTCATAAGCTAAGTAACCAGCCAAGGGAAAAAAAAAACCCTTGTAAATGAAAGATTGATTTCAGCCACCATAAAACAATGCATATCAGCGAGTAGATTGCTTCACTGAACAGGACTGAGTGTGACTTTCAGAAAAATAACAGGTTATAGGAACAAAATACTGTATCCAACATGTTTATTGATTTACTGACTACTGATTATCTAGAAGCGAGAACCATTCACTGACCGAACCCACAAATAGTTATCCTAATAGGTACTCTTTGCCGTTTGTCGTTCGCCTTTGCTAATGCTACGTCCAGCATCCGGATTCAGCATCCGGATTGGGGGTCTGGCTTTTGCGAATAAATGTCCCTCAATGAGTTTGACATATGTGCGACAGACGTCAGCGGCAAGAACTTATGTTGATATTACCGCTGGACTCTGCCAACGTGAACTTTGTCGATATTTTAACATTATGTTTTAACAATACGGCTGATAAGCTACGTTTGAAACTGACGGAAATTCAAGTCGTTGTTTTAAAAAGGACGTCTGCTGCCATCTAAACCTACAATCAGATGTATCGCAATGATGTTCTGGCCCTATGTGAAAGAAAATTCGTGGTCAAGTTGTATGCCTCAGGAGCGAAATATATAGCAAAATGACACGTCTCCTAACAACCGCAATCACTCTGTGAGAACTTTAGTTCGAACATTGCGGTATTTATTATAGGTGCGATCTTCCTCCTATAATAAGGAACTGAGACAGTCAAAACTGTTATTCGAGACCAGGTAAGAGCGTAGGCCTAGCTAACGAAATCAGCGACAGTCCGGGCCGAGCGTCTCATGCTTAGCACTGACAATGTGTTTGCCGAGATTTGCATGACCCACTACATTCATCATTACATATTTCCCCCTCGCTGAAGATGGTGCCAAGTAAGTGTTCTAGGGTGTCGTGAGGACAAGTGGTTCGTGATATGGTTTGAGGCGATCCACATGTACGATTTCGCGGCCTCGACGACGCAGGTCCACAGTGGCCGTGAGGGGTTCGATGAGGTAGTTAACAGCATAAGTTTGTTCTATGACGCGATAAGGCCCATGGTGCCTGCTGACAAACTTTGTAGAGGTACCAGGAGCAGCACTGGGGGGGGGGGGGGGGGGCACCCACAGCCAAACAAGAGCGTTGGGCGAAAACTGGTAGTTGGACCGTCCATCGTCGTGACAAAATTTCTGTAGCCCTTCTTCTTGTGTTGTAAGGGTGCGAGCTAATTGCCGACATTCTTCCGCATACCGCGCGGCTTCGGAAACTGGTGTGCCTTCGGATGAGTCGGGTCGGTAGGAGTGAATGGTGTCGATTGGAGATGATGGTTCTCGACCATAAAGTAAATAGAAGGGAGAAAATCCTGTCGTCGCTTGAGGTGCCGTGTTGTAAGCGTACGTTACATAGGGAAGGATAAGATCCCAGTTGGTGTGGTCGCAGGCGACATACATAGAAAGCATGTCGCCAAGAGTACGGTTGAAACGCTCGGTCAAGCCATTTGTTTGTGGGCGATATGCGGTAGTACAGCGGTGAATTACACGGCATTCTGCAAGAAGTTCTTGAATAACACCCGCGAGAAAGACGCGGCCTCGGTCGCTCAAAACTTCACGTGGAGCGCCATGACGCAGAACAAAACGTTGCAGCGCTCAAATCATGCGCTCAAATGTTGCCGGCGCATTGCATAGGCCGAATGGCATCACGTTAAATTCCTATAAGCCGTCTGGTGTAACAAAGGCAGTTTTTAGCCTATCATCAGAATTCATGGGCACTTGCCAGTACCCAGGGCGTAGGTCAAGGGAGGAAAAGAACTCTGCGCCTTGTAAAGAGTCGAGGGCGTCATCAATTCGAGGCAAAGGATAAACATCCTTTCGTGTTATTTTGATGAGGCGACGATAATCTACGCAAAAGCGTATGTTGCCATCCTTCTTTTTAACTAAAACAACCGGTGATGCCCAAGGACTGTTTTATAGTTGAACGACGCCTCGCTTTAGCATGTCACCTACTTGTTCATCGATGACACGGCGTTCAGTCGGCGAAACACGGTATGGTCGCTGCCGTAGTGGTGGGTGATTACCTGTGTCGATCTGGTGGCATACGGTAGATGTTCGACCTAAAGTAGCGCTGTGACTGTCAAAAGATGGCCGAAACTTGTCAAGGAGGCTCAAAAGCTCACACCTCTGTTGCGGGTTTAGGCCTTCGTCGATGACACGGTTGAAAATGTCGGTAGTGGAAGGGTCATTCACGGAACTACAAAAGAGGGCGCTGACTTCCGATGATTCATCAGGAACGTCCAGTGTAGCGATGGTTTTGAATGATTCTATCGAACTGATACATTCACCTCAAAGCAGCGTAATTGTGAATGGGAATGGATTCTCCACAGGCCTGTTGGTCGCACCACCTTGAAGAGTAAAGAAAGCGGTTGGGAGCGGTGATAAGTGACGATGAAAGAAAGCAGCGGAAGGCGTGAAAAATGCAGTAGCGTCGACGACGGCGGAACACGACACAGGTGCGAAGACAGTAGCGCGTGGAGGGATCTGGGTGTCGTCACTAATGCCCAGCTTCGCGTAGGAAGGGCGATCGTGCACTGGTAGCGCATCACCAAGGGGACAAAAGGCGACTTCGGCACGGGCGCAATCCATGACGGCTTGGTGATGGGAGAGAAAATCCCAACCTCAAATGATGTCATGAGAACAGTGTGGAAGTACTACGAACTGCACTGTGTAGGACACTCCTTGAATTACAAGTCTGGCAGTACACGCGGCCACAGGCTGAACAGGCTGTGCTGTGGCAGTATGGAGACATGAACCCAAGTAAGGCGTTGTCACTTTTCGAATTGAACGGCAAACTTTTTCGGCGATGACAGAAATTGCGGCACCAGTACCAATAAGGGCAAGTACGGGTACACTTTCAAGAACGGCATTAATTACATTAGGCGGCGAATGAAGAGGGCTTGTGCTTTGCGACGAGGACGCGGTTCTTGCCTCGAGAACTGCGTCATTTAGTTTTCCGCGTCGATTGTAGGGGGGCGTCGGTGCATCGGGGAGGGCGAGCGTCGACGTGGAGAAGGAGATCGGCGATCATAAGCTGGTCAGTGGCTTTGTCGAGAAGCGTACAATTCGGGGTCTGGAGTGTATTGAGTGTACGTGTAATCGTTCTCATATAGACGTGGGTTTTCACGTGAGTGGAGTGGGCGGCGGCGGCACAGGCGTGCAACGTGCCCAGGTAGACCACATGAAAAGCAGATCGGTCGGTTGTCGGCAGTGCGCCATGGATTAGGGACTCGGCGAACTGGAGGTCGTGGCGGCTGGGCGGCATAAACAGGAGCAGGCAGTGGAGGCGGCGCTCGGAACGTCTGTGGTCGTGGTCGTGCTGCTGCTTCGGCGTACGTCAATGGTGCATTGACTGGTGGCACCAGCTGCGGAGGAAGGACCTCAGACACTTGATCTCGTATAATAGTCCGTAGAGTAGGGCTAAGCGGCGCACTGCGCTCCGGTAGGCCAGAGATGAGCGAGAGTTGGCGGGCAACTTCTTCGCGCACGAAATCTTTGATCTGCGAGAGGAGAACGGGGTCTTGCGAGGGAGTTAAGCCGGACATCAATTCCTGATGCGGGACAGCACGGCGGGTGACGAGACGTTGCCGGCGGAGCTCATCATAGCTTTGGCAGAGCTCGGTAACTTGGGCGACAGTAGCAGGGCTTTTTGAAATGAGCACCTGAAAGTCGTCCTCGTCAATACCTTTGAAAATATGCTTGATGCGGTCCACCTCTGTCATGTTCACATCGACGCGTTTGCACAAGTCAATGACGTCTTCTATGTAACTTGTAAACTTCTCACCAGGCAGTTGATATCTCGACTGAAGGCGCTGCTCCGCACGAAGTTTGCGGACAGAAAAACGACCGAAGACTTCGCTGAACTTTGCCTTGAATGCTGTCCAGGTGGGAACGTCGGTCTCATGATTCCGAAGCCATAAGTGGGCAATGCCACTGAGGTAAATGCCGACAGTGGCCAGTCTCGTGACTTCGTCCCATTTGTTCAAGACACTCACGAGTTCGTAAGTAGCCAGCCAGTCGTCGACGTCGTGATCGTCAGTGCCGCGGAATATGGGAGTATCCCGCTGACGGACCGCGCCGGAGCACACGATGGCCTGGGAAGCCATAGGAGGAGGGCTTGTGGCAGATGCAGTGGTCATGACAGCAGGTAGAGTCCGGCTTCGCAACTCCAGGATTGCAAGGAGACCCAGCACCTCCACCAAATATAATAAGGAACTGAGACAGTCAAACTGTTATTGAGACCAGGTAAGAGCGTAGGCCTAGCTAGCGAAATCAGCGACAGTCCGGGCCGAGCGTCTCGTGTTTAGCACTGACAATGTGTTTGCCGCGATTTGCATGACCCACTACATTCATCTTTACACTCTATAGAATTTATACATAATTGTCTCTGGAGTAATATGAAGACTTTAGACACTACATTTTCATATGTTCTGCAACTGTTAATACGTAGGTACTGCTCATTGCACAAGATTGTAGTTAGCATTAGTTATACCTTCTTTTCGCGTTGTCCAATGCGGCATAGTCAGCTAATGCTTAATTTGGATGACCTGTTCTTCTACTTCTTTTAGAAAGCTTGCATTCATTTTAACCTAGGCCTTCTTTGAACAAAGCGGCGGCTGGTGTAGGCCCGTTCGCGTTATGTGACGTGTCATTGCTAATATCGTAGACAGTGTGTTTTTTTTTTTGTTACAAGCTTAGTGCTAAAACAAGATCCAGACCAGCGAAACGTTGCGCGAAAAATTTGGAAGATTGTGGAGACGATTAGGCAGGTAAACAAAAACGTGTCACAAAAATTTACACTCTATACAATGACGTTAAAAGCGCCAGCCCGGGCACAGCAGGGCTATGCTTTTCAGAACTTGTTCCCATGTGCCCTTACCTACGTCTCAATTATGCGACAAAAAAACAAAAAGAGAAACTGTGCCTGGACGCCTATCAAACGCCTTATACCATGAGCGCGCAGCCTTAATAAACGATGATCCCAAAGTGAACCTGGCGACTAAATTTATACACGGTTTGAGATGCAGCCAGCACAACAAAATGGAGGCTTTGCGAGATAGGCGGAAGACGTCGGGCTTTCGTTCTACAATGCTTCGCGTGGGAGATATTTCACTTACGGCGTAAATTATGGCTGACGCGAGCCAGTTCGTGGCTTGCCTTTGTTAGACGTTTCAGGTTTATTTTTTTTTATTTTTAGCAGATTTAATCTAGCTCGTCGGGACGCTCATAATCTCCGAGGCATTTGAGGCTTAGCGCTCGTTTTGGGCGGCCTTTGAACGTTATTAAAAATGCAGCTTTGGTATAATGAGGAAAAACTTCCGAAAGAGGGCTTCCTGTTAAGGCATGCATGCAGCACTATTAAAATAAATCTTTTAACGAGTAAAAAGTATTCACACGACAGCTTCTTACTTGCGCGTGTGTCCTCTTTCTAAATTTTGTTCGCAAACATCAGACGCTTCACTTTAGCTCGTTTGCGAGGTTAGGCTGACTTGTTAGTATATACGCAACTGTTAGTATATTGTTCTTTGTTTCTCCATGATGTACTTATCGCGACACAGTTTATCTCCACAACGCCTCTTCCTCATCACCGACTGTATAGGAGCCTTCCTCGTGGGTGCGTTAGTGTCAGCCTTGAAACTTGTTCTCTTTGTGTAATAACACGTTGGATAATAATTTCGCGTCTACACCCCGATTTTATGAAGCGTGGTTTCGGAAACGTGCTTTCTATGCGCGTATCAATCTGACATTACGTCGGCATTAGGCCCTCGGCCTAGGTTTGAAGGACCTCGTGTTTCGACCGCAGGGCTTAACAAACGCTACATTGGTAGGCAATTCAACTTCATAAAAGTGAAGCCTAAGAACTAAGCAATGCCTACTTTCCAGAGCTGTCTACTCGTTTATTGCAGTTGCGCTGTTGCAGCCAAGGCCACTGCAAATATATCAACAGTAGAAAAGGCTCAAAAGCATAGATATTGTGGGCCGGTCACATGACAATATGCGAGGCGGAAATATTGGGCGCTGATGACAGCAGTGCCCTGCCCATTGGACACAATATATGCCACGTGGTTGCGATTGAGAAGAATTTAGTAGCAAAAGTGTCCAATTGATTATTTAACTATTTGAAGGGCAAATTTGTGCCGGACAAAAGCGAGTAACAGTTCACAGCAATCAGCAGCAAAGGCAAAGATCACAGGCGTTGGTCATTGAAAAATTGAGCATGATCGAGTGTGTTAGCTGTTCATACACTGAATGAATCACCGTGGGTTCCAGTATATTCGTTAGTGCTCGCCTGCATGCGAGGTTGCACTCTATCACGCGCGTTGTGCCTGCAGTCTGATTACAGCATTCGGTAAATGTTGAGAGGCTTCTGGTAGTTTCTATGCAACAAAGTCCGGGTTTAGACGAGCGAAGACTCGTTTAACAGGCAGCCGATGAACCCCGATCACACGAAAAGAAATAAACAAGTGTTATAGTTTACGCTGATGCCAAGAAATCTTGTAGATAAGCCGACAAAATTCACAACACGTGTTTGTTGAGTTTCTCCGCGTGACCATCAGTCATGTGCAGCAACGAAATGAAATAGTATTGCACACCTATTTTGGAGCCAAAATACTTCGTTACAAACCCATGTAAGTCAGAAATAGTTCATTAAAAACCAGTGGCAGGCTGCTATCCTTTACAGAAATGGCCAAATCACAGACATGATTGATAACTGATGTTTTTATATACATGACTCCATAACGACATAATGCGTAAGATATATAATTACCAATGAAAAGTCGGCTCAGTAAGTGGATGATTCGATATATTATCTGCCTGAGAACGTCTAATAGGGGACTAGGGCATTAATGTGCGCTTATGTGTGCATGAGACTTCCGCTTTTCTGAAAGCGATACCAGCGTAGAGGCGCTTTAACCGCCACCTAAATATGATGCGCTTTTCTTCCTCGACGTCGAAACCCTAATCACTAGGAGTTCGCGTCAAAATAGCGTCACAGAAATGCTTCCATTTAGGGATAAAGAAACGTCCCACTTTCGACGACTGAAACACTTAAACCTAGTTGAATCTCAAACCATCAAACTTTGCGGCTTGCAGGTGAAAGTACCTTTCTGCCTTTCCGAGTGCCCGAGCATCTGGACAGTCAAGCCAAGATCGAAGTGAACGGAACTTTCGGAACCTATGTATTCGGGGACAGGAAGGAGATTGACTTCCAAAAGTCCAAAAACACCATTCTTGTCCAGTCGGACAAGGCGCTGTACAAGCCAGGACAGAAAGGTATTAGGAATGTTTTCTTCATCTGCGTTCATTTGTTCACTTTTGGAAAATGATTGTCATTGTCGCTTTAAGTACATTGAAGCTGTTGCTTCCGCAAGATAGATCCTAATGAAAGCGACTACTAAATGACCCTAATAGACAATGACACCAAGGAAAGTGTGGAAGATAATAACTATTATACTTGACTGTAACTACGTTGTGTACTGGAATGAATTAAACGTCAATCGTTTGAATTCACGTCCTACTACTTATTCTACAGGTAAAGACAGCAATAGGGTCGCGTAGGCGTTTCTTGAGTTGATTGCCTGTTGGATTGAATTGGCTGCGTCTATTAAAAAAAAGCGAGCCGAACGGAAAAAAATTCCCCTTTCGTTCGCCCTTATAAAAACGCACGTAAAGATATATCGAAATAAGTAATTTAAATACCTTTCTATCAGTGTAACTATCACTAAATTAACTATACTATCACTTATCTATACTATCACTAAATCGATGGAGGTTTGGTGTTCTTAAGCCAATTGGTCTTAGCATTTCACTTTGGTATAAAGAGCCAAAGTGCTCCCTCGCAAATACAAAACAATGGCGCAGCCCTAATTTTTGTCCAAATTTATGCATGGGAAAATTGAAGCATATGCCATTTCGACGTACTATATAGCAAGTTTTGTAAGTTTTTGTTCACTATGTTCTTCCGGTTTTTTTTTTTTCTTATTCTTCAATATACGGATGACAACCTTGCGACATGTAGTATCTTTGTTTGGTAGGTTATTGAAGCTTGGGCTGCTTCCGTTCTCTCGCACACCACGTTTCTTTGATACTTTATAGAAGGAATGGATATTTGTAGCATTTTCTAAGTGTAGGCTTTGCTGACAAAATTTATTATGTGGTTGCGCGCACAGCGCGAACGCAGAAGCTGATTAATTCTGACCTGTCGTGCATGACTGAGACGAAAAAAAAACACAATTTAACGACGCAACTTTCCTTTCAGTTCAATTCCGTGTTCTGCCTATCAATAACGAGCTGAAGCCTGTCACGGATGTCAAGGTAAGCTCTAGCACATTATTATTACTCAGCCACCCGATATTAAAAACCTGCCATTTTCTTATGTTTTTTTTTCTTTCCATCATACTGCGCGACCTAACATTAAAATATTCGTACCTAAGTTCACTGTTTGTCAAAAAGAAAACAACAACATTAAATTGGGTACACACCATTACATCTTCCTTTAGGCTACCATCTACGTCACAAGCCCCAGCGACGTTCGGATAGCTCAGTGGAATGACGTCTCCTTTGAAAAAGGTAAGTTGTAATTACGCCAACTTTCCAGCATTTAGAAGTGGAGTTGACAATGAAATTCTAGAATACTACGTGTACGTGAAATATTGTCCGGTAACAACTTCATCAAGAGAAAAAAATCTTCAGCACTAATGAAAGTGTACATACAATGAAGGTCTGATGCAACCAAACCAATTGATGGCTATGAAGGCAGTCTTATGAAGCACAGTGCACAAAGCCCATGTTTCTTGTACATTTTCCATCAAGTCCTTGAAGTGGTGTTTTCCACCTGATCATCTCAATTCTAACAGTTTTCTTTAGTGACTTATAGCAGCACTGCTAAAATTACTTCTCCGTTTGTTACTTTGAAATCTCTCAACATCACGGTGGTCTTAATATTAACCGCGAAAACGATGTCAGGGGCTTTACGAATGCAATATTCAATCCCACTCATACAGTTCACTTTTTATGCAAATTTGTTCCACGAACTTTCTTTTTCTGAGCTTCAATAGTTCCACAGAAAACGCCTTTCATGTTTCAGTTAAGGTTGAAAAGTGCGCGTATTCGTATAACATAACTAAGGTTGGATTATGCAACCATTCAATGGTATACACACAACAGACAGGAAATGTCTACTCACAAGAAAGGGCTTTGTTGTGTGTCAATATTAGGGAGCTTTAAAATAGCGCACCGCAAGCCCTCTGCGGTGCGGTCACTGCTACTGCACATGCATCGCACGTGAGCCACCGTTCGCGTTCGCTGTCCGCCCGCAGAAAATCCTGAAATAGCGGGTGGCGTGTGCAGCCTGCATGCGGCCCGCGAACGCTGGTGTCTAGGCTATGGGCAGTTTTCGTGCATTTGAGTTTCCGGGGAAGCTAAAGTCCCCAAATTGTTCCCTATAGGAGAGGGCAAACGTTATTCTAAAAGTCATATGGTTATATGGATTAACGAGTCAAAAAGTCATATGGATTAACGCCCGCAGTGCCTGCAAACGTTAATCTAAAACTCCCTATTATCGACGCGTCCCGTCGAATTGATGCGTCATGTATCTACAGTCGTTTTTAAGCTCTTTTTGTTCAAGCCTCGCTTGTTACAGTGTACTTGTAGAAAACTACTGCTGCTGCCGGTTGGAGACATTTCAAATGCGCACACATCTCTCTGTGGGTTGTAGGAATCGTGCAGCGAGATTTCCAGCTGACAGAAGAACCCGAGTTGGGCCTGTGGCAGATTGTCGTCGAACTTCCCACTCAAACTATGAGGCAACACTTCGAGGTTAACGAATATGGTAAGCATGGAGGCAATGTCACCTTATTAGGTAGCGCATCGCGAATGCATGTGTACCACAGCGATATTTGATTCATTTGCACGTCGATTAGGCCGATCAGCATTCGAAATGGAGGCGACGCTCTATGCAAGTATTTTTATAATGCTAAACAGTTTTATGCCGGGCTTTATGGGTGATTTAGGGACGTCACAGTAACTAGCGTCACTGGAAATGACCTCGATAAAGGGTGCACGGCCGTTTCCTAGCATCTGAGCGACATGTTTATTAATTTGCTTATGGAGTTGCATTCCGCTTCCCGCTTTAGCCTAGTTATGAAACTCCTTTTAGAGAAACACTTAAGATAAAAACTATATTTCTAGAAGTAATAAATTGCATTTTCAAAATACCGAACGCAGCACTCTTAGCGCGAGAAGCCGCTTGGAAAGCGGGAAAACGCACATAACGAAAAATATATGTGATGACGTCGCCTTGAAGTTTCGGCACGAGCTAGCTGTGATGTCACAGATTTTGATGAATACATCGAGGTACATGGGCCAGAGACATAGATGTGAAGGAGGTTCGCTCTACGTATATTCCAAAAGCCAACATTACACATGCTGCCTTTCTTTTTTTTTTTTTTGGCAAGACCAATATACATCAATAAAGACTCGTTTTACTTTCGTGGTACGTCCTATTCCTCTAAAAGAATGATCGACCATTTTTCAAAACGCTTTTTGATTGTAAATTGCTCATCACAAAGAAAAAAAAGAACTGCTCCCCAATATTGCGTTTGAATGCAGTGTTGCCGAAGTTCGAGGTTACCATAAAGCCACCATCCTACGTTCTTGCTGATGCCAAGGAAATAACGTGGAAAATTTGCGCACAGTAAGTATTACCTTCTTTCTCCATTCGTAATTCCGTACATTTTGGGGAGCTTTGTTATTATTCATTATTTCATCATGTGAAAATATCAATAAGTTTAAATCAGTAGAGTGCATAAGCAATCGATTATACTTTAAGCTTACTCCCCAAGCGACATCTGTTAACCGCATACAACGACGGAACAGTGAAACACATTTGCATTTAACTAAAGGGAGTCTAACCAGGAAACATCATTCGTTAGTAAAGTCACTTCGTTATGAAAATAACCTCAACGGCAACTGATAAATAAAAGTAGGAAAGGGTGCTGAAACGTGCTCTGGTGGTTCCTAAAAATGTCTTTTTCTTGCTTTTTACCAGCACTCTCTTGCAACTGATTGGTTAGCGTGGACCTTATATCCTCGAAAACGAAAGCGTACTCAATTTTAACTGCCTGACGTTACGCAAACAGCTGAAATTGATGGCACCGCGACTGAGGTCGCCTCGAGGCACCATCGCTCATTCTTTGCACAAAACTTTTCCTCATCACTTAGTAGACTTGAACGATTGTCCAAACAGGAAGCGCAACCACGCAAGAGTCTGCGCAGCCACCTCAGCATTAGGTTCGCTCTTAAAACCAAATTTTTCGGCAAAGTAATATGGCTCATTGACGTTCTGGGCATGTTAGTAACAAATTTCTTTCAGAACTGTAAAAGCGCCAGAGAACTATGGCAGGAAAAAAGAAACGTATGTGTATGCTGTGTGTGCGTGTGCGTGTGTGTGTATGTGCGTGTGTGTGTGTGTGTGTGTGGTGTGTGTGGTGTGTGTGTGTGCGAGTGTGTGTGTGTGTGGTGTGTGTGTGTGTGTGTGTGTGTGTGCGAGTGTGTGTGCGTGTGCGAGTGTGTGTGTGTGTGTGTGTGTGTGCGTGTGCGAGTGTGTGTGTGTGTGTGTGTGTGTGTGAGAGAGAGAGAGAGAAAGAGAGAGAGAGAATATGTGTTAGGCTGTTAAAATGTTCAGTTGAGCGTGCGTGTGCGCTCGCGCGCGTGTGTGTGTGTACCTGTTTATTTGTTTGAGTGTCTTCATTGCGCTTTTGGCGTTCATGAAAACGAGATGACTACATAATTTTGGTAGGCGCACAACGGCCTTTGTTGTACATGCGCCAACAAAAGAGTTGTAAGTAGAGAATTGGCTGAACCACAAGTTCAAAGCTTTTTGTCGTAACGGCATTCAATTGGTCATATTTGAATCTTCACATCATTCGCAGCCAATGGCCTAACCAGGAACTCCTTTTCTGCCTGGGTGGGTAGGGAGCTCACTGAATTGGGCAACATGGGGCGCGACAGGCGGTCGTTGTCTCACGTGTTTCCTGTGAGGCATTGCTAGCAAACGCAACTTCAACAGGTGAAAATGGGGAGCAGGTAGGCATGTGTCTTGCGTGGCCAGCCTGCATGCTTTACTACCCTCCATGCTCACAGAAAGGCTTCCTGCCAAGTTCTCAATTGATATGACTCTATCGAAGTTCAATAAGTGTGCTCTGTGCTTTCATTAAGTGCTAAGCTAAAAACATCTTGAATTCACTCAGGATTTCATGGAACCCCGTTATGTGGTTCAATACACGTCGAAACAACACATTTCAGACAAGCAGTCATTGCTTAAGTCTCTTTCAGGGACTTTAGTCGATTGCGCCATTGTCCATCGCCATCTCGCGAGGGCAAATGCTGGTGCGCAACGTGTAGCTCATTTAGGCTCCGCATAGATGGCGCTTGCGGTGTCACGTTCATTTTCGATGCTACGAAGGATTTATACAAGGCGCGGATTCTTCGACTTGCTTGAATGAGAAGGCTCAATGTGGCAGTCACCACGCAATAATTTACCTTAAGAATCTACACAGAAGCTGTTATATATTATTCTACTCCTTTGGAGCATGCGTTGTCAAGCGGTAGAATTATTGTCTGTGGATTAAGCAGCGCATGTCGAATTAACTCCCCCGTCAAATTTCGAATTCCGTATCAGACCCTTTTCATAATCAGCAAGGGCGCTTCCCTGTGCTACATATTTGCCTTAATTATGGCGGCTTGTGTCGTGCATAAACTGGAGACGGGGAGCCATTTGCACTTGCTGGGGCTTGTTGATTACGCACGTTTTCGTCAAGAGGACCAAGTTCACATCTTCCCGCCATAGCACAAGAAAAATGCCCTTGAACACGCTGCTTGCAATGACTAGCTGCCATTACTTGCGCACTGCACAGCAGGAAAACTAGCTTTACAATTTCTGATTGATCGATATGTGGTGTTTAACGTCCCAAAACCACTATATGATTATGAGAGACGCCGTAGTGGAGGACTCCGGAAATTTTGACCCCGTGGGGTTCTTTAACGTGCACCCAAATATGAGCACACGGGCTTACGACATTTCCGCCTCCATCGGAAATGCAGCCGCCGCAGCCGGGATTCGAGCCCGCGACCTGCAAGTCAACAGCCGAGTACCTTAGCCGCTAGACCACCGCGCCGGGGCAGCTTTACAATTTCTGAAAGGGTCTATTTGTACTATGTGAACATCCTCAAAACAAAAACGTGAGAAAATGCAACCTTTGCTTTAAAATTTTTCTCATGATTTTTTCAAAGCCTCAGCGGTAAGGCAACAGCTTTTGAAAAAGTGATGCTCGGTTAAAATGCTATTCGAGTGTAAATTGATATTTCATTTACCACATGGATGTGCCAGCATCCGATTTTGCTCGACCAACCTGCTGTACCTTGCAACATCGTGATAAATTGCGTGTTATTCAATGAACAAGCGTATTCGTTACTGTGTCTTACGGATACGTATTCCTTGTATAAAGACGGAATATTGAAATTGAGGCGGTGAGTAATGTAAAACTCTGAAAAAAAAGAGAGAATTGCGCAACCACAAGTACGCTTAAGCGAAAGAAGACTCACGGTAAGTTGAACGTGCAAATTATTGCCGGATACGCGCTATGCGCTCACACAATAAGAATTCGAACAGTGAAAGTGCTTGTAGCGTTGCCGCCCACGAATCGCATTCCGTTTCCCTCGTGACGGCATTCAATTTCTATGCAAATTCCGGAACAACATGGGCCCCCCTGTAAGACTCGACGGCGAACTGCTGCGGTCGTAAAGAGCGCAAATTGTAAAGAGAACAGGCATGCTGCTGGCGTAAGCCGCTGCGTTGCCGCACAACATCATACTTTATATTGTGTTTCAGACTTCAATTGAAAAAAGAAACCCTGATTACGCTGGTCGTTTTTCAAACGTACGATTATACGAAAACGTTATATTGCACAAATTGCGTACGCCTACATGATTCCGTGTAATAATATATGCGAACGTCACCGACAAAAAGTATTTTTCGTGGCTGGAAGGCTACGTGACACAAAAAAGTTATAGTTTCGTTAAAAGGGCGAAGCAATGAATGCGATAGCAACATATTCGAATGTTTTACGAAGCAAGGCTAGCATATTTAGGAGTAATAATAAATGTAGTAAACACGCGCTTGCTATGTAATCAAGTTTACTGCGGCGCGGTCACAATATAGATGATAACAAGGCTCGTGCATAGTGATTGTGTTGATATAAGAAGCGAAACTGGCAGTCAACTCATTTCGATCGCCATTTCACGTAACTTCGCAAAACGCTAGTATAAGAGAACACGACCGCTCCAGGTAGGCGTTTGGCACCGTTTTTTCGTGTTAAGAGCGCAGCCAATAGAAGCATCCCAGCTGCTGAGGGACACGAAACGCGCTCTGGTCGATGGTGATAGCATGGCAACCATAAGTGCCTCTCCCCCCTTGTTCGCTGGTGAGATAAGCACGCGTGCAGGCGAGCACGGAAAAGCGATGATCGCTCCACAGAAAGAGGAGGCGAGTGCATGCTCCTCCTTATATATCATATAGACACATATACGTGAATGATGGTGGCGGCGGCGACGGCAAAAACCAGTCGAGATTGTGTTATCATTGCTATCACAACCAAACTCATAAGCATCCTTTATTTTATTACCATCCTAAGCAGAAAATTGTAACCGTCACAGCCCTAAGGTTGCCGAACACTTGGTACTTCCTTTATCTAAACCGGTTCGATGCCTTTAGTGAAACTAATACTGTGGCTTCAACAAACGTAAATGAAATTTTCGCTCAGTAGAAGGGCTTGATATATCTACGGTGAAACTGGGACGTTGAAGCTATCAGAGGGTTCTATGAAGAACAGATTTTTTTTTTCGTGTGTTGAGCGCATGTTATCGCACATGTTTACTTGTGAAGCATGTTATCGTACGGCAGTCTACTGGAACATAATTTTCTGCTAACTCAGTACTCTTACTCTGCAAGTATAAAATATTTGTACAGTTGGCTGAGAAGTTAATGACCGTAGATGTGTCAGCCGCAAAAGCCTTCAGCACAAACATGCCTTCCATGTTGTTTCAGCGTGAACAAGCTTTGCTGTGACAAATGTCTGTGTAACGGCAAAATGAATTGCGCAATATATGTTTTGTGGTGAAGCGTACTAACCTCCCTTTAAAGTGAATAGAGTTCAGTGGTGAAGCGTACTAACATCACCTAAAAGTTAGTGATTACAGCAAAGAAGTGTATTAATAGTGCGCAATATTAAGGGGGCACTCACCAGGTTCCACAATTTTGAGCTGACAAGCACAATGCGTAGATGAGGCGTTGTCGATCACATCGACCAAAATATACAGCGCTTTGCGCCACGGAAATGGGTCAAATTTCAAGATCAACGTTGCTCTCCCTTCCTTTCGCGGGCACGCTACCAGAGAATGAGGGCACGATGCACACATAGGAATTATACTACGTACACGGCAGTGCTGTGACGTGGGTCCAATACATAGACGACTGTGCTCTTACGTTGCGAACAGTATAGCGCGTGAAAAGGCAAAAATTATTTAAAACGAGATGTGTAGTTTATGTAAAGTGTTGCTGACGAATGGAACCTGTGATAAATAATGAGACGCAATACGGGAATGTGCACGCCTCTTCAATTTTCCCCTTGTTAATTGCAACGAGATGCTGGGCTAAGGTGTCTGTTTTACATGCTTTCATGTCCCCGCGGTGAGAGCATCAAGCAGACGCCTGTCCTGGAAAAGAAATTAATGGTCCTGCACGTTAGAGCACTGATTATCCTTAACTCTTTTACCACGTCTAATTCAGCGTTTCCAAACCATCCCACAGAAACAGGTAGTGGAAAACAAAATAACGTTGGTCAACAAAACGCCATTCACTGCTGGAGAGTGTGGCTTGTTCGGGCACATCATGCGTGCGTGACCTCCTGGTCGGATGCTGGAGAGGGCAGGGAATAGATTTGGCTTGCGAAGGCGACGCGGGAGAACGGCAAGGGTTCCGAGCTGACCACTTTGCATTCTCCGTTCGCTACTTAAAAAAAAACGGTATTGTCAGTTTGTAATGAACCGTTTGAAATATTTTTTGTGGCACAATGCTTTTCATCGGACACACATTAACTTCTACGGTCTAACAAAAAATTGTTACGGGGCCTAGTAAAGAAGGAAGGAAAATAGAGGGAAAAGAACGGCAGGGAGGTTAACCAGACTACAGGCAGCCGGTTTGCTACCCTGCACATGAGAGAAGGATGGGGGAGATGAAAGATAGAGAACAGAGAGGGAAGAGAGAAACACAGCACATTCAGCAGCACACGGGCCTAGTGAGTGGCTCTTTAATACGTACGCCCTCCGCTAAAATAAACTGCTACTGCTTAAAATTTGTGCTATGGGGAAGCTCACTGAAGTTGGTAAAGGTGAAAGTGGAACGTATAATATGAATCCGTTCATTATTATATTGTTAAAATTATTTACGATTGTGCGAAATTATATCGCAGCTACACCTTCGGCCAGCCTGTCGATGGAACCCTTACAGTGAATGTGACGTACGAACGCTACAGCTGGGAGAAGGATGACTACCCCAAGATCAACCACACGGGACCCGTAAGTTGCTTCGGTGCCTTGAACATGTCGTGTGGAAACATAGTTAGACAAAGCAGGACGTTCGAGTATGTTCTACACCAAGTCATGCTAACGCATGACCGAGTCGCTGTTTGACGGTATTAGCTGAGAAGTCGGCGCACGGATGCTTGACAGTGAAGAAATTGTTTTCCAGATCACTTTGTAGTAGTAAATGCCAATTTCGAAGTTAGTTTGACATCACGTTTAAAGAAAAACAAATGTCAGCGGCACAACATATATGCTTACTATAGCCAAGTCATAGGGATAGCAAATGGCCATTTGATATCAAAGTGCTTGCACAGGTGAATAAGCTCGGTGATTTATGTTCGTGATAACCCAATACAGATGAGATGAATCAAATGCTCCAACGGGTGCGACATGGCCCTGTAACTATTATAAGAGCGAGACTGATTTGAATGGCGTACAAAACGAGGGTTCCTACGCATTGAGTCACTTTGTGTTTGCGTCTGAATGCAAACAGTGCCGTCTTTTGTAAAAAAAATGACTGCATGTTGACTTACTAAGTGTGATGACACCTATTTTTTCTCCATTTCATGCAACGTGACGCAGATCAACGGATGTTACGACATGGTCGTTAACACGACCCTGCTTCGCTTCCATGAGAACTACGAAATCTACAAGCGCATCTCGCTCGTGGCGCAAGTGAACGAGACCGGCACTGGTGTGACGATGAACAAGACCAACTTCATCAGCCGCAGCTTCAACCCGCTCGAGCTCAACTTCCTGGATGGAGAAGACGGAAAGAATTACTTCAAGCCTACGATGCCTTTCTACGGCAGGGTGAGTACATGACCCAGTGCATAGAGTTTCCTTATAATAAACTAGAGGGAAATGTGGCGCTAGTGTCTATGGAAGTAGAAATGCACGGCGCTTATGCCTCCATGATTAGAATGATGGATGGCACATGGATTTGTCTGAGCATCGTTCACTAGGCTTCCTTTGGCTCTATGTGGCCGGTATACCCGCTTGGTCACAAGACGATGCTAAGCAAACGTTCAGCCGTTCAACCTCATCACCTTGATCAGGCTCACCAATTCGAATCGGCTCAAGAAGTCAGTAGTAAATACTATGGCAAACTCAATGGCTCAGCATACTTGCCTAAATGTGTACTGCTAAGCAGGCTGCCCTGAAGCGTAATGTTTACGAAGGCTAAGTTCTTCAAGATATATAAATACAATCACGCTTAACATAGCATCATCACCATTTATCAAACATTTTCGTTCGCATATTACCTGAACTTAATTTACATGTCACAAGCAATTTTACATTCTAGCACGAGTTTTTGTCGTAATTCTCTTGTCAAGGATTGTTGCGCATAGGTGCACATGTTGTCAAGTGTTAAAAAGTAGATGAGTGATAACGCGATATTGAAACTGAATGCTAAATTCACGTGCACCTCAAAGGAAACAATTGACCAAACAAAATGGAAGTAAATTGTTTGTCTGTCACAAAGCAAAAAATAAATTTTGAAGACTTACGCGCCAAATCTGCCATATAATTATGAGACAGCGCACATCAGGTGACACTGGGTTAATTTTGGTCAATTGGTTTTTAACAAGCATATCGGTGCCTGACCTTCAACTATTTCCTTTTTTTTCCCCTCCCAGCTTCTGGTGAAGAAGCCCGATGGTGTTCCTGTGGGCGGAGAGCTCGTGCAGCTCTGCTTGCTGTCACAGTCCGAGGAGATTAAGCCCCGTTGGTGGCGTACCGACCGCCGGCTCAGTTGCAAGAACTACACTTCAGACGAGTCCGGTATCATCAAGTTCACCATCCCGCCACTCAAGGCTAGCGTGGTCACTATCAGCGTTGAGGTGCGTGACCAATATATGATCTACCTGGCCTCTCGATTTATATCTCGATTGATTGATTTGTTGGGTTTAACGTCCCAAAACCACCATATGATTATGACAGACGCCGTATGGGCTCCGGAAGTTTTGACCACCTGGGGTTCTTTAACGTGCACCCAAATCTGAGCACACTGGCCTACAACATTTCCGCCTCCAATGGAAATGCAGCTGCCGCAGCCGGGATTTGATCCCGCGACCTGCGGATCAGTAGCCGAGTACCTTAGCCACTAGACCACCGCTGCGGGGTTCGATTTATATCTCGGCACAGAAGTATTCGCAAGTCATAAGCGTGTATTTAACATCAGAAAAAAAAAGCATAGCTCCAAACCCGCATCGTGATGACCCTCGAACATTCTTCTGAAGCACTGCTTTAGATACACGAGTGGTGCTTATGCAGAATGTTTAATAGAACGTTTTGATATGCACAGAGCTTAACATTGATGGTCTACAGTATAATAAGCCCCGTATAGGACCAGTAAGGTAGCCATGCAATAAAATAGAAAACAACTTCATTTTGTCCTGTGGTCAAAATTCATCTTTTGGGCGGACTACTATGCTATTCATGGCCTAAATTGCATTAGGCTTTCGCAGGCTGTGATCGGCAGACACTCATTTTATCAAAACAGAGCTCAAAAAATATCGCTAGGAGACCACACTAGGTGCGAAGTGAAATTAATTCTTGTAGACTAAAGTATACAGTCAACGCCAGTTAACATTTACGAGGACCGCTCGCTTTATTTATTTTTTTAATATAATATGGAATAAAGTCGTATAGTGCAGACAGGTGCGCAAAGAGGGATGTAACAAAATAAAAATCAGCCCTGTGTTCTGTTTCTTCTCTACTCTGTGCCCGCCCATGCGCGCTGTAATAGCTTTTAATCTAGTTGAAAGACCCCTCAAATATTGACACTTATCACTCGACACTAACTTGTATTTTCGACATCTCTCTGCATTGCTCGCCAAGGCTCTACCTCATTCATTCGAGATTCACATTGCACAACCGCTTCTTTCGGCCAACGTACAACGTCGGGGGGCCTGCGTACCCCTTGGTATACACTAGACATTTTGGCGCCACCTCATCATTCTTTGTGACGGCCATGTTACACCTCTCAGCAGCGCCTTTCGATCGCTTCGTTTCAGGCGGTGGCCATGAACTACGAGACGGTGAAGTACGACACGTACGGCGTCAAGATAAACCAGCCCAAGAGCACGCTCTACCTCCAGGCCTGGTACTCGGCGAGCAACAATTTCATCCAGGTGGAGCCGTCGAAGGGCCCCATTCCGTGCGCGGGAAAACACTCCATGCGACTGCGATACACGGGAGAACCCGACACGCAGAAGCAGTTCCACTTCCAGGTGGGGGCAAGGACGTTTTTTTTTTTTTTTTTTTCGGAGAAGCGCGAAACCAATTCGCGCTGTATACGTGCTCGTTCCGTACTCTGAGAACTCTCCGAGAGAGAAGTCGTGACTTTTCAGAGAAAAAGAAAAGGTGAAATAAGAGTCCTTGGCACGTCTTCGTCGGAAATTAATGTTTTTTCACAGACCTTGAGCCGGAGTGGCCATACGCTAGAACTCTGATATCTGAGACTGCTAGCGTTCTTGCATTTCTACGACTTGACTTTATCTTGTCTTTCTTTCCGGTTACTTTTCATCGTTTCTATCATTCGCTAAACTTTCCTTTCTCTTTTTTTTTATGTTACGGCACTTTTCATGTTTCTTTCATCTGAACATTCCTCCTTTTGAAGTTGGCGAACTGTCAATACGGTGTCTGCTGCTTTGATGTGTCGGCGTTTTTTGACTAATAGAGGGCTAACCCTTCGCTTTGTGAAACGATAAGTGTTTACATTATCCTGGTGCCTTCAGATTGTGTCAATTGAGGCTGGGATGAAAGAAGGCCACACTGTTCAGCGCGCAAATTGTATCTCGGTTTTGGCAGCTACTGTGTCACCGTTAGCTGCAACTATATTACGGCTGTTTGTGTATGTTATTCCCTAATTATCTCACAATTTGCACTCACGGCTACAAAAGTAACAAGGCCGCAAAAAGGTAGGATGAATGTCACCGCAGTCGTGAATGTTGTCCGTGGTTTCGTTTTTTTTTTAGCTCTTTCTTTTGTGAAGAAGGGAGGGGGAGGGCAAGCATGGTCTTCAGGAGTGGCACGTATTATCTTTAGGCGGGAGGATGATTTGCATATCGGAAGCTTATATTGGACTTCTGAAATTAGACAAAAATTGGGGCACCCTTACGCTTCGTCATTAAGAATCGAATGCGATAGCAATATTCTTCTCCTAGTGCGTACTTCAAACACTTTTCGAAAAAATCTTTTCGAACTTGCTATGCATCTTCAGCGCGGCCTTAAGACTGTAGTAACGAGTGTGCCCTTTGTGGTGGGTAATTGGCTTTAAACCATGAAGCGATTATAGTAATCGCACGCTCTGACGCCCGATGGCAATGTACGCTTGTACCACGCATTATTACGGCAAAATTTTATGTTGCATTGCCAAGCATATAAAAAGGGTGCGTGTAAAGCATGAAACCTACTTTCAGTGAATTTCCAAGCAAAAAAAGTTGTCATTGTACAAGCCGAGGCGTGGTTGTATGCACTTTGTAGGAAAATGGCATACAGCCATGCCTCTGCATGTGAGTACAGTGACAATAACGTCCTCTGCTTGGAAATTCAGTGAAAGTATACAGAAAGAGTGCCTGTACAAATCTGCTAACACATCGAAAGTATCTTTGTATCTTCAATCAATTGCCGTCTGTGTAAACTTCCAGAAATAATACAATATTGTTTTATTAGTTGTAAGGATGACATCCTCTTTTGAGACGGCCTGCACAGAGCTTTTAAAAAACAGCTGGGTTTAAATTATCATAGCATGCCATCTTGTACCACCCAAATGCAATGATATGCCAGTTTCTTGTTCATGGGCTTGCATAATGCATGAAAAACTCGCACGTTAGTTAGCCATGCGAAACCAATGGTGTCTTCGCGATGTCATTTTGTACAAATGAATGTGTAGCTAAAAGATTTTTATGAACAGGTGCAATGTCAGACCGACTCGCATACAGAGTTCATGAAGTGTGCTGCTCAAGTTCATTTGTAGACACAGTGTTGTATGAGATTTGTTTTCTAATGTATATACCTAAACCTCATTTGTAATAAATACCGTTAAAAAAAAGAGGCGTGGCTGTGACAAAAAAAAAAAAGAGGCGTGACGTCGACAGATGCACGGTACTTATGGGAGATTTCAACTGCGTATGTGAAGCTATTGATCGTTATAATTCGTCTGGAAAGAGAGACAGGAGTGCTGAGCTTTTATCCGGTATTGTAGATAATGCAGGACTAATTGACATCGGGGTCTCGAATCGGGCAACAGCATATACAAGAGTACAAGGCAGCTCTCATGCTCGCCTTGACCGGATTTACGTGTCCTCATCACTCCTATCTCGTGAAATTTTCTGCAGCACCGAAGCTGTATCATTCTCAGACCATTGTATTGGCATAGCGCAAATTGGTGAAAATCGTCCCAAACAATTCCGTCCCCAGTGGGCCCTTTGGAAAATAAATGCGAAGCTCCTCTGTGATCAGGAATTCATGAATCGCGTCCAGATGGCATTGAGGCAATCTTTTTCGATTGGTTTTCATATCTTCGCTGCTTGGGAGCTTTTTAAACAAGAAGTTCGTGCTATAGCTTTAGAAATTGGGGCTGTTAAGTCTTTCTATAGAAAGAATGATGAAAAGATACTTGTTAAAAGTCTTAGCAATCTTTGAGAGATGGAATGCGAAATGCCGGGAAAGTACATCAAAGATATTGAGAATATTAAGTGCCAGCTACAGAGATATGATGCTGCTCGCTACCAAGGGGCAGGTATTAGATCTCGGAACCAGCGCACTTTAAATTCTGAGCAACCGACGCGCCAAGCTTCACTTGATGAGCAACGCCATGCGATTTCTAAAGTTATTCCAGACTTGTACTTTAACGATGTGCTCATAAAAGATAACGGAGACATTACTTTGGCGTTCGAAACGTACTACAACAGCTTATTTAGCTCTCCCTCTGATGATCTTGACGCTCACCTCAAGGCTAGTTTTGTTTCTCTTGTGAACCCTTTGAAGGACAATGATTGTGCAGTCATTAATGGACCCATTACTATACAGGAAATCGAGCAAGCAATCGACAACTTGCCTTTATTGAAAACACCGGGCCCTGATGGCATCTCAGGCGAATTTTACAAAGCTTTCAAGAAAACGCTTGATCCTATATTGCTGAATATTTTTCACATGAGTTATGACATGGATACACTCCCACAATCTTTTTGCAAAAGTCACACTGTGTTAATACCGAAAACAACTGACAAGGAAAAACTTCGCTTCGTCGAGGGCTACAGACCAATATCGCTGTCAAACGTGGACTACAAAATTTTCGCAAAAGTATTAGCAAATAGGTTGCAATTTGCTATGTCGATCCTCATTGGGTCTCATCAGACATGTGGGATCAGAGGTCGATCCATACAAACCAATATACATGTCGCTCGAACAGTGCTTCAATACTGTCATGGTTCTCAAAAACATCTTGGAATGCTACAGGTAGACCTTGCAAAAGCTTTTGATCGTGTTCGTCATTCCTTCCTTTTTTCTCTTCTCGAACAAGCTAATGTTGGCAAAGTTGTTCTTAAAGGCGTTAAATTATGCTATAATGAATGCTCAACTCGTCTGATAGTTAATGGTCAACTCTCCAAGCCAGTTTCTATTCGCTCTTCTGTAAAACAGGGATGCCCGATGTCAACTCTTTTATTTGCACTTTATCTAGAACCACTGTGCTTAAGCATAATACAGTCGAGTTGCATTCGTGGCTTTAGAATATTAGGCAGTGAGGTTAAAGTATTGGCTTATGCAGACGATGTCGCATTCTTTTGTACAGATAAACCAAGTGTCGAAAATGTGGTATATACTATTGAAAAGTTTGGCGTAGTATCAGGAGCTCGTTTAAATGCCTTTGAAAGTTTAGGACTGTGGTTTGGCTTGTGGGGTAGCACACCGAAGCACTTTGCAGAGATTATTTGGACAAGAACTCCTCCAACATACCTTGGTGTGCCATTGCATGCATATAGATTCAGTGCGCATTACTGGAAAGAACGCGTTCCTAAGCTTGAACGACAGGCCCAGACATTTGTGCCCTATCGACTTTCCATATTGGGGAGAGCTGAAGCTTGCAATACTTTCTTAGCGACAAAACTTTACTATGTATTGCAACTTATTCAATGTGCATGATTCTATATACAACGCTTTCATCGGATTTTCGCTACTTTCATATGGTCTTCGACTTTTGAGCCCATGCGTCGTGATAATATATTCAAGCCAGTTAGTGAGGGTGGGTTAGGACTAAAACACCTTTATCTATGGCAAATAGTGTCCCGATTCTTCTTTTTTCGAGACAATTCCCATCCTGTAATCCGTTCCTTCTTGCAGGTTACACTTGTTGATTGCTTACCAGATTTAATTGTTTCATCCAACTTCTCCGAACGCCCAGGCTTGTGGGTATTCATGCAAGAAGTTTACCTCGCAGTTCAGTTCCTTAAAGCTCGCTTCTCTGTAGAATACCTGTACAAAGTATCGCGCAAGGTGCTGTATAAGGACCTACTGAGTACACTCTTTCCACCTCCATTGTACCGTTCCCTGTACGCCAATCTTCCAGGTCACGGTGTGTTGAAGCGAGTGCGCAAAATGTACATTCCACCGCATTCAAAAACATTCTTCTATAAACTCCACTCTGAAACATTGGCGGTAAACACATGGTTAGAAAGAAAAGGTATTTTTTTCATTCCACCTGTTAACTGCCGTCTATATGATGTGCCGGAAACGATTGAATATTGCTTTGTTAGCTGCAAAGATGCCATACCATTTTGGGATGTCCTTCAGCGAGCACTGAAAAAGCGTTTCGTCATTAATTCTCACACAATGCGTTATCTTCTGCCAGCAGCGCTTGATGAAGTACCATATGATATGTTTTTCCTCATGGGTATGCACAGCTTGTGGAAGACACGAATGCAAGACCGCAATGCAGAGCCCACCACCTCTTCAAGCGCACACTTCATTCAAATGGCTATCCACCTAAAAAACATTTACGACGAGCTAGACTTTAGACCGGACTGGTACTCCGTCTTAGAGAACTGTTTGACCTCACCTCTTTTTTGTTTGTATAACACGATGTGAAGAACTCTCTATGTCAGGAACTCGCGCTGTGTTAGCCATTTAGTGTTTATGAGTAACACTTGAACGCTTACTTTCGCGATTTGATTGTACTTTTGTTCGCTTGATTTTGTCTTTATTGCCCAAGTACTTTAATAAATACCATGAAAAAAAAGAGGCGTGGCTGTGAGGTAGAACACCCACTTCTCACGCAATCGACCCGGGTTCGATCCTCACTCAGACCCAGAGTTTTTTATTATTTTATTCGCATATTTCTCAATTTTTTATTCACGTAAAGATGATTTTTCGTGCCCAATCAATGACGCCGGACTTTCTGCGAAACGAGCTCTTTCACGCTGTTACGTTAAAACTGTTTTTTGTTTGCAGGTTATGGCTCGCGGCAAGATACTAAAGGACAAGGTTGTAGATGTTGCCTTCAAGCCCGACGAAGCGGTCCTCGTTGATGACAGCTTTTTGGTGGAGGAAGATTTGAACGAGACGCTTCCTAGCAATATGGCTGAGGGCTCCGTGCCCACGGGCAGCTTCGAGTTTGAACTCGAACCGGACTACAGCTACGTGCCCCGAGTTAAAGTGTTGGCCTTCTATGTTCGGCCCGATGGCGAGGTCATCGCGGACTCCGAGCAGTTCGAAGTGGAAAAGTGCCTCCAAAACAACGTTAGTATATTGCTTTCTAATATGCGACTTGCAGTGAGTGGTGAAACAGCAGTGCTGAACGCGACACTTCACACCAAGCAACAAATTAATAACAGCAAGTTTAATTTGGTTAGGTAAACAAGTTATACGAGCTCATGTTTCACTTTAATATTAATATGTTGTCAGTTGTTCAGGTAACATCAACTTGAGCATTCATAAGAGAACTTACATATTTCCATTGCGTATCCGTACTTTCCACGTGTTATCCTTTTTTTTTGTCGTTCTTATCGCACTTGATCTGATAACTCACATTTCCCAAATTCTGGCTCTATCTTTTTCATCGTCTATATTATTCGCGAATTTTAGTGACGCCTTTTTACCACCTTATGAAATTCGCCATTCACCTATGCTCCTTTTCATGAACCTTTTTACGCGCTGAGCACTTCAGTCTTTCTTGCACTATATCAAAGTCGACCTTCCGTTTGGAGTAATGATACAGGTTCACTGAACCTTGAATAACCTTGAATAAGTGAAATAAATGAATAACTAAATAAATAAATAATAGATAAAATGCCTGCCTATACGTGGCTTGAGCGTGGATACATTGGTGACGGGTGTGCATCGTTTGTTTTTCGACAGGTGTCGATGAGGTTCGGTTCAGAGGTGGTGCAACCAGCGACTTCCGCTGCCATCCATCTTAACGGCTCTCCCCGCTCCTACTGCGGTGTGGGCGTTGTAGACAAGAGTGTTCACCTTTTGAAGCAGGACAATCAGCTGACGAAGGACAAAGTGAGTTATCACGATTCACTCGACTGTCTTTCCTTTCTCGCTTGGCCATGTTTACGTTATTTTCTTTGCGGCACGTTAAGGAAAGTAAAGTATAACCTATTTAGCCCAACGAATTATGCTCATATCTCACCACTACATCATATTGGATGCGGTGGCGTCTACTAATAAGTTACCTTTTTGACCATGGCGTAGGTATACGACATCCTGAAGCGTTTGGACATCACCCGATACACATGGCCGAAGCAGGCGTCATACGACTATTGCCGAAAACAACGTAAGTGTTCATAACCAATAGATTCTGCAGAGTATACATTTTTTAGGGAGGCAGAATTGCTGTAGGCCTGTGTGCTCAGATTTGGGTCCACGTTGAAAAACCCCAGGTGGTCGAAGTATCCGAAGCCGATAACTACGACGTCTCTCATAATCATATGGTGGTATTGGGACGTTAAACCCACAGTATCAGTCAATAATCTGTAGTTTGTCCTGTTTTTTTTTTGCAGATACAGCAATAACAGCAACAATGCTCAGTCGTTACCGGCCTTGCATATTTTTATTTTCTGTTTAGACTTGACGCTTGTAACTCCTAAAAGCGAGTGACCATAAAAAACGTAAAAATTTCACTTTAATGTCACATTATCTAAATGCGTGAAAATTTTTACTGAAATACGATAGAATTGCACTTGTTCGCCTCCGCTGCAAGCTCGAGGCACTCTGAGATACGATAGAATTCAGAAGCGATAAAGTACTTTAGAACTAAACCGCAAAACTAACATTGCAGTTTTAAAAACATGCGAAACGCACTTAGCTGTCACAACAAAGACTTGAACATCTCGTGACGTGCATACTAAGCTGGGATACCGATTACCGCTAGTCTATATGCATCGAAACCGCCACGTTGTTTTCACCCAATCTTATCTAATCATGAATTAATGAGAAAAGACACAACTTGCAGCAGCGGAATGCCTTTTATTGCGATAGCAATTATATACGAACAGTCTCGGCTAGTTTTAGCCGTCACCGCCGTCATCATGCACCATATACGTATACGTATCTATATACAGGAAAACTCAGAAAGAAAAACATTGGCGCCGTAACTGCATGTTACACCGCAAATGTCGTCGAAAGGTGATTATCTTGCGTCTGGAGAGAGCAAACAAAACGTTTATTTGATGCTCTGCGCAAGAAAATCGGTAAATGGTATTCTGGAGGCGCTGCGTTAGAGTGCCTCGAGCTTGCAGCGGAGGCGAACGAGTGCATCAAGTCACGTCAGACGTGAGACATGAGCGCTATTCGGTAGTTATCTTGAAAAACGAAGCGCGCGGCGTGCGCACCCGTCTCGGAGGCGATAAGGTGTAGAACGCAAGGCGACGGGTAGGTGCCACTTACCGTGTGGTCTTAACAAAACGTTGGAACACTTGCCTTTTCATGCAAGCGTCGCATCGTCAGTGCAGCGTGATAAGCGCTATAGTCCTTTGAATTACTTATGTAGGCATTTTCTAGTGAAAAGACACACATGCAGAATATTGACGCGTTGTTATGATGTCTCAGATATGCGCAATAATTACTGTTTAATTTACAATCGCACAAGTATGAACGCTGAAGGTGCTGTGGATAGGGTCGGCCGTTTAGTATTGTTTGGTGCGGTTTAGGGTATAGTTAAGGGCGGACAAACAGGCAATTGTACAGACAGACAGACAGACAGACAGACAGACAGACAGACAGACAGACAGACAGACAGACAGACCAAAATGTTTGCGTCGAAGGTCCCCAAGAAAGACTATCGTCTTTAAAAAGCCGCCCGTGCTCCGCACCCAGCTCATCGCTATGCGACAACACGCACTTATTGCCCACGTGTACTTTGCCCTGCGGATGAAGGCGGGGGGCTAGGTGCCCGTGCGCGAGTGCTTATCCTTCAGTGGGGAGAATCATGTTCTTTGGCCTTTCACCGGAACGACTGCGCTAGTTACCTGGCCCATAAAGGTCACTTCGCTAGCTGGGCAGGCCCCGTTAGTGAGAAGAGCGTGCTTTTCAAACATAGAGAAGTAACAACTGGGACGCTTGTTAGCTCGCACTCATATTTGTACCTGTGATTACGTTTCGTGCGTCGTTTTCGCTTAAACAGCGTGTTAAGCGTCGAGCTGTAAAGGTTGTTAGTTAGCTCTCGTCATGCGTGAGTTGCTTTGGTGCATAATTTGTGCGTAAGCAGCACACTGCATGTTTCGATCTGCTAGCCGTTCTCAGCGTAGCGTTTAAAGTTGTTGCTATCGCATTCATTGCTTCGCCCTTGCAGCGAAATTGTGACTTTTTTTTTGCACGACCACTTCAAAATAGTAAGTGATTGTCTTAAATATGAGGCATTATTTGACTACATATTCATTTTGTTGTTGTTGTCTGGCTTTTCAGTGTTGAAAAACCCTCAACAGTTCAAGCGGAACATCTGGAATGGACCGAGGTCCTCTAATGTGGAATATGTCGATTCAATTACGGCTTTTGACGTAAGTCTGATTGGTACGCTTTTATGCGTGGTACACATGGCAGGAACTGCTGAAACTGTGCCACGTTCGTCACTCTGGCATGAACGCAAGTTTGACACCAAGGCGTTTTTGCGTGGAACTACAGAGTCGAACGTTGTTAAAATGAAAGCCATGTAAATATACATGCCCCATCAAACTTTGAAAAGTGAGTGTCAGTGCAACACGAGGAATGCACAATCATAATTAATTTGGTGACATCATATTTAGTCAACCTGGCGTCGCAGATACCAAACATTTGTGAGACCATGACGCCATCATAACACGTCGCTTCGTGAAAGGTGGACCGATCGCGGAGGCATTGCATAACCGCCTGAGGGACGAAAAGTTCCAAATGCCTCTTCTCCTAGAGACAGTTCCAAAGTACGTTGGGTATGAAACAGTTTTGGCGAGAAGAGAAGGAGTATAAACATAATTTGCTAAAATGAAAAAAAAAAGCGTGGCTTGTTTCGGGGGGTAGTCTTAGACTAATGCAAAACGGAGCACGTCACTTTTCTAGGACATGCTCCTAGGGTCCTAGGGTATACCTGGGATGTACACCAGCAGTCTCGAACTCACCTCAGCCATTGGGCCGCAATCACGCAGTTTAGTGCCACAAGAGCCGGTTGGCACAAGGAAGATTGTATGAGTGAGGGGAAGGGTGGGGAGGGGCTGTATACTATGTGCATGTTATCAGCAAACGTGCACTACCATTTAAAAACATTGCTTCACACATTTCATGTACTAACCACTTCTGAAGGAGATACGGCACAAGGATTCCAGCATGTCGATACCGATTGCCAAAATTACTAAAATCTGGGAAAGGATTTCTAAATAGTTTTATCTCACGGTTATGTTTGAACACATCATCACCACATGAAGTTACTCACGAAAACAAAGAATTAGACCATACAATCATGCCTGCCTGGATCATGAACATACTAAGAAAAAAAGGAGGGTGGCATCAAGAGAGTGAGTTGTGAGCTGCGGGCCGCAATCAAGAATTTGAGAGGTCTTAAACACTGAGCACAGCGTTTGAGACCCCTGACATACACTACGGTAATTTGCGTGACTTATAGCGTTCCATGTTGTTATGTCGTTTTCGCTACGTTCCAGGAATCTGGAGTAATCGTCATGTCGGATCTGACGCTCGAAACGAGGCCTTGCAGGAAGAACATCTACGACAGACCACCATACGCCCTCGCGGCTCCAGCGAGTAGGTTCCTTTTCAATTTTTTTTTTCGCTAAACGCTAGCCCGCTTCTTTCCCCTCAGACCATGGCACGTGATAACAGACTTCCCTTCCTTACTCTTCTTACAATATAATTTTCCCAGCTACCTTACAGTTGTTTTATGATTTTCATTTACTGACATTTTCTGTTCTCTTTTTCTTTCTGCACGTCTTCTATTGCCTCCCCACCTCCTATCCTGGTGTTGGCTCACTTAGCGAGGGTCTCCTTCCACTCCTACGAAGTTGCATATGCTTACCAGGGTTAGTAGCTTGCCTTTATTGATTTTCTCTTTTTTTTTTTTGGTGATTGTCTTCTCAGATGGTTGAGAAAACATGCTTGAAACAGCAAGAGTTCTCGTAAGTTAAAACTTGTGGGTGCCTGCCAGTGCTAGGGCAGCCCCACAAAACTACAGATTTGGTCGGAATCCCGCCACTCTCTTGTTCCTTACGGAATTCTTGATCTTTCGAGCAGGTAATCCACCTCAAGCCTATACGCTTCCCTGGCTCCTTTCTGTTCTTTTGTCTGTCCCGGTCAACTTCTTCTCTGCTGCCATTCTTTGTCGCACAACTGCTTTGTCTCCTGGTTGCTTCACGAGCTCTTCAACGATGCGAAGCACGACAACGCTCAGGCTGAACGGGCGATTGTGCGTGCCCTGTTGTGTGAGCTCTGCGTGCTTTTTTTTTTTCGTTGAAAAGGATGTGCAGCGAATCACACAAACCTGGCAAGCTAAAAATCATTTTTAATGCCTTCTCATCCACTCCATAGCAGCATCTAAATAAGATCTTTTCCTGATTCGGTCTTTTTTGATGGCGGTAGCATTCACGTGATTCCTGACCACACTAACACGCGTGTAACTCTGTCGTTAGTCATGAGCATATTGACGCTTCAGTGTAAATTGATGCAGAAACCTTGCAGGGCATTTCTTTCTTTCGGAATGTTCAAGAAATTATAGGCATGCCGTGCCATTTAAGTATGAAATGCTTAGGTTTGCACTTGACTTGGCTGGAGGTGGGTATTAAAAAAATATGCTTGAAATGCTTTGAGAGCAGGTATACGCCCCGGAAACACATGCACAAACTAATAAAATTTCAGCAGAGACATGGTCGAAGACCACATGGTTTCTTATTCGATCAGATACCATTATTCTCTTTAGGCAAGTCATCGCGGCCACCTACTACAGAAAGCTGCTAAAATAGCGTGTACGCGACATGAAGCAACCGGGAGAATCACCGGCGGTTGCTGATGCGCATCGCATGTAGAAGCTACAACTACATACAAGCTATTGCTTGAATCGAAAATGGTGGAAACTGCTGATGGATGAATGAGGTTAGCGGCTTTAGAGCTATCGCTCTATAATTGTAGCAGAACTGTGAATCGTAGCCACTTTTCTGTAGGTGTCAAGGATGCGGAGGAGTACGACGACGACCAGCTAGAAATAGCAGGTGAGGACTGAAGACAGGTCAATGACCTTACACCTGAACATCTGCATCAAAACGTTGCAGATGTGTAAAATTTCACACTGATAGAGTTGAACCTTATATTCTGGCAGAGTGTTAAAACTACTCTCTGTGCCATGTAGAATAACTTTATTTTGTGTTTTCACAAGTTAGATACACTGAAAAGCGGTGCTTACAGAGATCGTGTGTGACGGTACATTGCTTGATTATTGCCTGCATAAACAAAGTAAGAAGTTTCCGCGTTTTAACGTTTTCTCGATCACAACTTGGAACATTTCAAAGCTTGTTGCTCAGACAGCTGCAGTGTGAACGAGTTCACAATGTATGTAACCGCAGAAAACCGTCGTAGAGTTCGACGACCTGCGCCGTCACGTGCAGCTAAGCATTTCACACTTATTTCTAAGTTTTAGCATTGACCTTTCGCTTTCAGTAATCGGAACTCCCCTAACACTGGAGGACGAACATGCGAAGAATTGATAGCTCAGCCTTATTATATTGTTTTATCTATGAAATGGTAACAGGATCATGTAGAGAAAAACGGCACTGACTTTCAACTCAACGTTTTTTTCACTCAAGCACAGCTATATAAACCAAACGCTTGCAAAAAAAAAACACTGAAAACACATTTGCGAGCGGGCTCTTGTCAAGACACTACAACTCTGACCCTTTATAACTAGAGAAATCTTTGAGGCAACTATCATATCAAATGCGGTCACTCTCAACAGCCTTACTTTAAAAAGTAACTTTCCTTGATAAAAAGGTAAGCAAGAGCGACTTGACGAATCTGTGGGTTGGGTAATTTTTTGGTGTGTCAAGTGTTTATTGTGTACAACTGTACACATGCCGGATAAACAATTTCTTGAAGGTCAGTGCAACGTTTGTCTGCTAGTGCACTTCTCTGTCCCTGCTGGTGTCTGCAAGGTTACTTTCAATATGTTGAACGAAGAAGTTCAATTCGGTCCGTCGGTTGTATATGCCTTTGAATAAATCCAACGCACAGGCGCTCAAATAAAATACGTGAAAGGCAGTTCATTTTTGCCCTAATCAACTACCATTAACGTGCAAATTGATCATTTATAATATGCAAAAACCAGTCGTAAAGAGTTTCAGTAAACAACACAGTTTTCAACTTTCTTTTCCCTCTTCAATGTACATCAGCAGCCCTGCGGAGTGGCGGAGGCCGCCAGAGAGGTGACAAAAAACTGTTTGGTAAACGCTGAAAAAATTAAAACTAGCAGCTGCTGAGCTTTGCTTAGCTTACGTAAGAGCGGCAGCAAAAGGCTTCGCTTAACACGCATACCCCATAGTGCAGAACACTCAATTTCAAACATTACGAACAATAGAATCGCGAAAAGATTTCCGAGTGTCCTAATCGAAAAGAAAGAGAAATGTGTACGTAGGTATGCACACGGGTGCAGTTAAGATATGCCCAATTAAGTAGCAATTAACCATTAGCTCGCACAAAAACTACGGTCACTTAAAATTAGCCAAACGTTCACACTTCCTCTTTCTTTTTCAAGAAACGACGACAAGCCCTACCCTGCATCTAACGACCTCAGGTGAAATATTTGAATTTAATACACAGGTCGAGAATGATGGTGGTGGTTTTTTTTTTTTTTTGTTCTGTGCTAGTCAAACACCTGCATTACCGTCTGTAAACTTTGAAAGCTAACCCAGGGACGAAACTTTAACACCGACATTAGCTCTTGTCTTTTCTTTCTTGCTTTTCCCTTCGCACGTGGCAACGACATCTAGTGCCGACAGCCGTCCCGTTCAGGGCTACGCAGAAAGGTGAATGAACACACGCACATACTATACCATACGTTATGGCCCACGTACTGTGTGGGCTTGCCTGCTGTTTGCACTGCTGGTCTTGCCTAACAAGCGGTATGACGGGTTCTCGGTAAGCGTGTCGAGGGCGGTATGCCGGCGTCTCTCGCTGCGCACGCGCAGTTGGTGCTGCACTCAAGGGCGGGCGGCTGTGTAGGCAGCGGCGACGCATCCATTCGTCGCGCCATCTTTGCTGATCTTTGCTCCACTGTCCTCGGGTGGCTGCCTCCTCGGGTCCCCGGCTCCCGCAGCTAACACGCAAGAGTTAAAGAGTGGATACACGAGTTTGTTTGAGTGCTGCGTGACGCTCAGGCTTATTCGGGGAGATGCCCTATGCGTGATGCGTATAGTGTGGGTAAGAAAGTAATTAAGCTTGCAAAAGATCTTGCCTCCGCAGTTTTCAGCAGAATCTATCAGCTCTGTTTGACTGATATTAACAAAGATGAGTGCGTCTGAAGTGAAAGCAAACATTCCACAAATGAAAGGAACAAATATATCGTGCAGGAACTACGAAATCACTGAAGGTAAAGGGATCAACACAAGGCAAAGATTAAATACCTGCATGAACAAGCCAACGCTGACATTAACTCACTTCAGTTAATTTCTATTTACAATTATGTTAATGATATTGGGTGACATCGACTCTTGTGACTTGTCAGTAGGCTAAGCGTCTCTGTAATACCGTATTCATACGTCTCTCGGAACTAGTGACTGACAACTCTTCTATCAGAGTATATAGCAAGTCCCCTAATTCTTACTTAGGAATTCTCCTAAAGGAACATGAACATTAGGGAGCCTTCATGTGCCTCGCACCCACATAAAAGCTCTTTAATGAACATGCAACGGGAGCGCCACAAAAAACGGACGAACGAGCGATTGAACTAATAAGTAAACAAACACGCAAACAAATCATCAAATAAGATCATGTGAAAGGTACTGAATTTATGGCAAATAAGTTGCTAGTACTACATATAGGTCTTCAAGGTCCATGAAAACCATGAGCTGCACATGCACGTGTTGAATCAACAATTTAACTGCTTAAAGGCTACTGCATGCGTAATTCATAACAAATAAGTCGTTGACTATTCGTATTCACTCTTTTCCAACAGTAAGGCGCCTTTCAGCACCATACCTTTAAGGTCCCGCTCTGCGTCAAAAGTAATTGTGCCTAGGGGACTGAGAGTTATGCTGGGCCTGCATTGTATACAAACAGAATCAGCACCTCCCCGAGTGCTTGTCTGAGCGTCGCGCGGCCATTGGCTGGCTGTGCTGACTGGGCTCTTTTTTTTTGTTTTTTGTTTCCTACCCCTTCCGTTTCTTCTGTTTCCTATCTCTATCTGTCCTTGGTCAAAATGGTGGCTGCGTGCACTCGTTGCCCGTTGCGTAGTACCCAGTCCTAGGCCGCTCGCATTTGCGGCACGTCCTGGGCTGCCACCTCCACCCGGCGCCACCGCCTTTTCCAATCGCGTTGTAGGTGGCTTGGCTGGAGTTCCCGTCGCACTGGACTCGGTGGCACAGAGCGCTCCGTCTTTCAACATCCCGGCCAAGTCGGCCGTCGAGGTGCGCACCTACTTTCCCGAGACCTGGCTCTGGGATCTCAAGGAACTCGAGTGAGTCTTTTGTTATATTGACGTGCAACACAGTACCGTTTCCGTTTGGGCCATTTGGTACATCCTATAATGCAGCAGGGCAGTGCCAAAAGACACGGGCAAAAAAGAGTTGTACTGATGACAGGGGGAAGATCCCCAACGTTACTTCCGCACGCCAAAGTGGACACACGTCCAGTAGACGTGTGTTCAGTAGACTTGTCTACTATTTCACGTTCCAAGAGGATCATGAAATGGCCATAAGTCTTTGGCGATAGTTTCATTGGCGTTAAGTAAAATTTAGAGTTTGCGCCCATCTTGTAACCCTCTTCTTTGTCCGTTTGTTTTTGAACTGCCCTGTTCAGTGTTTTACATACGATAGCGTGAGCTCTAGTTTCATTTTTCTGAATATAGGCTTCAACACTTTCTCGCACTCTCTCGCTGTTTAAAAAAATGCGTCCTATGTTTTTTTTTGTTTTTGTTTTTAGCGAGCACGGTGAGTTGAGCTTCAAGGAGAAGATTCCGCACACCATCACCGAGTGGGTGGGAAGCACCGTGTGTATAAACGCGGAGGACGGCATCGGCGTCTCGGACCCGGCTAAGATCAAGGCGTTCCAGCCTTTCTTCGCGTCCTTCAACTTGCCTTATTCGGTGGTGCGCGGAGAGCTTGTGCCCGTCAAAGTGTCCGTCTTCAACTATCTCGAAAAGTGCCTGCCGGTGAGTGCGCAGCCACCATGCATTTCCCTCCCGGAGCCCACTCCATAGCTGTAAAATTCGAAAGCCATTATTTGTCTGGTTATACAAAACACTGGCTAATATACTCCGCTCACTCCACCCCGCATTACCAGCGCACAAAACTTGAGTGCATCCATCGTCATTCATAAGCGACTTAAGGAAGGCTTACAGTACCTAAATTGCAATCCCATAGCAGCTTCATAGAAATGAGCAAGTCCATAAACGTTTTTAACCTATTAAAGAAAGTTTTGTGATTCAATAATCAATCACAGGAACGAAAGAACGCCATTTGTATCCAATCGTTCTGTACAGGTAAAATACACCTATATCAGGACTCTACTGGTGTACTACTATTCCGTTTTGTTTCCGCTCTGTTTTGCCTGACACCACCTTTAGGTCACCTGCCAACAGAAGCATGTGCTGGAACGAGCAATATTAACTGGCGGTTCACCTTGAAGAACTTTCGAATTTAAAGAGCTGTGCAGCAAATGGTACTATACATATTTGACACGAGAAAAGCTACTCTATAGTATTTCGCTGCATCATTATATAAATGTCCCCTAGCACCGGACTGTCATTTAAGCTTAGTCTGCACATGTTACTACTACACCTACCCCGTAGAAATCAACATTCGCTGTCACTAGATATGCCTACGAAAAACAACCCCGCATATGAATGCTGAGATGGCATACCTACAGGTACTCTGTATTCTCATTCGCTGCTTCTTTTTGTCTCTGCGGTACAGGTCGACCTGAAGTTGGCGGAGTCCGCAGACTACCACATCGAGGGAGAGTCGGAAACAACGCTTTGCGTGTGTGGCAGCAAGAGCCAGGTGCACAAGTTCCAGATCAGGCCGCACACCATCGGAGAGGTGAACCTGACTGTGTCAGCTGCCGGATCACAGAGCGACACGGCCTGTGGAGAGCAGCCCGTGGAGAAGGTGGTGGCCAAAGATGCAGTCACTAGGCCACTTATCATTGAGGTAACAGTCAGTACATTCATGTACTAGGTACGGGCTGTCACAGGTTAACAGAGCAACTTCTAAATAGATGAAGCGAGCAGAGGGAGCATGAGCGGATTGGTTAGGAGGAGGCAGAGTGGTCGGCCTGTGTATTTGTGCGCTCTGGCCTGCTACTCGGGACAGGACAAAAGGAAAAGGGGAAAATAAGACATGAAGATGGTGATGAGAACCGGAGGAGGGGATGGTACGATAAACACGAAACGCAACGATATTCTCAGTCTCGTCTCTATATTCCAAAATACTCCTCAAAAAGTTTATAAATACCCTCGTAGCAGTTGCCGCTCTATCTGGTAGCACATTGCAAGCTCATACTATCAGTGTAATAGTTATGAAAACAGCGAAACCAACATAAAGACGAATTATATGCATAGTACTTGTGTTCTGAAAACATAGCTCTTTCTCGACTCTCTGTTGCTTTACTTTCATTGCTTAAATAAATTAAAATAAGTTATCACTTATTTTTGCCCAGCGTAACAGCATAACAGCCTAAGATGGTAATACCTGTTCAGTAATGCTATCAAATGATGCATCTCGTGCATGTACAGCGTTTTTTCACACATGCACATATAGTTTTTAACGAAATCTTGAGAATTAGGAATACGGCTAGAAATGTTTTCCTCTCATGTTTTAAGACTAAGTAGTTGTTATGTTTGTTTTTTATACTATATATAATATTCAGTGTAGTCAAAACACACTTCTTTTTCTTCTGCAGGCTGAAGGTTTTGAAAAGGAAGAGACCCAGAGTGTGTTCGTATGCCCTAAAGGTAAGACTTGGTTCACTTAATTGCGATAAATAATTACGTGAACACTTTCGGCAGAATTTCGCCGCCATCATCGCCATCATGTCCTGTATATATACATGTATGTATAGGTACATAAAAGCCACAAATAAAGGTAATTCAAGAGAAAGAACTTTCGAAGCACCCGGCTGAGGACTTCAACGCGCGGCGCCTCGGTCCGCAGTGCGCTGTGTTAAACAAATTACTTGAATTCGTAATGTAGCAGAACAAAATAAAGACCGACAAAGTTGCACACAAGACAACCACTAGATTTCCACTGAAAGATAATCTGGCTGAACATGGAATAAATTATGGCTCAACACTCTTTGCTGGCTGTTCAGCCATGATTTATGTGTGTTTGTGCATGTGCTTGTATGTCTGAATGTATATATGCAAAAGCAAAATTTCCAAATAAAAAGTATTGTGAGGTTGAGCACCCCATCCCTCCCCTCCTTTACTACGCCAGTGAAGCCAAGGCAGCGTGCTGATCCTCACATCAGTGGCGCGCAGAATCCTTATTGGTTGGTTTCTTTGCCTCTTACGCCATAAATTTATTCATATGCAACCACCCATTATAACAGCTAGCTTTCGGCCATCAGATGTCGCATGCCCCACTGACGCAGGAGGATTGTATTCCTTTTAAGCCGTATACGCCTTGAAAATTAAGCCCGTAGATATGAAGTGTACAATCCACTCAACATGATATTATCTGAAACATGCAGACATTATGCTCCGAATTTAAGGCTGTGTTTTTGTATGTATGTTTGTTTGCTTGCGTGCTTGCTTGTTTAACAAATCTGCATCGACGTAAAGCAGGTGATAGAGAACAGGTTGCCTTGTGCAAGTATGTTGCGTCGTTTATCTTAGACATTTATGAATAACGCGCTCACCGAGTAATAAACAAATGTGTCTTGTTTAGAAACTACTGGAAAACCACCTGCGTTCCTAAACGTTGTTCCAAAAGAGCGTGTGTACGAATGAAGAACGACCCTTGTCAAAATTGTGATCTTTTCTTGTTCAGATGCCATAGATGAATTTTTCAAGGATGAATTTAACTTGGTCATTCCAGAAGACGCAGCAAAGAACGAGTTTGACTTGGTCCTTCCTGAAGACTTGGTGGAGGGATCCGCCCGCGCTTACGTTTCCGTAACAGGTAAGATGATAATGTAGATGTCATGCGTTTGTACGCTGTTGTTATGAATCTTTGCAAAAAGTTAATCTTCACGAATCCTATATTAAAAAGGAATGATAGCAAAGAATTTATTGTAAAAGTTGGAAGCACTACCCGAGCCTAGTAAACTTTTTTCACATATGACACTTTTTACGCCACTAAAAATGCCAGTGCAACAAGAAAAAAAAAAGAATACACGCAACTATCATTTGCATTTAGGGATTGAAATCCACTAAATCATAGCGCGCATTGTTAATGGCTGATAATAACACATCGCAATAGCTGCATTAATTATAAATTGATGCTGTGATTGACGTGTGATATTCCGGCCAGTGACATGCCTCACTTGCTACAATGTGTATTGCACCATTGATACATCGTGAGCGTGCTGGCAGGAACTTGCTGGGCAACGATTACAGATTACAAACCCTCCACCATTTGCAACACCATTCGCAATGTTTTCGAACACACAAACTTTCTACTGTTTTTAGTTGCAGTTCTATTAAAGAGGTAAACATTATATATATATATATATATATATATATATATATATATATATATATATATATATTATATATATATATATATATATATATATAACCTGCTCACGGCTGGTTATTTTTTCATCCACTTTTCTTTCTTATTTACATTCCATTGGTTCTAATAACCTCCCCTGTACATTCCTTGGCATTACTCTCTGTTAGATCTCATTAATATTGTGTTAATACACGGAAAAAACGAGCCCTTAGGTATACACTTCTTTCCCTTATATATATATATATATATATATATATATATATATATATATATATATATATATATATATATATATATATATATATATATATATATATATATATATATATATATATATATATATATATATTCAAAAACGCAACATATTCGCCGATGAATAGTTCAATACTTTCTACTTCTTTTCGTACTCGCAGGAGATATTATGGGCCCCGCAATCAAGAACCTCGGCTCACTAGTGCAAGTGCCTACGGGATGTGGAGAGCAGAACATGGTCAAGTTCACGCCCAACGTTTACGTGCTCGACTATCTGAAGGCGACGGGAAAGAACCAAGAAGAAATCGAAAGGAAAGCAGTGAACAACCTCAAAACAGGTAATAACAAAAGTTTAACTTTCTGTATACTATCATTACATAACCGGTGTTCATTTTGACGTAGAGCTACGCACTTTTGTTGTGCTCGTCTCACTCTATTTATGGGATTCATCACCAAGTGCCTGGAGTAGCATTCCAGGCAAAAAGTCAGATAAACATCTTCAGCTCTTCATTGAAATTTTTTTTCGCTCTTTTCACATAATAAAATTTGTTATTGGTTCAACTAAGTAGACAGACGCACTAATACATGGCTCAGTGGAGGTCCCTGTTTCATCCTCTCTGGCTAGAAAGCCCGGAAATAAATTTGACATTACCTGCGGATCATGAGACTCGTGACATTCGTAACCACACAAGGGCGTAAGCAGAATTTTTTTTTTGGGGGGAGGGTTGGAGGTGTTCAGCCATACTTTATGTATGTTCGCGCATGCGTTTGTAGGTGTCTGTTCACATATCAGCATCATCATCATCATCATCATCATCATCATCATCATCATCATCATCAGCCTGACTACGTGCACTGCAGGACAAAGGCCTCTCCCGTGTTCCGCCAGTTAACTGGGTCCTGTGCTTGCTGTGTTCACTTATACACGCAAGCAAAATTGAAAATTTTTGAGGAGGTTTGGCACAATTAGATAATGCCTCAATCTATACGGTGAGAAAGGTAATACAGCTCATACTAATTCAATATAACAATTCTATTGTGGTTTTTCTCTCTGCTTCACAATGATGGTTCTGGGTACATCATCCGAATGTTGATTGCAGTTCACATCACCTACCTACGCACAGTGAACGAGTATTCGCTTTTTACAGGTTATCAGCGCCAGCAGAAATACAAGCATTACGACGGCTCGTACAGTGCCTTCGGAAATAGCGACTCATCGGGTAGCATGTTCCTCACGGCGTTCGTGGTGAAGTCATTCAAGCAGGCCGAGAAGTATATTCCCATTGACGCCGGTAACCTCAACGAGAGCATTAAGTGGATCATAACCAAGCAGAAGACCAACGGCTGCTTCCAAAACGTCGGCACTGTTCTCAGTTCCGGTCTGAAGGTAAGAAACTAACATCAGTTGTAACATTGTTTGTGTGCAATGAAAATGCGCTGTGCTTGTAGACTAATTTAGGCTTTTGAGGTACTTCCTGTTTTCAGCGGTGACGTTTTCATAAGGGCGTTGCTTTTGTGACAATATACACAAATAACGCCTGGTCTTGCCTACACCACATTTTCTCGTTCGCAAACATGACTTAACCAAACAGCTCCGTTTTCGGTGCACGCTTATGCTAAACACAGTCGGTCTTATCCCTGAACTACAAACTACAGCTCTAGCTTCTTACCAACCACAGCCAAGCCCGCCGAGTAAGCGGACTGTTACTATCTGCTTTAGCTTTGTTCTATCCTACTCTGTATCCCTTGCTGATTTTTATTTTCGGTTTTCACTGGTTCGCTGCTTTTAGACAGCGGTCGAAGTCAGCAGCTTCCGTAGGGGAAATAGCCAAGCACCAAGTGGAGTCGACTGAAAGGAGGACGAGTGAAAGTAGAGCAGTATAAGCGCTGGGGAACTTGAAACGAGAGGGTAGCAACTTGTTAATACAACATGGACGCCTTTGAGATTGGAGGTGCTGAAAGCATAGACTGTGAAGAATGCTCATCTCAGACTGAATCGTTAAGCGACGGTCGGGCTAGATTTGTTTGAGCGTGTTGCCTTCTATCAGCATAATTGCTCAGCTAAAACATTGGGCTATAGCGAAGCGCCATGTAAGCCTCGCTGCAGATGTCATCACCGCTATGACTAACGCACTTTTCTTGCGGTAGCAAATATATTAACGGTGTACGTATCTATATCAATGAAAACCCAAGAAAGAAAAAAGGCCACCCCCACTCCGCACCCAGCTCGTCGTGATGCGCCAACGCGCGCTTATCTCCCACGTGTATTTTGTCTGCAGATGGGGGCGGGGGGGGGGGGGGGGTCAAGAGGGGATGGGGTTAGGTGCTTGTGTGCGCGCTTATCTTTTCGTGGGGAAAATTGTGTGCCTTGGCCTTTCATTGGAGCCATTGCGTTAGTTGCCTGGGCCACAAAGGTCACTTCGCTCGCTGGGCAGGCCCCGTTTGCGAAAAGAGCGCGTTTTTCAAACACAGCGAAGTAAAACTGGGACACTCGTTAGTTCGCACTCATATCTGTATCTGTGATTACAGTTTTGTGCGCCGTTTTCGTTTAAACAGTGCGTTAAGCGTCGTGCTGTTACGTCGTTGGTTAGCTCTCGTCCTGTGTGTGTTCTGTTCAGTGCGTCATTTCTGCGTGAGCATCACTCTGCAAGTTTAGATCTGCTAGCAGTTTTCAGCGTTACATTTCAACTTATTGCTATCGCATCCATTGGTTCGCCCTTGCGGCTGAAACTGACTTTTTTGTTCACCTCCAGTTTTTCCAGATGCTAACGGGACAAACAAGCGAATACTCTCCACAAAACAAGCCCAAAAGAAGCGAAAACATCACGAATTTTACTAATATTGAAATATTTCAAATATAATTTAAAATAAATGTCACTCGCATAGTGAGGAGAGCTTCGAATGACTTTTTTTTTCAAGGAAAATATTCAACTACAAACAAAACGCATAGATACTTTTCAATAAGTTCTCCAGAACTGCCTTCATTCGGCTGAAGACATGTTCGTCCGCACATGGCTAACGTTATTCACTGATTTCTCAATGATGTTTGAGTGCAACATTCAACCATATTCGTGTGTACGGTGCGTGGGTACAAGGGGGGGGGGGGGGGTAGCCGTCCCTTTTAGTCACCCAAAAATTTGGGGGTGCAGAATCTGGCCCATACATTGACTTAGTGGGACAAGGGGAAAGGGGGAAGGGGCGAGAGCTGCAATAAACCTTCACCCTCATTTATGGGGGACATTGTGCATTCCTGCACACTCAACTAATGTGATGTGCAGCGAGACTCAATGATGCTCCTCATTTACATAGACGAACTTTTTTTTACTGAGCAGTACACTCAGTGCCACAGAAGAGAATCTTCCATAAGTTTGATTTGAGGTTAGTTTTCAGGATACCAGTTAAGTTGTTTTTTTACGAGTAAACATAAGGAGCAGACAAACATGTGAGAACAGAAAAGGAAAAAAAAAACGTGCGAATTTCGTTAAAAATAGTCGAAACTCGCGTTATTCAGCAGTATGGACCTCGACACAGCTGGTTGAACATGCTTTTTGCTATCACGTGTCATGTTATCTCCATAAGAGCTGCTTTCTTGTTTTTCACTCTGATACTTTTCCCGCTTCTGGTACAGGGCAAGGTTAACTCTACTGCTCCGGGTGCGCTGACGGCATACGTGCTGACATCACTACTTGAAGGCGGCCTCGCTGACGCTCAGGTCGTAGAGTCTGCGCTGCGCTGCATCAGCGCCCAACGTGATCCGAGTGCGCACAACTTGGCTCTGTCTGCCTACGCCGCTGCACTGGCCGGACACGAGTCCGCCAAGGATTATCTTGAAAAGCTCGAATCTATTGCGGTTCACAAGGGTGAGTCTCCGTGACACGGATTTTGTTTGGGGTCAACAAACGACAGAGAAGGCGAATGTTTCGTCAGGTCCGTCTTTATTTTTTTGCTTTCGTTTCACGCCAAAGTATGGTGTTCGATTAGGTAAAAATCAACAACAATAATTAGAATCAACATTTTGTGCCTTTTGTTATATATACATCACTACGTTTTATCCTGACGAAATTATCTGTTATGACAAGGAATAAGGTGTGGAACATTGCACATTTACTCGCACAAAGGTTCTTTTGATTAAAACTATAGACTGGGCTTAATGAGTCCGCACATTGCCTTCACGGTGTCGAGTGAATCTGTAAAATTACACTACAGCCTTTTTGTCATTTCCTCAAGATTTGCATAATCCTTAAGGCTACAAGCATTTTATATTTATGGCGCAGCTGCCTGAAACAATTTACGAAAAAGCGAAGTGTGTACATCAGTGTTACGTATATATAGCTGCGTGGTTAAGTGGCAGGTGCGTATTGCCGTGGAGTCCAATGAGGGACGTGTTCCGTCATTCAGGTGGCCTTACGTACTGGAGCAATGCCGGCAAGAAGGGGCCTTCAGCGTCGGCCGACGTTGAGACAGCAGCGTACGCGGTGCTGGCCTACCTGAAGCTGAACCCGCAGGAGAACCTCAACAAGGCGCAGCCAATTGTCCGCTGGATGGCAACCAAGAGAAACAGCCGCGGAGGCTTCCCGTCTACACAGGTATGTTTGACCTTTCGTGTCCAGTACTTAAACGTTCCTTGTGGGCACATGCCATCAATAGGGAGTTTTGGAATAGCGGCCCCAAATGTTTGGGACCCCAAAGTTCTTTGCGTACGCACGCTTTGGGCCAAACAGGAGCGAAAAGTTTTCGAATAGGGTCTGCGGTGCTTTGGATACTCACCCAATTCTTGGTCATGCCTCTTAAGAGGGTGCCATCACGTTTGTTTTACGCAAAGCGTTCGTATAGCAGGCTTTGGGGCTCCCGCTAAATTTGAGAAATAGCGTCTCCAATCCAGAACCCAAACGTGGTTTGGGTTTCGCGCATGCGAAGTGGCGTTGACTCTTAATCTTTGGGGCCCCAAACTTTTGGGGCTATTCGAAAACTTCCTTATGTATTTTGTTTTGCGTAAAACTACAAAAAACGTGAAAGAACGAAGGTTCGTAGTGGTATTCCCGATAGCTAGAACTGCCCTTGCTTTATCAAGCTATACACTGTCTGCTATAAAATGCCAAGTGAACAGTTTCAAGCAATATAATGTCAAGGAAACAAGCTGCTGTTAAAGATATTATGGTAGCAATTAAGAAGAAGAAATGAACATGGGCTGGGCTCGTAGCGCGTGGGCACGATGACTGCTGGACACGAATAGTAGCTGACTGGATTCGAAGAGAAGTCAGATGCGTGTGAGGGAGGCAGAAAGTTAGGTGGGCACATGAGATTAAGAAGTTTGTACGTGTAACGGGACAGCAGAAAGCATACGAGCAAGGTTGATTGTGGCAACACGGGAGAGACCTTTGCCCGAAGTAGGTGTAGTTATGATGATGATGACAGTATCTGTGCGAATACGCAATGCCTTTCAGCCAACCAGCGCCAAGTAAAAAAAAACAATCTTATGTGCTACAGAATTAGTATTCGCCCACTATTCTTCTGCGGCATATGCTACGCGTCATGATATATTTTACAATCTCTAAAAGTAGTAATTAAGAAAATAAAGATTGTTTAAATAACTTAATAAATGGGAGCTCTAGTGAAAAGTCTTCAGTATAAGCGTTGCAGTGTTTGTCCAGAAACGTCGCATTATTCAATCTTTCCCACGATAACTATTAATCCGCTATGCTGCGTAAACAAAGAAGGGTGCCTAATAATTTTTCAGTATAGTCATCTTGCGAAAGATCTCTAATACGCTATTTCTAGCACTTCTTTTAGGAAGGTAGATTTATTTCATCGATGCTGAGAATACTACTGTGTTTTAATTTAGCCCACTTCTTTCTTTAAGACGGGCGAAGGTAAAGAATATATTTGGTGCAATTCAACGGAAACACCTTGCATAGAACTCGTGGAAGACACGGTAAGAACATTTCTGCCCACATGTGTCGACTGCGAAAACACGACTGGTGACCTAAGTTTTAAAGATAGTTGAGACAGTACCTGCGGCCTGGCGAACAACGTCGGCATTCCACATCACTACGAGCTTTATACATTTGTCTACATTGAAGTGTGCGGGATGCAGGCGCCTGTGGTCTTTCCCGCAAGGGCCAGAGCTCGTTCAAAAGATGTGCTTTTGTTTGCATTGCGATGCTTTGCGAGATCGCGGAGCCTTGCCGTTTGGCGTCCAATCAGAGAGAGTGCCGCGGTACTGAGAGTGACTATCAACGAACATGCAGCACGCCATTTCGGCTATAGTAGTGCCTCAACGAACCGTGCAGCGCCTCATCTTTCCACATTTGTACAAACAAATCTGCGAACAATTCATTAGCTGCATTCTAGGCCCTGCATTCTAATATCATTTGGCTTCGCGTAAACTTCGCAAATATAGTTCATGATAAGATAGGCTCTGGCGCTGTCGCATCATAAACACTTATTCGCTCTTTGAGAACTGGCGCTGTCTGCTATACATTATTTTAATTTAAACGGAAACGAATTTCACACTGATATTCAGGGCATCTGTGTGTCATGTTCCGTGTGCTTTCTGTTCAAATCGCGCCCCGTGTACGTTGTTAGGGAAGCATGATTTGATCAAAGTATTAGGCATTTGATCAAATCAAGCCGGATACATGCTAAATGGTCATGCTGTACAAATATCCACATACGTACAGACCTTTAGGTAGGCTTCTTAGTTGCGCGCACGCAACAAGTCTACGTACGCAGCACGACACGTTTCGTACGCTGCAAGCGAAGCACTAAACAGCTCGTCCAGTTTACTGTATCGACCGTACCGGCATGCTTTTCGTTCAACTAGACGTATCTCATGAGAAATGAAACAGCATTCGAGTGCTTCTTAGCGTCAGCGTGTGGTAGCGGCCGTGATAACTGCTACCGGGATCCAAGTCAAACCGAATCATTTTTTTTTTTTTTTATTGGCGCTAGTATGCCCTACGGCATCAGTTAAATAAAAAGAAGTTTTGTTTCCTGTATGAAGGCCAGGAGTTGTCGATGCAGTGGACCGTGCGTCCAGCGCGTCAAGTCAGGTGGTCGGCCGGGGTGGTGGTGAAGGCCGCGTAGGTGGCGAGTGCGAGCCTGGTGAAGGCCCGGGCAGGTTCCCAATAGGTGATCAAGCGTTGCCTCTGTGGCTGGGGCAACGCAGAATGGGCACGTCGTTGGGGGAGGCTGTGCACCAGATGTCCATGTAGCCCGGATTGCAGGAGTCAAGGCGGCGCCCACACGAATCCTCCTGAGCGCAACCTCCTCTCGGCGAGTTAAGCCGCCGGGAAGGTCAGATCATTAGATCCGAATCATTAGATCGACGTTTTTACGTTATGTGCCATCTCGCAATCTGGCTGCTCGTTCATTCGAGATCTCGCGAGAGTGTCGCATAGCTAACGCTACGTATCGTTATGTTTGAATGCGCCGGGTAGTTTTTTTTTTTTTTGCGGGCGTGCGCACACATCAATGGAATATATACGTTACGTACTGCGTACGTGCACCTCCCTCTCGAACCCGTGCTGTGTACGTAGGCTTGTGAAGTAAGTCCAGCTAAAGGTGTCTAGTTTATACGAACATTGAACATGTATTTTGGTAAATGAAATACACTATTTTATTGTATTTTGTAGAGGTCGTTCTACATACCGGTGGTGTTACGAATGGAAATAGTGTTTAGAACGTGATACCATGGGAGCCTGTTCCATGCCGCTCACGTTGGTGTCTCCACATCTAATTGAGCTTCGTTATTAATCTAGAAGCTTTGAACAGGGTCTCATCATCATGCATGATAGTGGTGCTACGTGCGTGGTTGAATACATGTGATACCGCTGGCTCGTTGCCCATTTTATGCATATGAAACATTTGAATTCAAGCAGTGCTAAAGCGTGCAAATGTTTTCAACATTTTAGGACACAGTTCTTGGCCTTCAAGCTCTCTCAGCGTTCGCCACATTTGTCAGCAAGGATCCCGTCGACATCACAGTTAAAGTTGACGGCAACGAGGTTAGCGAGACTTACAACCTGAAGGAGGACACTAAGCTGGTCGTACAAGAAAGAAGGTTGTGAACTTGCCCAACAAGCTCACCTCAGAAGCATCAGGTCCCGGGTGTGCTTTGGTGTCGGTGAGTCGGATTATCCTTCTGTGTAAACTGCTTCAAGACAATTAGCGTTTCTTAACGCTCCGTAGAATTTTCGAGGGCAAATAAAATACGTAATAAAACTGGAACAACGTGGTTTGATCACAGACCCAATCTTTTTTTTTTATTTACATGACGTGGCAGTTGACTGTAAACATTAGTATTGCACTTTCTGTGAAGTTTTCTAGCTTGCCAATTATTAAAATTAAACGTGATAAAGTCTTCAATTGCGAGGAGAAGGTCACAATATGCGCAAAAAGAAATAACTTTGAATTTTTTTGTAAAATTGCTTGTTATGTGTAATGTAGAACATTATTTTTGTCAGATTCGCGTTTTCTTTTTAATTTTGAATTAGTGTCAGAACAGTATAGGGCGTCACTTTAAGTACTATGATGTCATCTAAACGCATGTGTGAAGTCTGCAGATAGGTGCTCACTGTCACTGACGCTTAGTACGGAAAGCCACAGAGTGATGCTTTATAATAAAATCATATTTCATATTAACCATATTAGCATAACAATAAAGTAACACAACTCATAAAGACGCTATAGCGGAGATAATATCTCTTGTTTAACGTCCCAAAACGACGATATTATTACGAGGGATGCTGTAGTGGAGGGCTCCAGAAATTCTGACTGCCTGATCTCCTTTAAAGTTCACTGTCATCGGAGTGTACCATCTAGCATTTCCTCTCCACTATAAATGCGGCCTCCATGGCCGGGTTCCTACCAGATAGTGTAACAGTATACAAGTATTGTGACTCAATCTGAAGTGCTAATGCAATTCTAGATTATACCAAGCCTTCCATTTTATCACGGTAAGATTTATGCGGATGCTGTTACAACCTATCCTATGCATGTCTTACGCAGGCCGATAAATTATGTTTTAAGAGGCAGAAAGTGCGCTTGGACGCAAAAACATTTAAACGAAGTCATTAGACCGTCTAGACTACGTGCTAAATCACCTCAGTGGCGGAGCAAATGCAGAGTCTGATTTTCCAAACCTGCTATGATTCCTACGAACGAGCGCTACAATCATTCCATCGCTGTCGCTGAGCTTCTGTGTATACGCATTTATTTGAGTAGTTACAATCAAGGTATACATTTGCCTAATATTCTACTGGGCGCTGACTCCGGTTGTTTCCCGTTAAACTCCCGATCTCTTGCCAACGAAATTTCATTGAACGCGCTGCTTACCGTTCATCCGTGCACCCCTGATCAAAATACAGCACCTGAATTGCCGCTGGTAACACATCTCAATACGCCAGTGCTGTGAGACGCGTGGTAGCGACCTGGTCACTGACATTTTTGCCGAGTGAGCAGTTACATGGATAATTTCATCGCACCAACGCTGTGTTTGTCTTCTCGGTAAAGTTAGGGTTAGGTCCTATAAGCGCCACACTACGCTTTGCTATCGCTGTCACTGTTTGGTCCGTCGGGTGAAAACGTCAATTTGTTATTCTAATTCAAAGGCTACGCTAGCTAACCATTGTATAACACATTATGATTTTTTTTACTTGTGCTCATTCTAGACCACATTGAAGTACAATGTTCACACGGCACCCAAGAGCGAAGGCTTTGAACTCACGGCCACTCCGTCCCAAGAAGCAACAGACTGCAACGACCACAAGCTCAATATCTGCATTAGGTATCCACATTCCCTGTGCTTACGTGAACTTTCCAGATAAGTGAAATGTGTAAACTTGTTCCCGTTATATATTTTCAATTCATTTTCAATTTACTGATCTTTTTGCCGTCAGTGAAACGGGACAGTTGAGAAGTTTAACACATTTACCTGATGGACCTATTTTTATTATTTCTCCAGATACGACGGCGAGCAGCCCTCTAACATGGCAGTGCTGGAGCTGAAGCTGGTTTCCGGCTACATTCCTGACGAGGATCACATTTACAGCGTACGTATTGACACTCGCTTAATATACTCTGAATATTCAGCAGTGGCCGATGTAGTTTTAACGATTCACTTCAGAGTCTGGAGTTCTTGGCTACTGCAATTATAATTCATTAAACCTGGGGTCTCAGGATCATCTCAGCTAGTGAGCCGCCGTCGTAGTATTTATAGCAACAGCCGGGATAGTGAAAATAATCGAAGTAAGGGAAAGGGTAACATGTGGAGGAAATTTAACAAAGTGTCACATAACATGCCTGTTTGAAATATTGAAGAAGTCTTTTCTCATATATCATATACGGGTCATATTTCAAAAGTGCTTGACGCCACTTGTCTTTTATTCAATACTACAAGCTTTATACAGGTCCAAGTCAGGTGAGGTGAAAATACAAACAAAATAAAGCTAACAAAGCAAACATAAATATAGGTAATACAGCGTTAAACCATCACAGTATGATGGAAGGCGACAAGGAATTATTCCAATCTATTGCAGTGCGATGAAAAACAAGAAAGTTTGAATTAATCTTTTCACTTAAAATATGATCTCATTGAATTTGGATGATGGTGGCGAGTAAGTCCTGATGTTGAAGATGTAAGATAGGGTCAGGGTTTAATCGCTAGTTTCCGATTTCAAAGTAGGTGAAGAAATTGTAGGCGCGCGGTTTTCCATCTTAGTGCAAGGCATCGAACATTGTTAGTCTGCATTAATTCAATTTCAATTCAAATATTCTCACAAAAATATCAATGCTTATTTGAATAACAACAAGTTACGAAATGGAGGCCAATTCTGTCTTTGTAGCTTACCCCAACAAAGCGTTAATAACAGCAATACGTGAGAAACTATGCCAGAACTGCTCACTAAAGTCACAAAAGCTTTTTTCAGGGGCGAAGCTCCTTAGGGCGTGGGCTGTGCGTCCCCTGTAGCCTGTATGTAGCCACCTCTAGTTTAGTTCTTGCAGTGTTCACTAGATGGTGGTACCGTCCCCTGTATGTAGCCACCTCTCGTTTAGTTCTTGTAGTGTTTACTAGATGGTGGTACTTGTAGCTGATGATGAAAAGATGCAAGATGTTATAAACTAGAAAGCGGTACTTGTAGTTGATGAAATACGCGAGATCCTATAAAATAGGAATGATGTCACATATGGCGCGTGTCATTGGTTGAAGGCAATCGTTCGATTTAGTGCGGCGACGTACGCTAGGGGGAGCGATGTAATAAAATCGAGTGGGCAAAATGTACAGAGGATTCATGGTTTACCAGGTTTACCTCCGGAGCTTCGCCCACTCATCATCATTCACTTCGTGGATATGGCGGAATTTTTTTTCTCTTCTGAAGCAGAGCAAAGGTTCGCGGTCCATGTGTTTGAGAACCCTTATTGCCTGCGATGTAACTATCTATGACACGTGAATTAAGGGCTGTGGAACACAAATGCCTGAAACAGCGTTACTTAAGGAAAGAGGCTGAAAGGTGGTGGAAATGATGGGGGGTCGTAAAGTGTAACTATATTACAAGATTCCAGGAAAAGTAGTATTGAATTAAAGGAGTGGCAAAATAATGTTATTATGCGTTCAGAATCCCACAAATTCTCACTGAGATACGGCATGAAATGGTGTGATGCTGCTTTCTTTGCAGCTATACCGTGAGAAAGACGTCAAGCTGAAGAGGCACGAAGTTGAGAAGAACCAAGTGAACTTCTACTTTGAGGAGGTAAGACACCGGCTATTAGGCAAGCATGAAGAATGAACTTGCGCTGCGAGTGCGCACTGCAGTTCATTTTAGATGCTCAGCTTCACTTAATGATTAATATTGTGAACATCTCAGCCCAACTTAAAGGGACACTAAAGGCAAATATTAAGTCGATGTTGATAGCTGAAATAGTGTTCCAAAAACCTAGTATTGCTACATTTGTGCCAAAAGAGTCCTTAATTTGAAAAAAAATCACGTTTTAGCGGTTGGCGTCGCATTAGCGCACTTCAAATCGCTCGTCTGAAAGTGGCCGTCTCACGTCACTGTTGCCTTGCACAACGTTGCCCGGCTTTACTTCGTGGCCGCCGACACTAGTAGCCGCGGAGTGAACGTATACTGGGAGTCACAGCAGCAACAATAACCCTTGAACAGTTCTTAGCCATGGCCTCTGAGATGATAAGCGTGCTTGGTTAAACTTGACTCCGCTAGATGGCACATCCTGCCCAGTTTAACCAGATGAACATTGAACTTTTGAATCACTAGCGCCATTCCCCATAGTAACGTCCGGGGGTTCTTTAGTCTATATATCGAACAGAAACGAAGCAGCAGCATTTTATTACGTCTCTTGATAACAGAAGATTCTTTATCTAGTGCAGCTAGTTTGATTACTAGAGATTAACTGCAAGTGGTATTTTCGAGTGTCCTATCGTAGCGTCTCCGTTCTCATGCATTTACCTTGATTTCTCGGTAAGTAGGGCACTTCTGTTGGTAATATTGTTGTTTTTAACGCTGTCATACATTGATCTTTCATTGTGAAATAAATATTTGACTTTAGCGTCCCTTTAACGAAATCCTTCCTTCGTAGTAATTCTGGTCGTCTGGCTGGTAATAATAAGCCAATTGTCAACGTACGTCAAAATACAGTTATACGTGCAATTATAACGCAAGTTTTGTTTTGGTGAATTCGGGCCCTGTTCACTACTGCATTCATCGAAAAGAATAATGAAAATGAAACGAACAAATCAAAAGGTCATGTAAAACAAAAATGAAACTAACCTGTTGCGCATGCTTAAAAAAACATTAAAAAGGTTTTTTTTTTTTTGGTACTGGAAAAATGTTGTCATATATGCATTTGCGCAGTTTATAACGAAGCCAATCATAGCGATAGAAGTCAGATTGGCAATGGAGGATATATCAATGTCGATAGCTTTCTGGGGCCGAACTCGCAAAGGTTACGGCTCATAAATCCCGTTTTTTATTGACCAACTAGCTTCGCACAGAATATCTCCCACATCGCCTATTGACAATAGAGCTCCCTTGCGAATCATTCTACCGCAAGATCTCTTTGTGCAGGCCTTTGTTTTCTTATAAAATATTGGCTTCACAAGCAGGAACAGTGCCCATGGGGATTATTTGCAATGTATCTGTTCATCGTGTTCTGTCAGGAATGAATATGGCTCTAAAATCGAACCTTTACCTACAAATGAATTTTCGCCAAGTGTCATTACTTGTTTTTATTTCAGATAACGTCAGAGAGCAAGTGCTTTGACGTTCGCCTTCACCGCGAGTTTGCCATTGAAGACGCGAAGCCCGCCACAGTGAAGGTCTACGACTATTACGAGCAAGGTAAATGCACTTAACCGAACGTAAGATGCGTGGATGCGTGTATCATATGTATGCCTCGCGTTTTCAACTGTGCATGAACCTTTCTATTGCCCGTCTCTCATTTTTCGTGGCAGTTTTTTTAGTCTAAGACAAAAAACGTTTACATTATTATTCTCATTCGAAGTTACGCTTCCACGCGTATCCTGGTTATTTGTCATGAGTAAATTTAGCTTAATAAATTTAGGAAAGTATAATACATAGTTGAAACTCCTAATTATCGCATCCATTGAGATGCAAAGTGACATAAAAACATTTGAACGGTTAAATCAGAAACTTACCGAAACGGCAAATATTCTTATTAGTAAAAATACTAAGAAGCTAGTAAAACTTGGCAGCAACGAACCTATCCTAAGTCTGTGCCTATTGTTTTGCTTTTTTTACGCTAAAATGGCTTTTTATGTAAATCACAGGTCATTTATCTGCAATCAGTGTCTGCGGAAGAAAACTAACCTTGTGTAACCGGCACAATACTCTTGTAGTGGAGTGTATGCGCGTCCTAACTTTTGTCTAAGTACATTACCACGTATTGACATTATGACTTGTATTTTTTTTTACAGAAAACAGCAACTCTGTGCCCTACTCCCTCGTGGCGTCGTGCTAGTAAACATCAATCATCATTTTTATTCAACATTTATTTTTATATTTTGCTCGCGCCCTTTTTTCGAACGAACGGGACAATGACAATACGAGTCACAAACAGAACATTAAGTCAACGCGCATTTACCTTTTCGCACCTATATATTTTATTTTTTTTTTTTGTCGTCACCAGATTCATGCTTTTCGCTTTGTCTATAGTGTTCACCACCAAAGGCTTTTTTATACCGGTCACACTTTTTAATGAACGAATGTACGAGTACTTACTAATATGTGCCATGTTGCGAAGCAAGACAAAACGAAAAATGCAGAAATAATGGCTTCCACTGCGCGAACCATGAAGCAAGCCAACGGGACACACAATATTTAATTCTCATCCCCGAGTAAGGTTGGAGGACTTAAACAGAGTGTGCGTGTGTATGTGTGTGCGTGAAACAGTCGTGCATTTGTGACGTCGCCATGTTGAGTTTTCTCCGTAGAGCGTTTTAGCGAGCCGAGTGGAAGAGTAGCTTTATATATTTTGTACTTGCGAGGGCGATAAGCACGTTGTCATCTGCGAGAACTCACTGTTACACATAGTGTCATGAAGAGCAAATAAAGGTAAATTTTTTCAGAACCGTTGTCATTTTTGTGCTCATGTGAGTGCCTGTACTGGGTTTATCGTTTCAATTAAGCACTCGTATTAAACACTGTCTTTTTAAGGTAACGCAAACATTCCTTTGGAACGACAGGTATGTCTCTCATTAGGGATGTCCATCTACAGAGCTTAGTGTCAACCAAGACAGGGAGCGATGAAAGGGAAATGTTAAGAAAACATTACGATGGTGCATTTATAAAACCAGAAATGGCGCACAAACACAGCCAACCAAGGAAGCAATCCTAATATTTTTTGTGCAGGATAGGGGCATCTTACGTACTTTAGTGCTCAAAGTAGATTCGGCAAGTGCCTACGCTGCATCTTAAGTTCAGGCATGAACTGCACATTATTACTCATCTCTCCTAGTCCCTGATAGCGTGCTCTCCACGCGTTCGTTACATATCAACAAGGTCTCCTCTGCTGTCAGTCTGACATATCGCCTAGGTAAGACTGACTGCAGAGGCATCCTTGTTATCTTGCCAAAGCTGTAGGTCGCTTAGAAAAAGGCACATACGACGCTGTGAGCCTTAAGTTACTGTATGCGTAGAGAACACAGTACGTCTATTTATACAAATGCTACGCCAAAAGTGCGTGACTTCTAAGTGAATTACTTGAAAATTACATATAAACGTCTCTTGCAAAGTGCAGGAGATTTTAGTTTTCTTGGCAGAACAGAAGTTAGGCCAATACACCGAGTACATCGATGTATCAGCCTCGCTTATTTCACTAGCACTCCTCTTTTGCTTATTGCAGTTTTTCTCTACCATGACACAGTAACTGAAATATGCAGTGTCATGCAAGAAAGCGTTTTAACTTAGATTGTTTCACGAGTATAGCCGGCTTCAGTTACCCGACATGTACCTACAAACTTATGACTAGTAATAACGCGAAAAAGTTTCATATAGATAATGGAAAGAGATTCCTCGGTCAATGTTCGTTTATCATGCCTAATGCTTTAACGCGCAAAAAGTTCATCAGCGACGTCAGATGTAGCAGGACTGTCAAGTCTGCAGGCATGCTTTCCGACAGGCATCCTCAGTGCGAAACCGATTAGATCCCGTCAGGCACTTCGGTTCCGAATGGTCTGTCTGGATGCAGGTGAGTCTGTAGCGAAAAATTGAGCATTGCTCATGTTATCATGTAAAGGAGTACGCCATGTACACATGATTCGAGTATAGAGGCATCTTATAGCTTCTCCTAATTTTACAATGTACTACGAGCCAGAATATGCTATATTAACTGTTATATAACACTGCGAAAACTGTGGATAATGAGACGCACCGCTGACTGGCAACAACATAACATACGCTAAGGAGGTCGGTCTGTCGCGAAAACCCTGCAGAGGGCCTCAATATTGGTCTAGTTGGTTCTTCCTAATAATCATGGCGCACAGCAGAGATACACAAGAGTCACGGAAACGCTCAGCACACATTGTAAGCACGTTTGTGCCTTGACCTCAATCTTGCGCTTTCAAAAGATAATATATGCTGGTGTTACGACACCCTAAAAAATAACGTTTACCACACGACCCCGCTCACTTAAAGTCGGTAAAAGAGCCTTTGATACACTGTGCCTGGGGTTGGCCTTCAAGAGGTCTTATGAGCACAAGTCGGTCAGTTTTGAAAGACATCAGAAGAGTGGCTACTTGGGCAAGTCTCAAGGACAGCTCATTGGGCCCACTCAATCTGGGTACCTTCATTCTGCACTTACGTATCTGTCTGAAGTGCTTCTACAGAAGGTTAAATCAGGCACTCCTAGTAAATGGTGCTAGAGCCGGCAAACTCACTGGCCCAAAGCCTTAAGTTGTGAGCGTATGAAATCTTTTCAATCTTGCTATGCACCAACTACGTGGCCTTAACGTGTGTGGCCGTGACGTGTGTGCGTTTTGAAGTGACTGGCTTTAAACGATAAAGTCATTATGATAATCCCATGTTCTGATGCCAGATGCTTGATTGATTGATTGATTGACTGACTGACTGACTGATTGATTGATTGATTGATTGATTGATTTGATATGCGGGGTTTAACGTCCCAAAACCACCATATATGATAATGAGAGCCGTTGTAGTGGAGGGCTCCAGAAATTTCGACCACTTGGGTTTCTTTAAATGTGCACCCAAATCTGAGCACACGGGGCTACAGCATTTTCGCCTCCATCTAAATTGCAGCTGGCGTAGCCGCAATTTAATCCCGCGACCTGTGGGTCAGCAGCCGAGTACCTAAGCCACTAGACAACCGCGGCGGGGCACGCGTCATTACGGCAATAATTCATGTTGTATCGTGAAGCATGATACAGCTTTTTTACACAATAATTCATGTTGTATTACACAATAATTCATGTTGTTTTTACACAATAATTCATGTTGGCAATAATTCATGTTGTATCGTGAAGCATGATACACGTTTTTTATCTAAAGCAAGATTCGCATAACCTCCAAGATACACGCCGTGCACTCGCCATCTTGGAGGCCATAAGAGTCTCACAATGTCTCTCAGTAGCAGCACATTAGCGTTTGCTGTTTGCTTGATCAACGCCTCTGGAAAGGCATGATATTTTTTCCCGCTGGATGGACATAGTTGTCTAATTTTAGAGCTCTTTGAAAGTTCCTGTGTGCTTTTAGCGTCGATGGCTGCACTATCCCGGCTTTTTTCGACGTAGTTTGAGGCTTCTCAAATGCGCCTACAAATCGCCAAATGGGCTCGTTTTCGTCGTCACACCTGTCGAACAAAACGCGTTAAAGGGGCCCTGCAACATTTTTTCAAGACCACATGGGATGAATTCAATAAAAGAGCATATATTTCCTCACGAATTCAACGCCGCAAAAAGTTCAAGAATCTGTCCAGTGCGAGGGGAGTTACAAAGGTTTGCCGCATGCTGCAATTGCACTATCTCAACTGACATCTGCGGTTTAACGTCCCTAAACCACCATATGATTATGAGAGACGCCGTAGTGGAGGGCTCCGGAAATTTCGACCACCTGAGCTTCTTTAACGTGCACCTCCAAATCTGAGCACACGGGCCTACAACATTTCCGCCTACATCGGAAATGCAGCTGCCGCAGTCGGGATTCGAACCCGTGACCTGCTGGTCAGCAGCCGAGTAGCTTAGCCATGCACTAGACCCCCGCGGCGGGGCACTATCTCAACTACCACGCTTCCTGACCTTGAACGTTTTTTTTTTCTTCGAATGCGCAGCTTTTTCAGTGTGATCGCGTGCGCACGCGTGGACAAGTAGCGGCCTACCGCGGCAATCTCTGCGACTTGCTTTTTCGCTCACAGAGGCACATACGATTTTTCGCTCACAACCAATGGGGCCGACGCCGACGGCGGGATTTCTGCGACACGAGCTCTCTAACGCTATAGCGTTACACCTTTATTTGTTGTTCTACGCAAGAAAATCGGTGAATGGTACTCTGGAGGCGCTGCGTCAGAGTGCCTCGAGCGTTCAGCGGAGGCGAATGAGCGTATCGAATCACGTCACACGTGAGACGTGAGCGCTATCTCGCAGTTATCTTGGAAAACGAAGTGCGAGCCACGCGCCCTCATCTTGGAGGCGATAAGGTGTAGAACGCAAGGCGACGGGTAGGGGTCGCTACCGTGTCGTCTTAGCAAAGCGTTGGAAACACTTGCCTTTTCGCACAAGTGTTGCATTATTAGCGCAGCGGGATAAACGCTATGGTCATAATTACTTATGTATGCCTCTTCTAGTGTAAAGGCACTAACAGGATATTTATGTTTGTTATGGTGCCTTAGATATGCGCAATAATCAATTTTTGATTGACAATCGCGCAAGTATGAACGCTAAAACTTGAGCAACATTGGTTGGCGCTGCGGATGGGGTCTGCCGTTCGGAATATCGTTCGGTTGTCGTTTGGGGTACCGTTAAGGGCGTACAAACATACAAATGTACAGACAGATAGACAGACCAAAATTCTCACGTCGAAGGTCCCCAAGAAAGACTATCGTCTTTAATAAGCAACATGAAAGAACGTCCATACCTTTTCTGGTGTGGCCTGGCCAGAACCGGGTAGACCATATGGAGCGCCGTGCACACGTGCTGCACGGGGGTCTCGGTACAGGACGGATGTCGAGCAATCGGCTTTCCCGCCACGCACAGGTTGTGGCAGTCTTCCTCGCGCTCGAACAGGGCCAATCTGTTCACAAAGAAGAACAAGATGAAAAGTGGTAGAAAAACGATAGTCGCTTGCCAACACTACGGATTAATACGAACAGCGAATGTCCTTATTGTGAAAAAGGCTGAGATTGTGGCACGCATAAGCGTTCGCTTTTCTTACTGAAAACCCCTTCAATTTGAAAATCAATAATCTGGTGCACACGCTGTCATTGCAGAATCATTGTGTGCTTGTATCATCCGTTTGTTTCACGACGATCTCAATACCAATGCCTTCTTTTATGAAAACGGTACATTATATTTGCTGCATTAAAAAAAGTGCTCAACAGATATGTCGGCTTTATGCAACGATAATATTTTTCTATTTCACAATTTATAGTTCCACTACCAAGCTAGAACAAGAAACTCGATGGATATGCGATGTATGATCCTGACTTGTGAGATTATTAACACAATGCATCCCGGCAACATACTTTATTTTCTTTCAACAAATCACTATCGAGTTCAAAATAAGCAAATGCGCATGAAAGAATATATTACTTCATGCATACATATTGACATTCTAGGGGGCGACGCGCGTGTGTGCCTGACGAGGAAGACGAAGGGTTGTCTCCGCTCGATTGCTGGTGAACCGGTCACGTCATTACCATTGGTTTTAAATACATTTAATTCCAAGCCTCGTCGATACGGCGTCTCTTCTTTTCCGCAACATATTTGGTGGAGGTGCGCGGTAATCATAGAGCGTAAGGTCGCATCGAGGCACCTGGCATCCTGCGAGTGACGCGGGTGATCGGGATATACGTCTGCCGCAAAACAGGTGACGTGGTCGTCAATTAAGGGTCTTAGCGTGGCGACCGAAATTCCTTGGGGTAGCACTTGTTTTGTGAAACTGAAATTGATGACAGGTAAATATATGTTCGGTTAGAGGTCATGGTTACGACGGAGTGTGGGACTGTAATGTCACGCAACAGGATAACATCAAGAATCGGTGTCACGATATAATCACCATCAGGCACGGGAGAGGGTGTTGCCAATTCAACGAATGTGAGAACTTTAGGTGGTATCCGGAGGAGGTCAGTGGTGCACAGGCTGTTCGGTGTTTCAGGGTGAGTATCCGGGAGAAGAGGAAGTTATAGGCACTACATACAAGTATCTAGGTGTCCATTTTCTTCTGATTTAACATGGTCCCTTCACATAACGCACATTACTAACGAGGCAAACCGTGCTCTTGGCTGTCTGCGCCGAAACCTTCATCTAGCTCCTACCCCTGTCAAACTACTCGCTTATCAGACACTAATCAGACCAAAACTTGAATACGCATGCGCTGTTTGGGACCCTCATCAGAGTAACAATACTAAAACACTTGAAACAGTGCAAAGCTGGGCAGCAAGATTCATCTTTTCAGATTATTCATATCAGTCAAGCGTAACCGAACTTAAATCTCGTGCTAACCTCGCTACCCTTTCGTCACGCCGCTGTATAGCTCGTCTGTGCCTGTTTTTCAAGTTTTATCATGGATCGCCTCGTACTCCCACCATCAAGCCAGCCCATCGTCATTCAGACCGCATCAATCACAGGAAAGCTGTTTACCTGCCAAGAGCTCACACCACTGCGCACCTTTCATCCTTCTTTGTCAAGACCGCACAAGATTGGAATGGCCTTCCTCCTCACGTTGCGCACCACTCCAGTATCATCAAATTCAAAGCAGCGATCGAGCATCTACTCCTTTAACCGATTGTGATAGCCCACCCCTCATGTAAAACCCCTTCATTGGGGCCTTTGAGGTACTGTAAATAAATAAATAAATAGTACCGGCGGCACAATCGATCAGGGTAGAATGCGTCAATAGGAAGTCCATGCTGAAGATTAGGTCATGAGGGCAATTTTCAAGCACTGTAAATAAAACGGGAACATGGTGACCGGCAATGCTAACATGAGCGGTACACATTCCAGTGATGGCCACAATTCCACCATCAGCGACACGGATGGCTTTAGTCGCCGCAGACATGAGGACTTTTTTGAGTGGGCAACACAGATGAGCACTCATTATGAACACTTGAGCTCCGGTCTCGACTAACGCCGTCAAAAAAATACAGTCCACATACACCTCAACCAAGTTCGTATTAGTGGGGAGCGTCAACGGATCGAGCGGAGACAACCGTTCGTCTTCCTCATCAGGGACACACGCGTGTCGCCCCCTAGAATATCCATATGCATGCATGTAGCAGTATCTATCGTTTCAGCCTGCTAGCATTGGTCTGAGCGTCGTTATACAGTGGGTGAGTATTCCTCATACCTTGGCGACACACAGTTGGAATTCGGGAACTTCCATAAGTGACATCGTCCGCGCTTCAGGTACCACCACTGCCGCACGATATCTTCTGGTGCACAGCTCCGGTACCGTGGTTCGACTTGGCACCTTTGTTCTGGAACCTGAACGAAAAAAATACTTCCCATAACTTTATGTGTCAATTTTTTGGGTTCAAGGTTTTGCTTTCTTATGAATACATCCAGGGAATATTTGGTTCAGACATTTATTTAGGAAATTGCATTGTTAAAAAGTCATGCGCTCCCTCATATATTAAACAAACAAATGGAAGCATAACTTAAGATAACACATATACAGAGAAATATAATACTAAAACAGCTTCGTTAACGAGTATTCAGTTATAGGTTGGGCTGATAGAAAAGCAAAGAAAATGATGGACACGCCCAACAAAAGTGATTTGCAATAACTTGGAAATAGTTTGGTCGATGTAGCACCTATAATATCAGCGCTTCTGAAGTTTCAAAGAAAGCGTTAGAATGAGTGAGATTTTTTTTACCATATTTCCTATTTATTTCATGCATTATTAAGATTGCAGTGCTCATGTTATCTTTTCCGGAGCTCTCCACTACGGCGTCTTTCATAATCATATGGTGGTTTCGGGATGTTAAACGTCACATATCAGTCAATGCTCACGACATCTTGATCGACAACCATAGAGCTAAATAGCTTGAATAATGCTTAGTGTGAGTAAGCAGAGATAAACGCAGAAAAAGATGATATTTTTTCGTGTTGTAGAAAGCTGAGAAAAAGAAGCAATGTATAGACAACGTCGGCCGAATGAAGAGCGAAATTCCAAATGGATTGTTTCTGTACTTTGTGTTGAGCACCAGTCTACCAAAACAGCCTAAAAGTGTAGCGAACATTATATGTACGTAGCAGAAGCGTGAGTAATATGTCATTAAGGATGAGCTATATTGAATATTTAGTACTAGCCGTGACGTAATGTCAAAAACAAAGTTTGTACTGAAATGGAGCAGAAAGGTGTAGTTTATAGTGCAGAAAGAATCGCAAACTAATTTTAGCAAAATTTATTTTTCAAGCTCCGTAACATTGTTTAGGTGACATTTTTGGCAGGTAATTTAGCGTATATATCATTGAACGCGCAGGTACAACATATTGCCGCGTTCAACCTGCAGAGGAGAGCTCGCGCAGCTAGAGAGGAAGACAAAGCTCTTGCCCGGTCCTCTTTACGAGCGCCTTTCATTTTAATTAAAGTGAGCTCTTCTATATTGGACTCCTGCTGTGTCTGCGTCGTGACACTGGTGGAGGAGCTGGGTACATGTTCAGGACACCTTCCAACAGCCCGGGATCTAGTCCACAAAGACTTCCGCTCGTCGAAACACCCGTTCACCGCGCCAGCCGCCGTCTGTTAGGCCTGAGCCCAGAGTTCGGTCCTTGGACGGAAAACATGACCGCGCCGGGAAGCAGTTGCCCCACCATGACGAGCTCAAGCACGACACAGACACAAGCTAACGTTAACGGGTGGAACGCCGCACAGAAGTTGGGGTACGTGTATTTCCCTCTTCAAGACGGGGCTCGCACATGGTTCACGAATCGCGTGTGGTCAACGTGGGACGAGTTCCGGCTGAAGTTCCTAGACACATTCGCAAACACCGAAAGGCGGGAGCATGCACAACGACTCCTCGAATCACGGATTCAAAAGCCCAACGCGTCTGTTGCAATGTTTGTTGAGGACATGGCTCGTCTCTTTCATTGATCCAATCCCGATATGTTCGAGAACAGAAAGATCAGCCACCTCATGCGTGGTGTTAAAGAGCAGCTGTTTGCTGGTCTCGTACGGAACCCACCTTCAAGCGTCGACGAATTTTCGAAGGAGGCGACCGCCATCGAACGCGCACTACAGCTACGGTACCGCCAGTACGACCGCCTAAACAACAGCGAACAAATCAGCGCAACCGCCGTGACCACTGTGACACCAGACGAGCGTTCTTTGCGTGACTTGACACGCGAAATTGTGCAAGAAGAGGTGAAGAAGCTCGCCGCCACACCGAATGACTGCGCGGTTGCGTCGGCCACAGAAGTTGTTCGCCAAGAAATAAGGCAAGCGCTTTCACTTCCCGAGCCGAACACTGAAGTAGTTATGCCAACATATGCAGATATTCTCCGTCGACAGCCTAGATCAAACGTGCCGCCACCTCAGCAGTACCACCAGCAACAGCCGCCGACAGTGCCTTGGTACTACAGGGAAACGTCGACACCGATGCGACCCCCACTCCGCAAAATCGACATATGGCGTACCCCTGACTACAGGCCCCTGTGCTTCTATTGTGGAGAAGCAGGCCACATCGTGCGGTATTGTCCTCATCGCGTTGCCGTTTATCAAGGATTTCCGTCCACTACCCCTCGACGCTATTTCGACGAAAGACGCAACGTTGAAACGAGCACGACGATCCCACGGGACGTTTCTCCTGGTTTCCGGTCACGCCCTCCCCAGGTCATTTTCCCTAATCTAATAGAGGTAGCACCACGGACATGGCGAGAGGAAGATCTCCCAGTTCACGCCGGGGAAACTAAAAGCAGCGACCTTCGGGGAGAAGGTTGCGAATTGCCGAAGATTTGAAAATCCCCCATCGCCGCCGCACGAAGCGCCGCACATTTCGAATGAACCGACGAAAGACGAGATTGTCACCACCGACATTACATTTTCAATTGACGGTCACGACGTGACCGCACTGGTCGACACTGGTGCAGACTTTTCAATAATGAGTGCGAATCTGGCCGACAAACTCAAGAAGGTAAAAATGGAATGGACGGGGCCGCAAATTAGAGGAGCCGGAGGCCAGCTGCTGACGCCTAGCGGAAAGTGCACCGCACGAATCAAGATCGGGGATTCATTATTCGTGGCAACCTTCGTTATTCTTTCTGAGTGTTGTAAACAGGCCATCTTGGGTATGGATTTCTTACGGGAGTACGGTGCCATCATAAATATACCGGACGGTGTACTGACCTTCTCAGCGGACCATAGCGCAGCGCTGCAGCGCAAGCCCATGCGCGTGATTGACAACGTGACCATGTCACCGTTGTCATGCCGCCTCGTCTCTGTCACGTGTAACACACAGCATACTGGACAAGGTGTGGCGGAACAAATATCGACGCTTTTACTCTCTCGGGGAATCGCTATTGCCAGAAGTCTCGTCACTGTAGTGTCTGGGCAAGCAGAGGTCCTGTTGACAAACTTCAGCAACGAGCTTCGACACATTACAGAGGGTACCACAGTTGCATACTTCGAAGAAATTGCAGAATTCCGTGAGTGCTTCGCAGTACAACAGGCAGAGACGCCTGCTGCTTCAACACCACTGCCTGTCGACGTGAGCACAGATTTACCGCCAGCGCAGAGGCAGAGTCTTCTAGATATTCTCGGCCAGTTTGAAGATTGTGTTTCGTCGACCTCGAGGGTAAATCAAACGCCACTGACAAAGCACCGAATTATAACGGAAGAGACGGCAAGACCAATTCGACAAAACCCATACCGCGCGGCACCGAAAAAACGCGAAGAAATCCAAGAACAAGTCCAGAAAATGCTCAATGATGACATCATTCAGCCGTCAAAAAGCCCTTGGGCATCACCGGTAGTGCTAGTTAAGAAGAAAGACGGCAGCTTACGCTTCTGTGTGGACTACCGCAAGCTGAACCGCGTGACAAAGAAAGACGTATACCCACTACCGCATATTGACGATTCACTTGACATGCTGAGGCATGCACGCTTCTTCTCGTCGATGGACCTGAAAAGCGGTTATTGGCAAATCGAGGTCGATGAGCGGGACAGAGAAAAGACTGCTTTTGTTACGCCTGACGGGCTTTACGAGTTTAAAGTCTTGCCCTTCGGATTGTGCTCAGCCCCAGCAACATTTCAGAGACTGATGGATACCGTCCTATCAGGCCTTAAGTGGCAGACGTGTCTGGTATACCTCGACGACGTCATTGTTTTCTCACCAACATTCGAGGAACATCTAAGACGGCTGCTATTAGTTTTTCGAGCAATACGGTCCGCTGGCTTAACGCTGAAACCTGAGAAATGTCATTTCGGTTTCAAGGAACTCCGATTCTTAGGACATGTGGTGAGCCATGAAGGTGTTCGTCCGGACCCCGACAAGATCAACACCGTCCGAAAATTTCCGGTGCCAACAGAAAAGAAGGCCTTAAGACGTTTTCTTGGCCTTTGCGCCTACTACCGCAGGTTTATCGCCAATTTCTCGCACATAGCGTCGCCCTTAACACGCATAACGAGAGACGATGTTCCATTTTTATGGGGCGAAGAGGAACAAGCACCATTTGACGGTCTACGACAGTGCCTGCATACACCCCCTGTGCTTGCTCACTTTGACGAGGACGCTCCAACCATGATCCACACTGATGCCAGCAACGTAGGTTTAGGCGCTGTACTCGTCCAGTGGCAAGACTCAGCCGAGAAAGTGATTGCATATGCAAGTAGGACGCTTTCCCGTGCCGAGTCCCATTATTCCACAACGGAAAAAGAATGTCTTGCTCTAGTATGGGCAGTTCTGAAGTTTCGCCCATACCTCTACGGCCGTCTCTTCTACGTAGTCAGCGACCACCACTCCCTTTGCTGGCTGACCAACTTGAAGGACCCATCCGGTCGGCTAGCGCACTGAAGCTCACGCCTACAAGAATTTGATATGACGGTCGTCTGTAAGTCGGGACGGCAGCACTCTGATGCTGATTGCTTATCCAGGTCGCCTATAAAGCAAGACGATGTCTCAGAAGATGATGACATGGCATTTTTAGGAGTGGTCGACACAGTCACCATTTCGTCTAAGCAGAAAGAAGACAGTGAGTTGCTCCCTCCTAATAATTTTATTAACGGCCAGTCTACAAGCGTTCCCAAGATATTTGCAAGGAGCCTGCCGTCATTCTGCTTGCGCAGTGGTGTCCTATACAAGAAGAACTTTGCCCCCAGCGGAAATGCCCACTTACTTGTCGTCCCGACATCCATTCGCGATGAGATCCTGAGCGCTTGCCACGATGAACCAACCTCCGGCCACCTCGGATACACGCGCACATTGGCCAGAATCCAACAGAAGTACTACTGGCCGAAGCTTCCAGGCACTGTAAAGCATTACGTCCGTACGTGCCTCGATTGTCAACGACGAAAATCACCACCTTTAAATCCAGCCGGATTGTTGCAACCAGTTCTAGTGCCCACCATGCCTTTTGCACAAATTGGAATGGATCTCCTTGTACCATTTCCGACTTCGCATACTGGAAACAAGTGTGCTCAGATTTGGGTGCACGTTAAAGGACCCCAGGTGGTCAAAATTTCCGGAGCCCTCCACTACGGCGTTTCTCATAATCATATGGTGGTTTTGGGACGTTAAACCCCACAAATCAATCAATACTGGAAACAAGTGGGTAATTGTCGCTACGGAGTATCTTACTCGCTACGCAGAAACAAAGGCTTTATCAAGTGGAACCGCAGTAGAAGCGGCACAATTTTTCATTGAAAATATCGTTCTGAGGCATGGTGCTCCTAGAACTATAATAACAGACAGAGGTACCGCTTTCACGGCCATGCTCCTCAAGTCAGTGCTTGAGTTGAGTGGAACAGCGCATCGAAAAACTACCTCCTACCACCCACAAACCAATGGCTTAACAGAATGCCTCAACAAGACAATTGCTAATATGCTCAGTATGTACATCGACGTGGATCATAAAAATTGGGACGATGTTCTAACATACGTGACGTTTGCCTATAATACAGCGCAACAGGAAACTACACGTAGCACGCCATTTAGTCTTCTTTATGGCCGTGAAGTGACGACAATGCTTGATACCATGCTGCTGCATGACTGCGACGATACAGACACGGATGTTCAAGCCTTTACCCAACGAGCTGAAGAGGCACGGCAGCTAGCGCGCGTGCGAATCGCCCGACAGCAGAGTTACGACGCACAACGTTATAACCTGCGACACCGATACGTCACTTATCAACCAGGCGAGAAAGCGTGGGTCTGGAGCCCCATTCGCCGATGCGGCCTTTCTGAAAAGTTACTGAAGAAGTACTTTGGTCCCTACAATGTTGTACGGCGCCTAAGTGACGTGAATTATGAGGTCATCCCTGACAGTTCCTCGCGACCTCAAAAATCTGATATCGTACACGTTGTGCGGATGAAGCCATATTGCAGTGAGCCAGTTGCGTAATATACGTCAACTACATACACCGCGTATTCCGTAGCCGAGCATCGAGTCGATGCTCTTCCTGGAGGGAGGCAAATGCCGCATTCAACCTGCAGAGGAGAGCTCGCGCAGCCAGAGAGGAAGACGAAGCTCTTGCCCGGTCCCCTTTAAGAGCGCCTTTCATTTTAATTAAAGTGAGCTCTTCTATATCGGACTTCTACTGTGTCTGCGTCGTGACAATATGACGCGCAAGACACCTATAGTGATAAAGAAAACGTCCCTGTCACCTGAGCGGGCCGGACAGACAAACTGTGCGCGCACGTCACGCGTATTTTTTTGTTATTGTGGTAAAACGTGGGCAATTGCCGACAATTCAGGGAACGTAGCAATAATACGCACATAATGATGGTATGCAGCAACCGCGAAGTACAGCGTCTAATCTAACGTGTACGCATTTCTGATGCTTTAGTAAGAAAATATAAGTAATGTTCCCCAGACGTCATTTGTTCGAACATTCGAATTTTCCTGCATATTAGCCTGTTTGACCACATATTAGATTACGGTCCGAATATTCGGGAAAATTCAAATACACAGTTTTCGAATCGATTATGCTTCGAATCGGAAAAAATATTCGATTTTATTCGAAATATCGAAATTCTCATACCCTTGCTCACAAGCTAATTCGACTAATGCAAAAGATAAACGGTCTCTAAAATGTGATAAGGAGGACGCATAGACTTAAAAAATAAGGTGCTGAATGGAAACAAGGGCAGTGCTCTGCGTAGGACGCCGTGCAGGAAACAAGAGAAGCTGCTCAACGCACTGTGCGACGAAGGTGCCTGCCAATTATGGCGAAACACGAAAGCTCTCTCGCCCTGGCAATAGTGTTGCCGGCAAAAGAGAACCACGAAGTGGTATGGCGTGGGTTACTGGCCCTCCAATGTGACACGGGCTAACAACCGACACTCGCAAAGTAGTGATACTCGTAGAATTTTGACAATCGTCGTCATGCATATAACCACTGCCCATTTCGGCGCACCCACCACAGCGCATTAAAATATTGTTCCTCAGTGATAGCAGCATATCAATTGCGTTCATTCATAAATGAGCAACGCTTTTAAAAATACGGCAGACATTTCCAGTGTCGCTGAGAGTTACAGCACCTTAATTGTTGCGAAAATCACTAAACGGAAGGCTTGCATTCTCGTGTGGGAACCAAAACAGCTTCAAGCAGATTTTCGTGTTTCTTGCACGACGTTGTGATGATTTAATGTACTACGTATGTATCTTACTTTATGGGAGAGCATTATCTCAAAATGTTCGACGCAGTGAAGTAAAAGCAGAAGTCTTTACGCGGAGTACTGCATTTTTTTTTATGCAGCAGAATATATATGCAGGCTATGCGTTATTGCCCCGCCGCGGTGGTCAAGTGGCTAAGGTACTCGGCTGCTGACCCGCAGGTCGCGGGTTCGATTTCCGGCTGCGGCGGCTGCATTTCCGATGGAGGCGGAAATGTTGTAGGCCCGTGTACTCAGATTTGGGTGCACGTTAAAGAACCCCAGGTGGTCAAAATTTCCGGAGCCCTCCACTACGGCGTCCCTCATAATCAAATAGTGGTTTTGGGACGTTAAACCCCACAAACCAGGCTATGCGTTACGCTTTTGAAAGAAAAAATATGTGACTGTGGATGTTTCCTTACCTGGTCCATGCAAGCGAGCCTGCAGTCTCGAAAAGACTTGAACCGGTTCTGTCCAGCCAGGCAGGAGGGAGGCAGCTGCCGAGCTTTCGAACGACACTCTTGCTTCTCGATGTCGAAGAAGAATTCGTGGTTGTTCTCGTACGTGCAGACGCCGAACTGTGCTTGCTCCGTGCAGGGGCCACGTGACTGTAAAATAAAGAAATGTTTTTTTTTTTTAAGATAACGCTTCTCCCCGCCGACGCCCGAAGCTTTATGCACACGTTAGCGATGCTGTACTGCGTTAGCCTTGGCTTACGCTAGACCAAGTGACAATTCAATGCGATGACATCAGAAGACGTCACCGGGACGTCATATGTTGACCATGCCACTGCTAATGAAGTCATTCATGAAAGAATGCAACATTGCACGCATATCATTGCTTGATGGTACCTTTCATGTTCACACTACTCCCTGTCATTGACGCTCGGCAGCAGATAGTTTTTTTTTATGACAGGCTAAAAGGATTTCGTCTTTAAAATGTCAATGTACACGTTGCACTATACATCAGGCACCCCGTCATTATTTAAAATTTGTCAGACTTTATTCTCTGGACCTCAGCATCTCATTTCAATCAGGGACAATGTTCTCTATCTTCCCGCCAAGTTATATTAGGAGTGAAAGACGCATGACTACACGAAAACTTGTCTCTTTCCACTGACTTGAATACGTAGAGTGCTCCGTATTGGACAACTCTGTGTTGCTACGATTAAAATTGATTGTCCTGTACCATGTAACTAGGACATTTTTCGCGCCATTGTTTGTTTCATACGTGAAGAAAGAAATACCTTCTGTGAAAAAAGTGAAGAGCTATAAAAAACTTTATCTACTGACAATAATCGCAAGATGTCGCGGTACTGCTAGAATTTGGGCTGTCAAAGGAAAACGTTTCGCACCTCATTACGAACGACAATCTGGGGCGCATTCATCATTTCAGTTGTATTGTCGGCCACGCTGGCATCACTGTCGGATTCAGCTTCCATGGCCTCGGTGGTGGAAATGTGCTTGGACGATGCCAGCCGTCCTCTTATGGCTGGCACAGGGGTACGTACGGGCGGCCGTACGTTGACACTGGCCCTGTCGCGACCCACTTCGTCATCGTCCACATCAATCAGGGTGCCCACCGGGCTATCCTGCGGGCAAGTGAGCACGCTTCTATGGTGTTGTACAAACACATTACACTTAAAATACCACAGGTACGCTACGGTGTGCCCCTCAAAAAGGAAGCTGCGGTGGGTGAGTCTGCGCTCTAAAAGAAAGCGTACTTGGGGACGTACTCGTTCTTACAAAAGCAATGCAAGCTTAATTACCACTTATGTCGCATGTCTTTTTTTTTTGCACTTTACTCCTTACACCTGGAACTTCGAGCTAACGAACGAAGAACGTGCTATCAGTGTGACGGTGCATTCATGATAGGAATGTCCCGACAACTGAGTTTTCAGGAAAAGGAAACTGAAGCAAGCCTTTGTGGGACAGAAAAATTGACTGTAAGTACTGTCCTATTTCTAAAGCGTATAAATGACGAGCCTCTAGGGTAAAAGCATTGGGCCTTGCACTGACGTCATCATGAGGTTCTGACGACATCGTATCTCAAGGTAAGCTGGTGCGCGTAAATAAAACAAGGACACAGAAAAACGGGTCAGGGACAAGCGCAAGTTTTACTGAATGGCATCGTATCACAGCTAAATTGTCCTTGTTGTTGACAGACTGGCGCACTATACCGACTATCGAAAACATCAAATAGTTAAGTCTACAGGTAATTTCTGACAGCGACTGCAGAAAATATCTGCCACTGTTGGCCAATTATCTCATACAATTTAAAGCATAAGTTCTAGGTAATTACGAGCCCAAACCATGATTAATTGGGAAGATTTGTATTATTGATAGGAAAGTAGAAGCGCTTACATTTAAAGAAGAAACTCAAGCAAGCAAGATGATTAGCCTTGACATGACGTGATCACAGGGTTCTATAGCGTCATCGTGTCGATGCTAAATCAGTCTTGTTGATTAGCAGACTAGCGTACTATATCAAAATATAGTCAAAATATTTATTTCTCTCGGTAAGCACTGAGAGCGACCGTAGAACATATTTTATGCCACTGCTGCCAAGAATCAGCTTTAATATTCTCGTACAATACATAAAATAATATCTGACTTAATAAGAGCCCAAACCATGATATGATAAGGAATATCTGCAGGAGAAGAGAGCTCTGCGAATTCCAACCATCTGGTGTTTTTTTAACGTGCACTGACGTCGCGCTAGTAGGTGGTCCTGTAGAATACCACCTCTAAATGCAACCGACGCGGCCGGAATCGTACCACTCATTTACGGGTCGGCTACACCGCGCTGTAACAACATAATAATACTAAAATACTAATAATATAATATTATCTGGGGTTTGACGTCCCAAAACCACTATATAGAAGTGAGAGACACCGTAGTGGAGGGTTCGGAAAATTTCGACAATCTGGTGTTCTCCAACAGTGCGCTGCCATGAACGGTGCACTGAAATCGCACAGCCCACTGGCCTCTACTACTTCACCAATATCAAAATCGGACCGCCACGGTCGAGATTAAACCCACCATCTTCCGATCTTCCGCGTCAGCAGCCGAGCACCTTGACCACTGCTCCACCACGGCAGATACCGTGGCATAACCTATACGCACTACCACGGCAGTCAACGCTGACAAGTGAAGACTAGCCTTATATGTCACTCACGATTGGGTTCCAATAACCTGGAACACTGCCACTTGGGTTACTGTGCGCATTTCTTAAAACATTACTGGCTCGTTTCGTTTAAGGCTAGCCCAGCAGAGAGTTCGAACGCACTTACCTGTCTACGCGAAGATGGTATCAAGATCATATACACCGCCACAGTCATTACAGTGAGCACTAACAGCCAACAGCTGATCTTGAGGGAGCCCTGTGGTATTGCGGAAGTAGCAGCTCTCGCGGCAACCTTGTTGGCTGCGGTGGCACAGGTGCCTTTCTTCACAGAAGTCGAGCTGATACGCGGCGAAGACATTGCGCTAGTCTCGGGACACCGTACTTCTCGACGCAAGCCAGGACCCTACTAAATCGAATGAGAACGCGCTGCCCGAGACGCGCGAGCACCGATATGATGAGGATGATGATGATACTCCTTGGATCATTGGCCCCTACCCACTCTGAGGGATCGGCCATGAGTCTGGCGGATCGTACATACTGAATTTATGATTAGTATTCAGTAAGAACTAAAATAATTTTGAGATGATTTTATTGTAAACGTTAATTATGAATAATTGTATTTTTTAAGTCGCACTATTTTGTGTATTTTCCCAGAGCATTGATATTGCTGCATTAAGCTCGCCGAACGTGAACGACGGCACCTCGAGCGTGACTCTTTTTCTTCGTCTATGGTTGAAATATCTGCGAAAAATGAGCGTTTATTCTGCATCATAAAACAGCATCCACACACGAAGAGAAAAAGAAAGGAATGACGGCACAGGCGTTGACTATCATCTGAATTTTTTATTCAACACTGTATCGTTCTTGCTTGGTAGCATATGCGCAGACGAGCAGCAAATGCCCTGCTGTGCAAAAAGGAGGTCTGAGGAAAATTTATCTAAAAACAAGGATGGCGTGGCTATAATCATGAAAATGATAAGTGCTTTGCTCATAGTGCCACGATGGTAGTGCGCGAAATTCGTGTATTGTGGATCCTGTTAATCGCAGCCAAATGGGCTGATGTGTTAACACGAGGCCGGCATAGAACAAAGTCAAAGAAAAGTGGGCACGCTCCCTTGCCTGTTCACTTCATTCTGAACCTTCCTCCTCTTCCCCATCTGTACACGTGTCTGTGAGCACCGTCTGATCATTCACTGAATTGTTGCAACAGTAGAAACACTAAAATTTGCTGCTAACTTTGGCGAACGCTCTTTGATGCTTGCGCTAGTGATAAAGACAATGTTATAGAAGCCTCGTACTAATCTAATCGGTGCTTGTATAGGGTGACACAAACACATTACACATTTACACTACTGTAACGCTAATCAAGCAAGGGCTGTTCAATCTCTATTTGAAGGTAACGTGACTAAGCAGTCGGAGAGTTATATTTTAACACAAAGTGAAAAGTGCATTCAGGTATAAGAGCTGATGCGCAGATGAATTCAGAAAATCTACCAACGTATGCTGCGGTCGCTCTTCCAATCTAAGGGTTCACTTATAAGCCTTGAGGGTGGGGGGTCGCTTAACTGCATTTCTTATAAAATATGCCTGTGTAGAGATTATCATCAAGCAGAGTGAGTTCCCAGTTAATGAAGATGCGGAAAAGCAGAAAACATCGTCATCATCTACTATGCCTTTCGAGAAAAATAAAGAGAGAAGACCAAAGTGTCGTAATTAACAGAGGAACAATGTATCGGAAAAACAGGATTTTCGTTTCGCACTAACTGATTTCCCGATGAAAATCTGGTACTTCAAATTTCTTCTCAATGGTCGAATGCTTTCTGCATTACGGCATTATTCTTATCTTTGCTGCATGAAGCGGTCATTCTTGGATTTTTTGTGTATATACCTTAGGTGACCGAGTTTTTCCTCATACTTCGTTGCAATTGAAAATCTTTATTCTTATCTTAACCACCGGTGTCTTGGTCACTCCCCCGCAGTGGGTAACAGGCAAGAATCAAGGAACAAGCAAGCCACACAAACACGTCAAAATCATGCTGGGCGAGTGGACGGTGTTTCTGGTGGCGCCATCGGGTTGACGCTGTTCTGCTTCCTCTTCATCACCGGGGCACTGTTCGAAGTGCGTCGCGTCTCGGCGGAGCTCGACGCCGTGAACCAGCGGCAGCAAGCGGAAGCCATCGCGGCACGCGCCTCGAGAAACGCCTCCCAGAAGACTCCCTCTTTGCTCGTCGCTGTTCCTGCTGACGGCGTCTTCTTGGATGAGAGCAATGGGCGCGGGCGCGAATTTCTGGAGCCCGCGGACGTGGCCGAACGCGCAGAGGAGTACGAGGAGCGGCCGCCCCTACTACGGCAGCATCGACGTTCCTTCGGTGCTCGTAGGGGTCGGGTGAAGAAATAGTGATTTTATCAAAACGTCAACTGTGCGTATGTAGGCACTATCATGTGTTGAGCACCCGTCTCTTACTGTTTTTTTTTTGTTTCTTTCGCTTTCTTGGAACAGATACACAGATTTGATTTGGTTTGCCAGACAACACCAAGTTACTTTAGTAATAATCTCGTGGATGGTTTAGACTGCGTCTCCATGCGGTAGTAGCAATTGCAATTTGTATACGTGTTTTGACTGTTTAAAATACACGCACTTCACCAAAACAGTGCAAGAACGCTGGCTCATTGCTGCTTTGTTTATGGAGAGATACTTCGTCATCAGGGCATGAGCATTAGGGGGACTGGACATTGAGCCGGTGTACATTATCACGCAGTTTAAATGGGGTACGTGCAGCGCGGGCCAACTAGTAGGCGAAACGTATAGAGACATATTAGATACTGCAGTTCTGGCTAGATTATAGCATGCCGTTCTCCGGGTATGTTTGTAGGAGAGCGATTGTAAAAGCTGAGGTTTCATAAATGCTATAGTTTGCTTTTTTATGCGGAGTGTTTAAGAGGCACCCATTCAGACAGCCCTAACTACGGGATTCAGCCAGCTCCAATCTTAAGAGCTATCCATTGCGACATTATTGCTTCTGACAGCCGTTTGTGATAAAATTGAACCAGTGCAGTCTGCTATGCAGTCGAAAACAAGACGCTCAATTACGTTCTCTCCTTCGACGATTGAAGGTGAGAACGTAAAAAATTACGTTCTCATCTTCAATGGTCTCAGTAGAGGCTGGCAGTATTGTAAAGAAAAATATTAATTGTTGCCATATATTTAAATATGAATATACCTTGAGCGGCTTGAACTACACGATCCACAGTGCTGATCGTTCTCATAGCGTCAATTGAACCAATATCCGCTTCCTCTATTCCTCGCAAATCAGTAAGCAATCGGGTACCTCTAAAAGGTGTAAATAATTGTAAATGGTTCATGCATATAAGTACACAAAGGAGTGACATTAAGTCAGACCTTCATTAATGATAAGCATGCCCAAATGCTGCCTAGCCTCTTTATCCTAATCCTCGTGCTTAAGATGACTCAATCCTGCAGATTTGTTTGATCGGGAGCAAACTTTTTGGCTTTAACACAAAAGCTTTTTTTTTTCATTTCCGAATGAAGAATCTACCCCCCCCCCCCTCCCGTGTGACTTTTGTATTGTGCGCCTTGTTTTTTGTGTGTTTCTATAGTCATATACGTTCTATGCACTGTCTGTTGAGTCATTCTAAAAGGGTAATCAATCTACTCACTGTAGTAACTTTCTCTCACTGATTTTTTATTTCATTGCACTATGAAAGGTAAATAGAGCATTGAATGAAAATTGAATGTAATAGTTGTTTCGTAAGTTCGGTCTCTAAAAAAAGGTATCTCTAACGGATCAGATGGCATGGTATGTCACTTCCTGGTGTTAGCTGAATTGTCCTTTGGTGTAGCGTTACCAGGTCTGGCTTCAATGGCTAGCAGGTGCCCCGTAACTTCTTCTATCTTCATTATTGTTGGACCGGGGCAAAACACGAAAAGGCCTTGACTTTGTCCGCAGCTTCGTCCGCGGTGGCCTTGTCCTTACGTCGTCGATGTGCGCGCGTTAAGGCCTTTTCTCCAGCTGTGAACGTCGGGTGCTCCGTTCCATTCAGCCGGAAGGCTATACGTGACCGAGGGAGTACGAAGTACAATGTTAGGACCAGAGGCGAACAGCTTGTCGCGACCCGGAATGGGGTCGAGGACGGTTTCAGGCCGGCGCCCAAAATATATCCCTGCTCCCGGAGGAGCGATGCTTCCTAGCCGACTTCTCTACCCTTCCACCCTCCCCGCTGAACCTCTCACGACTTGTCGACTCGGCGTTGGCGTCGACGAGCAGCAGCCAAGCTGCGCGGGATCCAAGCCCGGTTGCCACCGGGCCTTCTCTCGGTATTCGCTCAGAATCCGAGACCCCGACTCACCGTTTTCCAAAATAGAAACCTCTCCCCGAGCCCGCGAAAGGGTGTGGTCACGTGACTGCTACGTCGCTCGCGTTTCGGAACCCACGTGATTCGTTGCGTCACAGTCCACGCCCCAAACACATGGTTCGTCCCCGACTCGGCCGGGCTGGAAATTGTTTCTTTTTTTTATGTGACCCGGAGACGCCGGCTCAACCGCGGGGTAAGTCACCCTTTGCTCTGCATCCTTTTCTTACTGGACAACACTTCTGGACAACGTTTTTTTTTTTTCGCGGTATATACTTGCGGCTAACTAATACGAGAGACATCTTGAGAATTCGACGCTAGGCACCGAAGAAGTTGCAGGCTGTCCTGGTTGCGCTGAGTGGTAAAGATAAACATTTCTCGTCAATACGGGCACATAAGTCAGCTTCTGAACAATTTAACCCGATACTACGTTAGCATTAACATAAAACATGGTATCCAGCTAAAATTGTAGTATACTATTGTTAAGTGTGTGACAGCCTTAACATTTAAATATCATAATTTGCAGAATTGATGAATCAACATGTGCGACGACGTGGAACCTGTAATTCTAAGCCAGTTAAACTTCCGGTAGCAGTCAGGGTACTCAGTGCACGCGCGTCTAATTTCTATACCTTGTCAGGCAAAAAAAAAAAAAAGGAGGGGGGGGAGAAAGTGAAAATGTCTACGCTAACTGGTTTCCTGTCTGGCGCTCTGGATAGTGCGTGCTCCGCTGACAGCCAAGTTTGAACGTCGCGATCACAAGCGCCTTTTGAATAAAATCAAAAAAAAAAACACAGGTTCGCTGACGTGGACACGTCGCATTGCTGGTTATCTGCAATGTATATTCTGAAAGCACCGAATGTCAGGCGATGTGGAACGCTTGCGATACAAACCAGTGAGGGCACGGTTTTCGGAGCAATATCCCGGAAGTCGCGTCGTCCCACTTCATTCTGGGTCGTCTCCGCCGGAACTTATGGGGACGAAAATTCGTGTGCAAGTGCTCTCGTACTGCGCTTTGTGTGTATCTGTATGCGTTCAAGGCAGCGAGGGATTTGAGAAGACCTTTCCGAATTATCTCCGTTTCTTTTTATATTTATTTTAATGTGGCTCTCTTTTCTCTTCTTCATACTGCAGCTTCCATTTTATTATAATAAATGCAGGATTGGTTTCTTCAAACACTACGCAGATATCTTAAAGGTACTTTAAGCACCGACTTCTACAGTTCATGAAGATAAAAAAAGAGAGAGAGAGAGAAACTCTCAAGTTTTTAGTCTGAATACCGGTGAAGTACACAAAACCGAGGTGTGCTGGAACAGAAGAGACCTCGCTACTCGACATAAGCTTTCAAAAGAAGTGAGAAGTTATGACGTTCAATTGGTGAGGGTAGATTAAGAAAACAGAGTCCTGTAGAAGGTGCCGGATCCAAGAGCGTCACCGCACTCATTGATTGTTATTGAGATGCCTGGAGTGGTGCTTCAGAGATTACGGTGTTAGAATTTTGCCCAAATGTTGCACCGTAACTGAATGGAAGCATACACACAGAAGAAAAATATTTCACCAACTAAACATGATGTTCAAAATGGCTCTTGGTTTCCGATATAAGAAGTCATTATATAATGATTATAATTAGGCATAATTCTAATAATGTTTCACAAAGCACGTATACATTCACAGGCCGTGAAAATTTTACCAGACAGCCTATCAAAGCTGCCTCAATTTAGAAACCATTTTGGCATATGTAGACCTTAATTGAAAAGCAGAGAAAGGGGGCATCAAAAGTGACTCCCGGTTTTAGATTGGCTGTGAAGCATTCTTTATGCGACTCCACTGTGTAGCTAAAACCAAGTTAGTTTCTCAGTCGTTCTTGTCGGCCTTAATTTTTTTTTTTTTTGCTTGCAAAGCCCACATCTCCTCCTGTCGAGGTGTGCCAGAGCAGCTCACGGTGCTAACAAAGTTTTTGATTACAACGCTTGGGAGCGCAAACGGGGAGCGAGAAGAAAACGGTTCTTCAATGCCCTCTCGAGTCTTCGTCGTTACTTCTGCGGGCAACGCTCGCGCGATTCCGGCTTCTGCAGGGGCCTCTGGAGGCACTTTTCTCAACTGAACCACTGTACCTAATGCTTGGCAATTTTTGTGCATACTTAGAAAGACCTTTGCCACCATATGATCACTGGATTGACGTAAAGTGCTGTTTTCTTTTTGTTTTCATCCTATAGGACCATTGTAGAGAACGCAGTAGATACGATGCGAGGCGCAACGACATCGGAGTGCTGATGCGGCTTCCTGTGGCTGCTGGATGGGCATTTGGGCATCGAGGGCACGAGACGACAATATGCAACTGACAAAGAACGGTCCCGTAGACGTATCCTCCTCCGACGGGAGCTTAGAAGACGAGAAATCTGACATGGCGGACCACTCCGAACCGTCGTCGTCAGCTGACTTGCATGGTACGATGAGAAATCGTCATCGTCATTACGCTCAGTCTTACTATCCCGCTGCAGGACACGTGCTTCTTCCACGTTTCGGCAATTGACCCGGTATTGGTGTTCATGTGACTGCGTTATTCCCACAAGCTTCTTGATCTCAGCTGCACATCTGATTTGCTGACTCCTCCTTTGAGAGCTAGCCTTCTATCATATGAACGCATCCCATTTGAATGGGAGGAAAGAGGAGAATATATCGAAACAAATGCACTTTTCGGAAAGATTTTGCTTGACATTGACTATTAGCGAATCCAAGGAGGTAGGTATTCCGGACGCGTCGCTTTAAGTCTCCGAGACCATATGGTGCGCGTGTGACATGAGGACAAAGAGTATACATGCTAGATTTTTCATTTTCGTACTGGCGCTTCATTTATCGTGGCTTTCCATTTATAGAATCTACTGTGGCAACAATTCAATTTGGTTTAGGATTTCTGCGAAGCATTCTGTTCAAATACCCCTGAAGCGTGCATATTGCATTGTGTTGTATGTAAAACAGCAAGCAATCCTTCTCCAGGACAGGGTGAAATTGTTATTTCTTTAACAGTGTACATAGTTGTTACTCAGAAGCATCGGTTGGCCTCCGAAAAAATAATGTCTTACATTCGCGCTCTCAAGCTACCGTACAAATGAACTCTGTTTGACATATGAGCATTGTAGAGAAGGACGAGCTATGTTACTGCACGAGAGTACCGGTTTATAATTACGCGAGAATTTCTACTGACGAACTCAAAATTGGTAATCTGCTCCATAGCTTCTGCAAGCACAGATACACGTATCACGGATGAAGAACACATTACAAGCGCTTTCTTTGCGTTCTTCGTCCGTGATGCGTGTATTTTGTGCTTGCAGAAGCTGGGGATTGGTGACATCTAGCCCGACCTCGGTGCTTGCTACCAATCTGTGGCTACGCAATGATGCTTTTTTATACTTTTTCTGGGATTGTATACTATGAATAATGAAGCGCTCAACGAAACGTAAAAGAATCTACTTTACGCAAATGCGTTTCCCCTATTATGATTCCTGCAGACTCTGGGATAACCGACACCGACGACGAACCTTGGGGTATCACCGTGATACCGCCGGATACCGTAACACTAAACTGGGGACCACCGGCACGGGGCGTTGTACGTGCCCTGTCGTACATCGTCGAGAAGCGCGACCCCTCTGACCAAGACTGGGTGCCTGTCGTCATTCTGGATGCCGACATTACCAGCTACGTCATTCGTGATCTGGACTTGCGTTCCGAACACTGGTTCAGGGTGTTGGCCAGGAGTTCCATGGGTCTCACCACCGTTCTCGAGACGGATCGACCTGTGAAGCTGCATGAAGACGAGCGTAAGTATATGAAAGATAAGCTATTGGACGTGATTGCGTAATTGTGGTTGGCCCATGTGGTGCTCGTGATTTAAGCTTAACTGTTAATTGCGAATTAGCGGGATGCAATGAGATTTCAGAACATTTTGACGGTGAAGCTGCCCTTATTTATGCCCGAGGCCAGTCGTAGATTGTAAACGGATATGTGCCACAGTAGGCCAGTAAATCCCACTACGTATATGCGCCACCAACACAACGCTCCTACTAATCGCGACACCCGCAAATCACCACTACGCCCACTATTTCTACTCCCGCCAGTCCTCTCACGTCATTTGTCCACTTTATTCCCGCTTCATTTCACTTCATTCAGCCCCACTGCATTAAAATCCCTCTCAACCAGCTAAAATATTTGTTGAAGCGAAGGCTTCATTTCTAAGCCGCCAGCTTTGCTGTTTCGTCAGTGTCCGCCAAGCGAAGCTGAATAAATATTCGCTTTCTTTGTCAACACTCATAGGCACTTCAAAAATGAAAGATTTCAAACAGTGTGTAACAACGCGTAATGAACATTTGTAACTGTAACAAGCTGCACTTACTTTATTCTAATGCAGAAAACTCAAACCGGAGAAAGTTAGCAGTCAGCACCTTTATTAGTTGATAAACATTGCATTAAGCAGTAACGACTTGAATATATACAAGAATAATGAGTCTCAATGACAGCGTTTACTGATTACTCAACTCAGGAGGCCTTCCTAATTGCCTATAAGAAAAATTAGTTTATGTTACAAGTCCCCAGTGTATATTACCAAACTTCATCACACTGCAGGTAAAAATTTGTCGATCATATGTGAAGCAGCTAGGGTATGCTCCGGAGGAGACGTATGTGCCACACAAGGCGACAAGTGTGTTTGCGTTGTTTCATTCCCTTAATGAAGTATCGTAATGAGGAATAAACATCATAAACATGCAGTGGACAGCACGCAATATATTGCCAAATTATGTTACAGGAAATAAAATGAAGGCTCTTAGTGCAAGCTAAATGCGCTCACACAAGTAACACATGTACAAGTGATAAATGGCACATGTCCCATTGGTATTTCGCTTATCTTTAATTATTCTTTGGGAAATTATGTTCAAGCCGCTTCTTAATCACATCGTTGGTGATATTCCTCAAGTATATTCGATGTTCATGACTAAAGCCAGGCACATACGCGATCAGTAGAAAAACAACATGGCAACAAATGTTTACGACATTATAACTCACGTAAATATGTAGAAAAAACCGGCCAAGTAAATCATACGACCAAGCTGCAATGCAGAACCTTGCTGTGAGAATCCTTGCACTGATGCTTTCGAGAGCTTTGGCGGTATGAAAGCTTATAATATACATATATATATATATATATATATATAAATATATATATATAGGCAAGCGTGGTGGTCGAGTGGCCGTAGCGTTGCATATAGTCCAGTTGATCCTCCGTGAGTGGTCACAACGTGGTTTATTTCGACATTTCGGCCTAGAGTCTGGCCTTCATCAGGATTAAAGATACAGTCTGTTGGTGCTCAGCTTTATACAATCTCAAATTGGAGGGCAAGGAAAGAGGAAAAAAAGACAGAAAAGAAAAAAGGGAAAAAAAGAAAAAAGGAAGAAAAAGAAAAAGGAAAGAAAAAGAAGAAAAAGAGAAGAAGAGAAAAATAATATACGGTGGACGCTCCTCGGGTGCCCCCCTTCCACTCTTCCCTCCACCTCCCCCTTCATCTCTCTCCGCCTTCTCCCCTTCACCTCTCTGATGTCAGCGGTCTGTGTATGTTTCAGTTCACTAACGCATTCCTCCCGATCAGACGGCCCCTCCTGGCACTGGTGGTTGGCCTTCTACGACGAATTGTTTACGGGACCCCGAGTAGTTAAAGGCTTAGGACTTCCTGAAAAGCTCTTTTTTGCCCCACACCGAACCGCCAGTGCCAGGAGGGGCCGTCTGATCGGGAGGAATGCGTTAGTGAAGGGAAACATACACAGACCGCTGACAGCAGAGAGGTGAAGGGGAGAAGGCGGAGAGAGATGAAGGGGGAAGTGGAGGGAAGAGTGGAGGGGGGAAGTGGAGGGAAGAGTGGAAGGGGAGCACCCGAGGGGCGTCCACCGTATATTATTGTTCTCTTCTTCTCTTTTTTTCTTCTTTTTCTTTCCTTTTTCTTTTCTTTCTTTTTTTCTTTTTTCTTTTTTTTTATTTTCTGTCTTTTTTCCTCTTTCCTTGCCTTGTATCTTTAATCCTGATGAAGGCCAGACTCTAGGCCGAAATAAACCACGTTGTGACCATTCACGGAGGATCAACTGGACTATATATATATATATATATATATATATATATATATATATATATATATATATATATATATATATTATATATATATATATATATATATATATATATATATATATATATATATATATATATATATATATCGTACCATTGTGCACCTTCTGATGGACATCCGCGCCACATGTTTAAAAATGGTGACGTCAGTCTGAGATATCGCTCAAAGAGAAGAGTCACAATTTCCGTGAACTAAGTAAGCAGTGAACGGGTGGTTGACATAAAACTTTAGTTCAATTTGCAAAGATACTATAAGTATACTTCACATAGCGGTTTTTTTCATTTTTCTCTGTACAATATATGTAGTTTTCACAAGGGCACTCTTAGTAGATTAAAGCAATGAATGTAGGTCTCTGAAGTTTGTTTTTACTCTGTTACGCACAGTGTTAGGCAATCGCGACCGTGTTCTATTTATGAAAGTAATTGTGTTCTATTTATGAAACCAACGTGCGCGCACGTAGAAAACACATTTTTTCGGCATACGCGCTCCGATCCGTGTTGGTGATGACCTCGTAATTTTAAGGAGCGGTCAGCCCTTATCGGAAATTGGCAAAAATTTCAGGGTACTTACAAAGTAAAGTTAAACATATTCATGCATGAAGTCGCCTGTTTTCTAAAGAAAACTATAAGGATGGGTTGTTTGGAAAGAATAAACGAGAAGAATAAAAGATAGGAAAAATATTTATGCCCTGCCTGCTCCACCTAAGTATCGCAGGGGTACCCAACTTGGCACTCGGCAATGTGTACCTATTCGCCTCGAGAAGATGGCAACTCATTACCGCCATCATCTTTATTTCAATCCATTTGTATTTCGCCGGTAGATGCATTATAAGATCTCATTACATTTAGCTCTAAGGGGATGCTTGCTGCCATTCTGTTAATAATAATAATAATAATAATAATAATAATAATAATAATAATAATAATAATAATAATAATAATAATAATAATAATAATAATAACATAAAACGCTTTTGAGTAAAGCGACTGCAGTTACTGAGAGCTGTTTTTATTTGCATACTTTTTTACTCAGCGGGGTGTGAATAATACAGATGTACGCCTATTGGAACAAGGAAACACACACTAGCGCCCTCTATTCAAACCGATTGCTACCGCATGACGACAATCCAAGTCTCAGAGATTGCGGGTAGTGCGTTACAATCTCGGAGTGCATGCGTGCAACAACGGCCACTGTATAACCTCCTTGGGCCACTCCGACCAACTTTCTTTACTTAGACCTCGTGCTGCCACCATGCGAAAGCGACGCACACCACAACGCATGCCTGGCGCGATATTCAAACTTCATCGTCTCCGTTAGCAATCTAGTGGTCTCGAAATGCCGCTTGCTCGCTTTCTTGTACCTATGTTGTGGCTCGTACCCGCTGCGAGAGATTGGCCATTAAACTGGCGGTTAATGTAATAGGAAAAAAGAATTTCAAACTTTGATGAAGAAAAAAATTTTCAGTCATCTAGGGAATATGAAATTGAACAATCAAGAGGTTACCTACAAATAAAGTAGACATGGAACTATTTGTTGAAAAAAATAAATAAATCAGAACCCCAAAGAACTATAATTTCATTAGTAAGAACCTAACAAACTTCCTTGTGTCTAAGAAATTCGCAAACTGCTATGCAGACGCTCCTGTTGCTGTGGGCCAGAGAAGGAGCCCCAAGGGAAAGGATATTTTCAGAATTAAAAGTAATGCTTAATTTCCTGAATATGCCAACATTATGGGCGGCTTTCCATAACTTCTTCTACTTTGCATGATACGCATTCACGAGTCAATTGGTCTTCGCTTTCCGAAGCTGCTCCAGTTCATTATCTCGTTCAAAGTAAGGTATAATAACTTCACTGCAGTAAAGGCCTCGAAATTTTTTGCTGATATATGCAGACAAGAAGATCGTGGTGACAGACGTCACTATAGTACAGGCACGAAAGGTCGTCTATCAAAATCAAATATATTCATGAAAAATATTGGTGTTTTTTTTTTCCTTTTTTATTGTGAAATAATATAACAAATGATTTCAAAACTATCTATTACTTATTATTTATTTACAAGGCACCACTCGTTTCATGGCCGATCCCCCATAGGGGCCATCGATCAATCAATCAATCAATCAATCAATCAATCAAAGGTGGTTTATTCCGTCTTCTACTGTTCAATGGCTGCTCCATGATTTACTCTTTTTTTCATCACAGGTCACATCAGCTTTACAATAAGTGTCAATACCATTTGAAACAAGAAGTAACTTATAAGCATTTGTTCGAGATTATGACAACTGGCAGCGCCATATGACATGTGGCCGATGTATCTGAGAACTTGACTGCCTCTTGCTTTCAGAGACAACCCGCAGTTAGACGGCGAAAAGTACACGTTTACTCGGTAAAAGTCTGTTAGATTGGCAAGGGAAGCGCGCTGTACAAACACAGGGAAAAAATGAAAGAATGGATTATGCATATAAAAAGAAGTGGCGAATCTTCCGATAAGCCGCGCAGGCCCTGATAAAAGCGAAACGGTACTATTCTGAAGACCTATCTGGTTGCTTTTAGGTTGTTTCCGAGCCTTAGCTAAGGAATGCAGCCTGTTTCTAGGTTTCTTATAGGTCGTTGCTAGGCTTTACCTAGGTGATGTCAGGATTCTTTTATGTCTATTCCCAGCGGGGACGGGTTCGAGTTAAACCACAGACAGTCACCACACACTACGTGGATGTGGAAACTCCCGAGACAGAACCTCGCGCTGAAACCAACCTATCGCATCCCACATAGATCTACAGGCACGTCGTCACTGGCTTAGGCCTTCAGTCGCTTTGGGGACTTCTCGCAGTCGCCGTTTTCTTTCACTTTCACAAATATTCTGTCATTCCATACGTACTCGGCGTCTTCGGCTAGCCGGCGTCACTTCGCAGCCATTTCTGGGACGAACTGCAACCTTCTTTTTTAATAGAAGTATAGAGTAGTGTAAATAACCTGATTTCTGTGGCACATACCCGATTATGATGGAATGAAAAAACTTTATTTCAGTCCTGCAGGACGCGCTTAGCGCGTAGCGGGCGTCTCCCACGTAGGGACCGACAGGGAGTAGTACCTGGCGGCCGCTTCTTGGGCCTGCTGGACGGCCCATTTCTGGGGAAAGGGGAATGACTCGGGAGATCTTGGTTGCGTGGTCTTCAAGTACGTCAGCCCAGAAAGCCACACAAGCCGATTATGATTATAATAGTTTTTTTTAGTACGGTATGAAGAAGGAAATATTTGATAAGAGCTTCTTTGTTATAAACTCTGCTAAATAACCACAGCGTTACGCGCTCCTGACGCGATTGTTTGAGTACACTTCTTCAGCAGAATTGTAATCTCACCTTGGGGACACTTTCAGCTCAAGCAGCCGAGCGACCCGATCCGCCCTCGACTCCTCTGCTCGTGGTTGTAACGGGACCATTCTCGATGGACGTCAAATGGACGGCGCCCCTGTATGACGGTGGCCGTCCCGTTCTAGGATACGTGGTTGCAGTGAAGGAACCGCGCAGGACACTCTGGATGGAGGTAATTGGTCACATCATAGTATGCTATTTCTAGCGGAGCTGTTTAGTTATCGATCGTGAACTATTTAGCTTTTCCTGAGATCGAGATAAAGCTTGTCAGCTGAGGAGCTGCTCGATATGTGCGTCACCCTGCGTAATTACTGCGATTAATGGACTTCCTTGCCTAACACAACCTAAATGGAGACTACGAGCAACAGCAACGGTTCTCATATAACAAAAAGAAAACTGATAGTATACTTGCAGACAATCGTCTCCTTTAGCATAATCTTCGGGAATTCAACTGCTATAAATTTGCCACCTGGGTCAGCCGGCATGCACTCCTAGGGGTTTCAACCGACCGAAAAACACAACACCGATGAGGGAAGTGGCATATAAAATGACTCGACTTTCTACTGCACTTTATTAGATGCGAAGCAGCTTAGGGTCAAGCTCGATACGGTGTGCCGCATGAAGAACCTTACTTAGCATGCGTGTCCGCTCCCCTCTCTCACCTCGCAACGCCGATGCAGGAACGTCTGCTCACCTTCGCTCACTCGTCTCTCTCCCCTCTAAATGTTGATCCCAGCGGCGCTTACACCACATTTCCCAAGAGCTACTCTCCCCATCTCTCCTTTCCTACGCTCCCCCATCTCTCGCCTCGGAACGCCGACGCAGACAGCGTCGGCTGGCGAGTTTCTTGATTGAAAAAACCGACTGCTTGCGCTGCACAACTGTTCACTGGCCACCCTGTATATATAGCCTATTGGCTCTGACCTCCAAGGTAGTGCCGGTGTGAGATTTCTCCAGGCGTTCTTAAACAACAACAACAACAACAACAACAACAAAAAACACAGCATATCCACGCAGTGAATGATGATGAGTAGAGCGAAGCGTCCGTCAGCCCGTCCGTGCTTCCATCCGTCCGTTCGTTCTCGCTTCCGTCCGTCCGCGAGACCATCCGTGCGTCAATCCATGCGTCAGTTCGTTTGTCCATGCGTCCGTCCATTCGTTCGTGCGTGCATCCGTTCGTACGTCCACGCATCCATCCATCTGTCCATCCGTCTGCAAGTCTGTCTGTTCGTCCGTCCGTCCGTGCATCCGTCCATGCGTCCATCTAGTGAACACTCCAAGTACCGCCATCTCCCATCTCGCAACTCCTGTGGCAGTGGCACATACCCGCTCTAGGGCGGGTATGTGCTGTGTACCGTATACCCACTCTAGAGCGGGCATACATACATACATACATATGGAGGAGGAGGAGCGACAGACCCCCGCCATAAGGAGCTTCACCCCTGTAATTCCCAACGTGTACAGTAACTAAAACCGGACTGCAAGTTTCTGTATCCAATCGAAGTCATCTGTCTCAAATTGTCAGTTGATAGCAATCGGCACTTTTTCAGTAGGTAACACTGATCTATCACCGGGTGCTTTGCATCTCCCAGGTTTCTCTCTTGCGCAACCCCACGATTAGCCCCAGCGCGAACGTCGCCGCCAGTCTAACCGTTAGCGCCCGCTGCTTCGCATCTACACATGGTTATGAGATGGTTCCATTTTTAAAAACAATCCTCTCCTGTAGGAAAACCAGGTGGGCATGCGCAACTCAAGATTGTGACGAACACCAAACAACATTGGTATCGAAAAAAAAATGGAGGGGCTAACATCAGTCCGGTAAGAAGCTTTACTTCCTTCGGCATCCTAAGAGCGATGGTATGCTAATGCAATTGTATCCGTGCATGCCAGTTTGACAGGCTTCGACAGTTGTGTGTGCCACTTCTCTGTTTATCGTCTTTTGGTGTGTTCGAACCATAAAAGGCGAAATGCTATGTTTCTAACTGTCAAACGTAGAGCGTATCTTGAAACGAAGGCCCCACCAAAAACCTCCCAAAAATAATTTCTCACTCTTGCTGCCCATATAGTTGCTGGCATTTATGCTCCATTCTTGTTTTTGTAGAAAGTTTGCTAAAGAAAACTGGGAAAAACTCAAAGGAAGAGCGTTATATATAGTGTTTATTTTTCTTTTTTCTACTTGAAAACATTTTTGGTTGATTTCACAACAGCACTGTGCATGACCCAAACATCACTCCTATTTTCGGGAAGCACGTCTTTCACTTGAGTATTGCACGTTATTATAGCTCTTCAAGTAAATAAATAAAACTGCGTAATTTAGTGCATTGCTTTAAAAAAATGGGCCCGTCCGGGATTTGAACCCGGGACCTCTCGCACCCAAAGCGAGAATCATACCCCTAGACCAACGGGCCGATGTAGAATTACGGATGCTATAGCCTTCGCAGCTTAAGAGAAACACCTGCTGAGAGAGTATGAAGTTCTCTTTTTGTGTGTTTTTTCAATACTCATTGGTATTCAATGTCACCAGGATACCAGCGACCACCAGCCTCTTTGTATTCATAGCACGCCGCGGTTAACAGAATGGGTTTTCTAATCAACCCATGTGTGCTTCAGAAATACGGCGACAAACGATATCAAAGACGAGCTTTACGCTGTGAAGTATGTTTTAGCTCAAGTCGAACATATCCTATACCTTTTATGGATGGAATTTGTAAAGATGTATTATGAAGTTTTTTTTTTTATTCTCTCAGAAAATTTGGTTGTAGTTGACATGTAAAACCACAACTCCCGTCAGCCATCTGCCTAGAACAATTTTCTGTAATCTGAAATAAGCGACTCATATTTGAAGAAGTTTGTGGGCGTCTAGGATAGTTAGGAAAGTAAATGCTGGCTTGGAAACAACTCAGTTCGTATAATAGCTATAAGTAAAACAAAAAGACACTTTGCTATTACTTTTTTTCTAACACTTGCAGGCTGACGTTTCCGAAGAGATATATCATTGTTTTTTCTGTGTGTATTGTGAAATAGTGTCTTCATCTACATCACTTGAAATAATGATCACCACAACGCGCTTTTCGAGAACTTAGCGCAGCTGATCAAACCCATTCTATTTTCTTCCTTTGACCATAAAAAAAATTGCTAGATGAGAAAGGTTGTACATTTGTCTAGAATTACTGCTGGGGTGCTCATTTTAATCTTGGCAAGAGATATTGCATAGGATAGTACTGATCTTATGATCCAGTGTAGTAATTCCGCTTCAGAAGTATAAGGAACCACACATTTTGGAAAAAAAATTACTCTCTCCATGCAGAGCAAGTGCCATCCTGATCACACTGCTAATCAGTAATATTAAAAAAAGAGCAGGAGAGAGGCGAAGCATGTAGGAAAAGCCGTTTCAGCTTTATCTACATGAAATTTGGGAAGGGGCGAAACATGAAGTATATTTATATTTTTCCTGTTCTTCTTTCTGCCCCTTCTTCTTCATCATCATCTTGTTCACTTTGTGTCCAGTTTATGTTCCAGACGGCATGTAGGAAAGGGCATTTGTTTCCGCTAACGTCGTCGAAAATTTATTTGGACAACTGTTTCCTTCTTCATTTTTAGTGGACCGGTGGCAGGTAGTGGTTTTATCACGTGTTGTGGCACATACCCCCTTTTTATGATACACCCTAAGTGACATGACACACCGTGTCGACATTTTACGCCAACAAGCTGAGACCATTAGGTCCTTCGCCACGTCATCATCAATTTGGGATTGTGTTACAAATTTTGCTGACCTCATGTCGTCATGATGCCATGGTAGGATGACATCATCTGGGGACGTTACCTTTATGATAGACCATCACTACACGATATACCGTGACGATGAAGGATGTCGGCAAGTATAGCCTTCAAAGTGCTTCACACCTCAAATGCAAATGCTTCGAATTTAAAACAATAATCTGCCAAAGTCTGCATGGAAAAAATTCCCACAAATATATCGAAAAATAGTAATATTTAGCTGTTGTTAAAAAGGAAAAACGCGCATTCTTCTTTTGTTTGACGGGCCAGCCAGTGCTCTATTGTCCCATCCAGGTAGCAACTTCTCACTGTGTCTGTCAGCGACAATTTTAGTTATAACGTCGTTTTTTAGTCCTATCCAGTATGCTTCAATAATGGGACCACAGTTTCTCGGCAAGCCTAAAAACCGATGTTCGGAAGGGTAGAACAGTTGCTTCATGAACGTGAGCTGTATAGTTGTAACACATATACACCAAAGCACAAAGCACTCCTTTTGCAGGTGAGTCAAGTGAACGCTCCAACCTTGAAGACTCAAATCCAGGACTTGGAGGAAGGCCACGAGTACTTGGTTCGTATCTACGCATGGAATGAGGTTGGCGTCAGCGAGCCCCTCGAGACACCTGAGGGGACCAAGATTGTTCGGCCACCAGGTGAGTCATCTATTGAATCTGAAGGGTGGCTACGAAAATATTCTTGCATGATTTGATGACGCGAAATAACCATATCACTTATCTAAACGCAATGTCAGGTGTTCAACGTACACCTCTTCTTATCGGTCGTCTCTCTTTTGTGGTGGTTGCACGCATTGCGTATTAATGTACGCATATACTCGACGCGCAATGCTCGACATGTAACATGGTAACGCGTGGCTTCGACGGGCTCAAAGATTGCACACGGCGTGAAGTTGCCTTAGGCAATATTTAGAGCAAAGTCACACAACTACGAGAAAAGAGAAAACAACAAGTGGGCTAACTTTCATCGAAATGGTTTAGTTCGACCGAAGCACGACCATTATATACTGTGGTTGTGCTCATACGCTACAGCCAGATCTCATGCGCATAGAAGCGTTTTTTTTTAATCATTCCGAGTTTCACAGGATATGCGCACAGAAGAGCATACTTTCTCATAATAAAATTGTTTTTATAATCAACCATTTTGTTGAAAAGTTAGTGTGCGTGTTATGTTTGCCCTTCTGGTGTTTGCGTTAATTTTCTTTAAATAAGGCCTAATATCTTGCCAACAAGAATTTCTCCCCTTCAACCTGCCATTACACAAAAAGCTAAATAATATTTTCTTATCGGACATCACCTACTAGTGACAGAACATCGTTCAGTTGTGAACATACAAACTATTAAAAGCCATCCGCAATCCTCAAGTTCGTGAACCAGGTGCTCCTGTGCTGCAAGCTATATTGGGCGTGAGTTTACCAACTAGACCAGCAAATGTTGTTTATACCACCTGAAATTACGAGTATTAAGGCAAATTTTCTGAATGACCTCGATATGCTCTCGTGAACAACTGTCACCTTTTTTTTTTTCATCCTCGACAGCAACAAGTGAATTCCCTGTTATGACTCTGTTACGAAGTTCAGTTACAGCTTTCCAGGTTGAATAAGAAACTGAACCCTATTTTAAGAGGCTAGCAATTTGCAGGCAGCCAAAAACGTGGGGCTTGAGGTTTACCTCAGAAATCTATACATAAGGTGAGTATTTGCAAGTCCTGTTATGTGTGGATGTTTGTATCTACGCAGTTGCACGTGCGCGTAGATGCCATGAAAAAAGGCCTTTATGAAATTGTTCTCTGACACTTTTAAACTTGTTCCGAAGTTAAGGGGCGTAGCCAGCGAATGGCACACCAGACCCGTCTCTCCCCCCCCCCCCCCCTTCTTCCGAAAGAATGTTTTTCCGCCATGGCATAGAAAGCGAAAAATGACCATTTCGAGAGGGTGCGCCTCTCGAAATGAACGATCCCACCCTCACCTCTAAAAACGTTTCTCGTTACGCGCCTGCTGTGTACGAACAGACACATACATAAAACAAGTGCGAAACAACATCGTAAATATTCTTGTATGTCAAAGTAGGACCATTTACATAAGACATATTTTTAGTGGCTACACAGCACGTGCGAGAACATAGCTTATTACATACATGTACAAAACATGCGCCTATAGCTCTTCCGCGCAGATTAAAAATTCAAAACCATAGTGTCATCCGATGACCGTAGTTACAAATGTTATTTTCAGTGCTTTCCTCGGATTTAGGCGAGAGTAGTTGCTTCCGCGTTCTCAATTTGTCCAATGAATTGTCACGCAGAATTCATTCAGGTAGAATCCGAGTATTGATTGGTCACCTGCCAGCTTGTGAAAAAAAAAAGATCACATGCTACGAGACGCCTACTGGCAAGAAAAAAAAATGTCCCACACTCACCATTTTGGGCCCTGCCAGGTGTACAAGCAAAGAAAGAGGGAGAAAAATAAAAGGAAGAGACAGGGAGGTTAACCTTAGAACTGGTTTGCTACTCTGTACAGAGGTGGGGAAATAAGGGTCGGAAAGAGGATAGAGATAGAATGAATTAGAAAAAAATTCACATGCACACACATGCAGGGCGTTCCAATCACAGTCGTTTGGACAGACCGGTTGAACGCAAAAAGTGCAGGAGCGCCTTCAGAGCCTTCTTCTGCGACATCAAGTCATGTCGGTAGCACATGATTCTTTCTTCCGAAATAGTCTGGTTATCCAGTTCGTCTAGTGCATTGCAGAGTGACTGTCTCTACGAGAAGTATTGTGGGCATTCACACAGAATGTGCCAAGTTGTTTCGTCACTGCCACAGTGGTCGCATGCAGCAGTGTAGGCCATTCCCATGTGGAACGCGTACGAATTGGTAAATGCGACACCCAACCATCATCCGCACAGCATAGTAGCGTCTCGTCGGCGAAGTTCCTGAGGAATTCGAAGACTGAGAGTTGGTTCTAATGTACATAATCGTGCATGGGTGAACTGTGACTCGTTCCATTGCGACGTGGTGTGCTTGCAAGCAAGCACGTGGAGTTTCCGTGCAGTGTCAGTTCTGGAGAGCGGAATTGATATTTGATCACTTTCAGTATGGGCAGAACGGGCAGCTCGACCAACCTGTTCATTTCCAATTATTCCACAATGACTTTGAAGCCATTGAAATGCTAATTTATGTCTTTTCTCATGGAAATGGTGAGTCTTTTCTAGAATCTCGAATACCAGTTGTTCGTACGGGTCGTGGCGTAAAGGTGATAGAATGGATTACAGTGCCACCTTTGAGTCACTGAAAACTGCCTATTTTGTGGCTGTTTATCGCTGATGAATTGTAATGCGGCACGAAGAGCTGTGAGCTCCGCTCCCGTTTATGTCGTAATGTGGGAGGTTTTCAATTTCTTTGTTGCGTCTTTTATTGGTATAACAAATGATGCCCTTGAACTCTTCTGTATAACAGAGCCACCGGTGTTTGCGCGTATACAGCCTCATATGTCTCGTATAACAAAAGCAGAGCAAGCTGCCTAAGAGTGGGTGACAACATATCTACTTTTTTTTTCTGGATGCCAGGTATAGTTAGCCTAATGTTAGCCTGAGTCAGGTACCAAGGAGGAGTCGAAGGCCTGGCGGCGGGTGTGAAGCATGTTGGCAAAGAATCACGATATGTGGTTGCCGTTTGGCAAAATGACGCACGTGGTCTGTCTGCTGGTAAAGAGGCTAAGTGGTGGCAGGGTGTCCGAGCAATATGCTTTATATGAGTCCTGAGTGTCTCAACGTCAATACGTAACACGATGAGGTGGTCACCAGTGATTTTCATAGAAGCCATTGTCGACGCACTACGACGCAAGCCGAGGCAAATCTGGAGTGCCTGGGACTGAACACTCTGTAGTGTTGCTAGGTTTGTTTTGCTTGCATTGGTCAAAGCCGGTAAGCTGTACCTCAGGAAACCGAGAAACGGTATCCTGTACAGCTGTAGCATTGCAGTGGGTGACATTCCCCAAGTCTTCCCTGCAAAGACCTTCAGTAAATTATAGAAGTTTATTAGCAATTTTTATGCACGAAACGTGATCGCTTCATGATAGATTCCTGTCACTTATGACGCCCAAAAACTTTGATTGATTGATATGTGGGCTTTAACGTTCCAAAATCACCATATGATTATGAGAGGCACCGTAGTAGACGGCTCTGGAAATTTCGACTACCTGGGGTTCTCTAACGTGCACCCAAATCTGAGCACACGGGCCTACAACATTTCCGCCTCCATCGGAAATGCAGCCGCCGCAGCCAGGATCATTGATACTTATGGTGTACTTATTCATAGACTTGCGTGTAAAAGCTACGAGGGCGCATTTCTCAGAAGAAATTTTCAAGCCTTGATTTTGGAGGTAACGTAATGTTTCAGTGGCAGTTTTTCGAATTCTCCTTCGCAACTGCAGGCGTGTTACAGCTGATGCCCAAACGCAGATATCATCTGCGTACATTGATAGCCTGACTGTGATTGGCAGATGCTCAGTAAGAGCAATTAGCGTAAAATTGAACAGCACAGGGCTGAGTACGCTACCCTGGGGGACGCCATGGTGGCTGCAATCTGTAGAGGTTTGAATGTCTTCAGTGCTCACAAAGCATCTGTGCATTGACAAATAAATACGTATACATCGATATATCCGACCACTTACTCCTACATTTTCGAGAGCGTTGAGAACTGCTTCATGCGTAACGTTGTCGTACGCCCCATTGACGTCTAGCAACAAAGATGCGCAGAAACGCTTACGGCCTTTCTCGTGTTGAACGTAAGTGGCCAGGTCCACTACGTTGCCAATCGATGATCGACCAGGCCGGAATCTTGCCATGACATCTGGGTAGATGTTGTTGCACTCCAAGTACCACTCCATGCGTCCCAAGATCATCCTCTCCATAACTTTGTCTACACAGCTGGCCAATGCGATAGGGTAATAGAATGAGAGCTCCATTGGTGACTTGCCTGGCTTCAGATGTGGAACTAAGCGACTTGTCTTCCAGCTTGTCGGGAGCGTCCCATCTTGCCAGGATTCGTCGTACAACTCCAGGAGCGGGGTTCTCGCGCGTTCGCTCAGATGACACAGGGCTCTATAAGAAATTCTATCGGGCCCTGGCACCGACGTGCGTCCACACAAAGCTAGATTGCTCCGAGCTCAACGACAGAAAGGGGGCATATCTATGCGGGAATCCAGTGTTTGTGGACTGTTGGACGAAGAAAATATGCTATTGAGCACTGCGAGTGGCCCAGATAATCTGGCACAGATGTCTTCTGCTACGTCAATGACGCGTCTCTGTTCAGAAAGTGCGAGAGCTCTGAAGGGTGATTACTGAGTGGGTTTTGGGCGGAGACCTCGTAGCGTCTTCCACAATTGTGATAAAGGTTTTCGTAGGTCAAGTTACTCACAAAAAGTAGTCCAACGTTGTGACTCGACTTTATCTATCCGGTGCCGAATCTTCTCCTGTATACGTCGAGCGATCCGTAAGTCTTCCATTGCCTGTGTGCGTCGGTATATCTTCGTTCAGCACGCCGTCGAATTGCTCGAAGTCATTATAACTCGATGTCAAATTCCATTACTTAGGGAGAGCATGTGAGAATACTCGAGGGTGTCGTGTATTGTGCTTTTTATTA